CTCAGACTTCATCTCCTCTTTGAGCTCGGCATCTCCATCTGCCGCCACACTCTGCTTCTGCTCGAGCTTTGCCCACTCAGAGTTGATCTTGGCATCCATCTGCTGGAAGCACGAAGACAAGAGTCTAGGCAGGAAATTCTCGCGGCAGTCCACCGGGCAGTCATCCACCAGATGACGCACTAGACTCAACAAGTTGCTCTGCTGGTGTGTGGACAGCCATATCGAGTCCGAAAAGAAGGCCTCGGACAGCGGAGCGGCGAGTTCGCTGAACCCGTAGAATTGTGAATGGAGCTTGCTCATGCAATAGATGATGCCGTAAGCCGTTTCACGCACAAAGCGAACTGTCCCGCGAATTGTGGACGCGAGACCCTCCATCGTGCCCTTCTTGTCGAACACACGGGCATAAAAGTCGTCTTTGCTTCCTTCCGATATGCCAGCCTGCCAGAATCGATCGCTCAAGACCTTGTCTACAATGTGGCGCATATCTTCCGGGAATCCCGTCCAGTGATGCGGGTTATGGGAGGCGTGGGCATAGCTAGAAGACGGTTAATCAAAAGGCAACTCCGCCATCTTGGGCATCGGCAAGTACGTACCTCAACAAACGCAGCAAATCTGCCAGGATGTTTGGGAACCCTTCCTCCCAGATTGCGCAGGTGGCCTGGAACGCGGTGGTAGACCTGTCGACTCGGTCCACGGACAGCGCAAGGAGCGTCTTTGTCGCACGCAGAGGCAGTTGCTGTTCCATGACGTCGGTAAATGTCCATGAGAGGGCGGGTGTTTTCATATACGAACCTTTAAGCGCTCCTCCAACTCGCTCTGAAGAGCCAGCCCCTCGGCGTCAAGCTCATAAGATCCCCAGTCTTGGATGTTCTGTGCCTGACGGCTGACCAAGTATGCTTGAGCCTTGTCCAGCGCAAGGAGCTCGCAGAAGCCGGAATACGACTTGACGGCAGACTTGATCCCTTCCTCTTGCCATTGAGCCTTGACAGGTTCGACAAACTCCCTAAGTTTTGGTACCTTGGCTTGGGTGTCGATGCTTTTGGCTCGATGACTGTGTCGTCGGTTAGGACCCGTATCTTCTTCATCCGACCATAACCATCGGCAGTCCTGTAACTTACATAATGAGAAACAGAAAACTCCGATATGCTAGGATTCTCCTGTCATCCAGCTTTCCGGTAGATATCATCTCGTTCACGCGGACTTCGATCTGGTCATAGACCCCCTGGTTACAAAATCGCAGTTAGTGCTTTGCGTGCGAACTTGCGAGGAGTGAGGCGTCTCAAGACGTACCAGGAGGTGATCGGGCATTCCAATCGCGAGGCGGTGCAGCTCGAGCATGCTCTCGGTCTGGAAATCCTTGACGGCCTCATTGTACGCGCGATACTCTGCTTCTAGAACCGGCCAGGTGAGAATAATGTGTTCAAGGACCTTTAGCATGAAGTTTGCATTCTTGTTGAGGGCATTTGTCGAGAAGTAGACGAGCAACTGCAGTGTTCGCTTTCGGATAAGAGGATCCTGGAGAGTGCCGGAATGTTAGCCCGCGTTGAGACCAAGGCGGCACTGTCGCTTTGTGAATAAGAGCACACGCACCTCAAAATTCATCTCTAGGAGCCTAGAGCACCATGCTTCAAGGCTGGACTCAAGCTCAGCTATCTGTTGCGGCTGTGAAGAGACTCAGTCAGCATTGCCATATGGAATTGGGGGCGTTTCTTGCCACGTACATTGTCGTGTTGGTGCGCCTTTTTCCACTTTGCGTAACCCTTCAACGATGCTTCGATAAGGGTGAAGTGAGCGTCCACCTGCAGAACAGGCATGGAGTGTTTGAAATAGTTTTGCTCTGTTCATGTTAGCGAGAGGAAATTGCATCGGATCGGGGTAATGGTCAAGTCTCACTGTTGAATGGAGGCTGCCCGTGGTAAAGGTGCAGCAAGAGCTGTTCAGTACGCCCCAGGATATGCGATACTGCATCTACAAGCTTGAGTTGCACGATGAGCTCGACGATTTGTGAACTGAAGCGACGGTAATTGCCCAGGAAGGCGTGGCGCTCGGGTATGGTATCGGTATCTTCCATCAGGAAGAGGAATGTCGGATCAGTATTCTCGGGGTCCAGGTTCTCATATCGGACCAACCTGGAGCTGCAGACCTCGAGGAGAGGTCCGATCATGGATGTAACGATATCACTCGGACCAATCACCTTGTTCGAAAGGAGCCTTGCCCACGTAACCAGGACCGGGATTGAAACCATGAGGCTTTGGTGTTGCACTACTTGGAGCAGGAGTTGCAGGAAAGCCTCGGGGCTTGCGTCCAGGGGAACCTGGGAATGCTTCCTCTCGAAGTAGTCACCTAGGATCGATAGCATCTAGTGTGGGCAAAGACGGGTTAGTGGAGAACCCGGGGCGCGCGCCGAGGAGCAGTATCGCGGGCATACCTCTGATAGCTTCTTCAGGATCTGGTACTTGTCTTCATCTATGTCGTCAGCATCGACCGCTGATCGATCGATGAGGTCCCTGAAGAGCTGAATGGATGCACGGCTGTACATGGGGGCCACAAGCTCCCTGAACTCTTCATCTGAAAAGTTGGACCGGCAATATAGGGCGTACAGGGCATCTAGGGCTGCCTGTTTCGGAGCAGGTTGTCAGCGTGAGTGGTCGCAAAGCATCACACAAGTAGATCTTGGTCTCACCTTTTGTATTTCGGTCGAAGGTGACGCTAGGCCGGCAGACAGGATAGGCACGCAGCGGGCAGACGACACGGCTTTAGGAATGGCCCAGGGCATGAGCGACACGAGCACGGAGAAGCCCTTGACAATGCATGTCTTAACCTCGTCATTCTTGGCGTCGGAGCTGATACACAGGCCCAGGAAGTCTGACAGTCGACTGAGCCAGCCCTCGTGACCACAGCGAACATCTGGGCCGGCCTGACGGTTGGGGAAGGCCTCGACCAGGACCGCGGTAGGCGTGAAGATCTCGACGCATGCCTTGCTAAGGACGCCTTCTCTCATTGCGACAACCGGGTCGTCTCCAGCAAAGACCTCGTCCGACAGAGCCTCGAGCACAAACATGACGAGCTCCTTGTGGGCGGGGGAATTGGGAATCTGCCATAGCTCGACAAGCATGGCATCCATGTCCGTCCACTCGGAGCCCCAGCTTCTCTTGGCCACCTCCACCCACAGCTGGGCAGTCTTGTTTCTCAGATATCCCGGATCGTCCTTGGCAACCGCCTGGCTCAGCTCCAGCACCCAGTTTCGCAGGGTGCGGGCCTGCTCCTCGGTATATGTGGTCCATCGGTATCGTATGGCATGCTCGAGCAGCGATAGGGCGTAGTGGCGGACGACGGGCGGCTGGGCCTTGTCGGCGGCCAGGTTGTAGCCCTGGAAGGGAGCTTCGGGGATGTCCTTGACTTCTTCGAGGAAGGACTGGGCTTCCCTTCGCGCCTCGTTGGTCGAGTGCGGGCTGTGAACCACCTCGAGCGCCAGGTGAATCTTGGCGAGCACGTCTGTGTCGCCGCCGTTTCTCGCGTCGCCGCCGTTGGAGTTGGTAGACATGGTGAGGAATTCGGCCAGAATGGCGCGAGCAGGAAGGCTGCAGGGCACACGCGGCGCAGTCGGGATGCTTTTTGTCCCACGACACAGCCTCTCGAGAACCTCTAGAAAGTGGTCGGCTTGGGCACGATCATCGAGGGTGGTTGCTGGTCACTAAAGGTGAGAAAAAGAGCAGGGGGTCCAAATATTTTGTTTGGTTCTTGGGGTGACAGGTCGTCGGTAGCAAACAACGGGCCAGCGGGGTCGGGACCTGCAACGACTTCTTTTGGTAATGGCTAAGATGACTCAAACTGCTAAGCTTGAAGAAGGACAGGATAAGAAGGACAAAGATGCAATAATGACTTGGAACTGATTGCTGTGATGCAGAGAGCTTGCAGCCGAGGCAGGGCGAGGCAGATGAATTAATAAAGCGCCTCGCCAATAGTATCAGGTACGAGACAAGGAAAGCGGTCAGCTGGCAGAATGGCCGTGCCGTAGTAGAGAGAGTTCCAAGCTGCCCAGGTGGTCCAGCTTTTTCTTCACGCCTGGGCAATGATTAGATACCAGGCAGCCCGAACTTCAGGGCCTCGACCCCCTAGCCTTCAGCCCGCTCCATGGATCCATGGATTGATGCATTTTAGGGGACCTCGATCCACGAATGCGCAGGGCAGCACGCGATATTGGGCCTAGCATGGATGGATTGGATGGGAGCCTACAGGTCGATGAACCGCTAGAACCCGCTAGAGGCGGCATACAGACAGCCCTGGAGCACCAAGACGGCTAACGGCCTGGGGGGCATCGGCTGGGCGCCTCACCTCACCTCACCTCACCTCACCTCAGCCTCCAGCCTCACCACGCAACGGCGGTGGCACGGCGCCGCAAGGCTGGGATGGAGGGCCAGCGGACTGGAGCTTGAGAGCATACACACTCGACACGAGTTGACTTGGCATCATCATATATTATGGATAACACATGGATGGTTTCAACGACCCATGAGTTGAGCAGTAACGAGTATTACATACATACTTTGCCCCAGAGCACAGAGCACGCAGTGGTGGAGCCGGGCAGCATCTCCCCTGGCTGTCCGGATCGCCTGTCGTCGCCTGGTCGGGTGCTATTTCAACCCCGGTGGAACCGCTGCAGCATGGTGGAGGGGCGTGTGGTGTGTGATGCATCTCCCCAAGGCCTCTGGTTCCTGGCTGATCAGCAACAGCATGCCTCTGCCGAATGCACCCCACGCCGGGCTGGCCAGATTACCCGAGATCCAATGTCTAGCTTGTCTCGCTTCTCCCCGATTTTCTAGAATGATGGCTCGGGTGAAGGGACAAGCCAACGGTCGTTGACTGTCCGAATGAGGCAGACTCCTCACCTACATGACCTTGGGTGACTGGTTTGGCCAGCCAGGAGTTCAACCTTTGGTCCTCAAGGAAGCGGTTTGCACAATGGACGTGACATCATCGGGAAATTGGATCTGGTATTATCACCGCGGCTCGTATTCCCAGAGGCAGAGCAGCTTGTCATAAAAGCTGGTTGAGACAATGCGCGTCCTCCCACTCTCCGTAGGCGACGCCGGCACAATATCCGAGGCGTAATTCATGCTTCTGTGTTCTTCGAACCGGGCCAGAACGACGCAGGCACAGTCCTGTCCGCTGCTGTCAGTCACGATCTCGACAAGTCTCGCTCCGGCGTACATGCAAGACGCCAGGATCCGTATCTTTGTTGAACCTTCCGTTGTTCGAATGTTCACCAGGTTCAGCCTCCACACACCCCCTCCCAGGTTCGCGGCTGCCAGCAGTTGCACGCGCTTCAAGCCATACGACTGATGAAGATCATGGATGGCAAAGACTCGCAAATGGTCGTCGTAGCTCCCCGTGACGACCAGTCTGCCGCCATCCCTCGTGGACAGCGGCAGGGGCAGAATGGCCGTTACTCCTGCATCGTGCTGCCCCTTGATTGTCGCCGGGCCGAATGGCATCTCTAGAATGGATGATGGGTCATGTTCATCCCCGCCTCCTAACCAGTGACAGGTCGTATATCGAAGCATGGAGTCGTCGCCCCCACAATAGACTGAGATGGGCTGGTTTGCTGCGCGAGATGCGGCATCTACAGGAGCGAAGGCTATGCACCAGGCCTCGAGAGAGTTCTGAACGTCCACGTCGACAGACTTGGCAATCTTCCACTCATGGTCCAGCAGCAGCAGCCTTGCTAGCCCGGTAGAAGTGGTCACCCCAAGCACCCTGCGCGCGACTGGGTGCCAGTTGCACTGCAGAAACAGCACGTCGCCGTCCAGGTCCTCGCATCTGCTCGTGGCCAAGTGCTGCAACGGCGCGCTGGCATCCCGGAGCGGGTCGAACTTGAACACGGCAAGGGTTCCAGTGCTGGACACGACTGCCAAGACGTCTCGGTATTCCGGGACATCCCGGTAGAAGCGGAGATCTAGCAGAGCAGATGGTTGCATGACTGTCTGCACTATCGAGCTGTTTTCCTCATTGGCAGTCAGCAGTCCGGCAGCCTCGCTAGCTTCTCGTCGGCACCCGGAGGTGAAGCCTTACATGTCGTCGCCCTGGACCTTGAGGACGACGAGGCTGCCATTTCGGCTCTGGGCTTTGGGAACTGCTGGAGAAGCCTCCTCATCCTCCTCTTTGGTCTCCGGCGCTGTCTCGCTGTCGTCCTTCTGCAGGTTGTACGTTCCCACCACCAGATACTCAGGGTGCGCGGGGCAGAACTCGGCGCAGCTTGGCGGGAGGTCCAATATCAGCGAATGCAGTGAAGCGACTGGCGTCAGCTCCTCCATGTTCGAGACGCTGTGCTGATGATGCCTCTTTGAAGTGCGAAAAGGCCAATTTGATATCAAGGGAAAGGGGAAAAAAGGACAGTCGAGTTGAGTGTGGAAAAGCTGCAAAGAAGGCAAAGAAAGCAGATGGAAGAGACACGGCAAAGTTCAGACGCCAGCAAAAGTTGTGGCTTTGGTGGAGCTTATCGGATCGCTTCCCGCCAGCCCGGCGGCAGTGACTGAAGAGACGTGACTGGAGGAGGATGCTTGCAGGGGCAACATGGAGGCTGTTGTAAATCATCTTATTTATGACATGGCCTCGCATACATATAAGAGACGATCTCTTCACGGCTCTGCTGCTTCGTTTTCCTTCCCTCTTTTGTCTTCTTACTCTTTTACAGAGCTGACGAAGATTCGACGTCGCCCACACCATCACCCACATCACCACTCATCGAAGCTGCACGGATCAGCCCTGATACTACCTGTACCTCACACTCAATCGACTGGCCGTTTTCTGTCACTGAACAGCTTCTCTATCCTCATACTACCGATATCACTCGTCTGCCATACATAGGTACACAAGCTGCGTGCGCCTTCATTGGGTCACGCGGGAGTACCAGCGTTCGCACTACCATTGAAGGTAGTAGTTGTACCTAGGCGTATCGAGCTGAGGCGCCCAACTGCCGTAGCGGGCTCGGGTAGTACCGTCTTTGCGGCGCGAGTGGCTTCAGACGCCATGGACTCTGACGACTCTGACTTTTACGGTACCTTGAATTCCATGCTGCTCTGATGGGACAACGAAGGGAGACAACAGCCCCTGACTGGCTGACCTAGGCGATGACGAAACCGTCTCACAACTGCTACGGCGTGTCGCCGACTTTGACGTGGACGAATGGGCGCAGCAGCACCGCGCACACCCGGGCCGTCCCCAGCGCCAGATCAAGCTCTTTGACGAGGCCGCTCGACTGCACAATCCGTACGCGGGCATCTCATACGCATGGCAGCTGACGGAGACGGTGGACGACTTCCTCGCGCGGCTGCCGCCGGCGACGACCGACCGGACGCCCGAGGTGCCGTGGATCTACATCTGCAACCCTTGGATCCCCCGCGTCCACAAGCGCGAGGGCCAGGCCCAGTTCTCCAAGGGCAACGAGGACGAGGCGCCGGAGGAGGAGGGCAGCGAGACGGCCATGGTCGCCCAGGGCGGCCTTGAAAGGCTTCACCTGCTCAGCAAGTTCATCGAGGGGATGCAGAGGTCCGGGCAGGCCCCGTCCGTTGTTGAAAGGGAAATCAGCAGGCAGCGGAAGCAGGCCACAGGCGATATTCTCAAGCTGGCCCATCTCGTCAAGGTTCGAACAGGCAAAGTGCGACCCCCCTCCTTTCCGCTTTGATGCACCCCATGTGTGATGTGTGGATGATGATGATGATGCCTCCTTCATCAAGGCGGTATTGCTGACTACGCGATCGCTTGGCAGTGGATGCTGTTCTGCCCGACCACGGAAGTCAACGAGGTGTGGGAGATTGTCGCAAAAGCAACAGCAAACAACGAGCTCGGCATCGCCGCCAAGGTCGCGCCGCGGTCGCCACTGGAGGATCCCCGCAAGGATCGCCTTTTGTGCGTCTACACAGCCGATTTCACGGACATGGCCGACGTTGGGCGCGTGTTGCAGAAGCTGCGCGAGCTCAAGCTGGTCGAGGCCAGAGGCCGGCCGATATACTACAAACCAGGTATGTATCACTGTCCTCTCCTGCATGCACCCTGCTTTGTGTGTGTCCCTGACCGACACCTTTCATAGATGCATTCACATACATTGGCATCTCCTCTGGTAATCCATGGGGCCTGAGAGCCTCTATATACAGCTCGACCGATAAATTTCCCAGTCGAGCATGAGGCGGAGGAAAAGCGAAGAGTAATTCTGTGGAACATGAAAGAGTCGAGAGCTGCGATACCATGATACCTATGTCGATATAGCCAACGGGGGACTTTGCCCCATACTGTCAAGCCGACTTTGAAGAAAGCAATGCATGCTAGGACAGATAAAAAAAAAAACAGAGACGCAATGATATGCTAAACGCCAGTCTCGCATGACCCAACACTCATGTCAAAGTTGCCAACACCGCCATGCCACACCATCCCAAGCACGCATCTCTACCGCCACAATCCGATGTATCCCCAAAATACAAGCCTCTCTCTATGCTCGGTGGACTTGCAGTAGACATTCAAAAAGCCATCCCCATTCGACGTTGAAACAGAAATGGGCTCACTGCTCATCGTAATTTGGGTCGTGATCCGGGTCGACGGCCTTGAGCAGGAGGATGAGTCGGTATGCGCTGTTTCCGTTGAGATAGTATCGATGCAGCTTCTTGGAGCGAATGAAGCCGAGCCCCTCATACAGCTTCATGGCCGGCGTGTTCGTCTCCTCCGTCTCCAGCACCACCTCATCGGCATTCCGACTCGCCATGGCCTCGATGGCCTTCTTCACCAGCGCGGTGGCCACCCCCCGGCCGCGGAAGTGCGAAGCCACGGCCAGCATGGCGATGTAGCCTCGCCGCGTTGGGGGCGAGTGAGACGAGTGGACCTCGAGCTTGCAGACAATGACGCCGATGAGGGACGAGTCCTTGGGGTCCAGGGCCTAGGTAGTTGTCAAAAGGTGTTATTAAGGGGGAGGGACTCATCAGCTTTTCCGTCGAACTGAAAGGGGGAGGCTTACCATGAAGCAAAGGTGAGACCACTGGCAGAGAAAGTACCGGTAGACGTAGATGCTGTAAGGCTCGCTCAGGTCCTTTGAGATGAGCGCCCGGATGGCTGGCAGATACTGGCTCTCAAGCCGGTGCTCATACTGGATGTATTCCAGGGCGACGGGCAGCTGCTTGGTCGACGACACCGCCATGTTGTCGTCCGGTTTATTCTGCTGGGTCCGCGGTGGGTAAAAAAAAAGAAAAAGAAAAAAAAAAGGAGCTGGGTATTCGGATACTGCTGTAGTAGTGAATGCCTGTCTGTCCGTCTGGGTATCGCAAGTCGCTTCCTTGTGATCTCTCTCCTTGGACCTCTTTATTTTCTTCTTCGTCTTTCTCAGTCCACCTCCTCCGAAAGGGAGTGACTCAACCGTCGGCCAGTGAGTCGACAGAGCAAGCAAAGAGCCAAAGCGGCAGCCAACCAGGCAGCCCGGTCAGCATCGGCGGGAAAACGCAGCGAATCCTTTACGAGAGCGGACGGCCTGCGGAACGGAAAATGAGGCACGAACACAAACAGGTGCCTGACAAGCGCACCTCTTTTTCCTGGTCCGTTTTTGGTGCAGCCTTGGAAAAAAGTCCCGTCTGACTAACAAGCCCAAGCTCGAGCTGCCCAATACGATACGATATGCGCTGTCGTTGAAGTGGAGGCTCTTGGACCCCCCCAAATTCCGTCGCGCGTGACGGCGCAATCACATGTCAATGGATGGGGGGGGCTTCCATGAGTGGTGGTTTCATAGAAGGGGCTCCGGACTGAGATTGCTGGAGCTTCATGTGAATGTGAAGCAGCCGATGGCCACAAGCAGCGATCAAGTACTTTTAAGTACTGGATCCCACGTCCGGGCGCGGGAGAGCAAGAACACAAGGTACTCGTAAGGTAGCTTGCAGTTTGAGAGCCTCCATGTGAACCGGGATCCAGTAACTTGCCGTAGCCAATGGACGGGCTGCTGGGCCACTCCGAAGTTGTCGAACCTTGCGTCTAGATTCTCAGTGTTCCCTCCTCTTTTGCCAACTGCTTTCTCCATGTCTTGGTTTCCCTCCTTTGTTTCATTCTGTCCTTGAAAGATGAGGGACGGGATTCTGGATCCTTTTGGCGCTGTCAGTTCAACTTTAGCGGTCTTCCCACAGCGGTGGTAGCCACTAAAAAGGCCACAACTTCTTCTCGTGCCAGGCGAATCACTGACGTCAGCCGCTATTGACTTCATCCAACTCGGGCCAACCGAACAAACCATTTCTGGAGAGCCTCAACCTCTTCTGGAGAAGCATTTCTGCCCTCGGACCAACAGGCGCAGATTTGCCCCTCTTCTCTTCCCGTCCCGCGATCTTGACAGTCACGGACGTTGCGATCATGGCGACGAGCTTGCGGAGGCGGATCCCGCCAGAGTCCAGCTCGGCCGACGCCGTCGCGGACTCTGACAAGCAGCATGGCAACCGTCCGTCGACGCCGCCGCCTCGCGTCCATGTCGTTGAACGGCTGCCCAAGGCGCGGAAGCGTCGCAACACCTTCATCTTCCTGCTCGGCGGGCTCTGCGGCCTCATTGCGGCGGGCTTCTTCGCAAAGACGAATGATCTGATCGACTTGCCCGAGCTGACGGAGATCAACATGGACAGCTTGCTCGATGTCATCCCAGCTGGCCTGGTCAGGGACATGCGCGATCTCGTCCAAGGCGAGCGCGACGCCACCTCGTATGATTCCTTTTCGGTCGGCCTCAAGGCTAGGGCCGAGGGCCTGGATGCGCACCATCCCATGATCATGATACCCGGCGTCATCTCTACCGGCCTGGAGTCCTGGGGCACAGCCAACGTCTCGAGGGCCTATTTCCGAAAGAGACTGTGGGGGAGCTGGACAATGATGAGAGCTTTGGTCCTTGACAAGGAGGTTTGGAAGAAGCACATCATGTTGGACCAGCGAACGGGACTCGACCCGCCCCATGTGAAGCTCCGTGCCGCCCAGGGCTTTGACGCAACCGACTTCTTCATCACGGGTTATTGGATATGGAGCAAAATCTTTGAGAATCTGGCCACCATTGGCTACGATCCCACAAATTCGTTCACGGCCGCATACGACTGGAGACTCTCATATGCCAATCTCGAGGTGAGAGATCGATACTTTTCGAGGCTCAAGTCGTACATTGAGACCGCAGTCGCATTCGAGGGCAGAAAAGTTGTCCTTGCCTCGCACAGCATGGGCAGCCAGGTCATTTTCTACTTCTACCACTGGGTCGAGTCTGACCTGGGCGGCCGCGGCGGAGGGGACTGGGTGGACCGTCACATCGACTCATGGATCAATATCAGCGGCTGCATGTTAGGGGCAGTCAAGGATTTGACAGCTGTGTTGTCCGGAGAGATGCGCGATACAGCCCAACTGAACGCCTTGGCCATCTATGGCTTGGAAAAGTTTTTGAGCAAGGAGGAGCGAGCAGAGCTCTTCCGAGCCATGCCGGGCATCTCGTCGATGCTTCCCATCGGGGGCAATGCTGTGTGGGGAGACCTGAACGGAGCACCGGATGACCTGCCTGGCCAAACTTACACGTACGGATCTCTTTTGAACTTTCGAGTCGGCGCCAACTGGACGACGCCCGACCGGAACTTTACGGTTGACGATGCCATGGAGTATCTGTTCAACACGACGGAGGATTGGTATAAAGATCAGATCAAGCGCAGCTATTCCCACGGCGTTGCCCACACCGCGGCAGAGGTCGAGGCGAACGAAAAGATTCCTAGGAAGTGGATCAACCCGCTCGAAACCAGACTCCCACGGGCACCGAATCTCAAGATCTATTGCTTCTATGGTGTTGGCAAACCCACAGAGCGGTCATACTACTATCGAGCACCAGACCAGCCGCTCATGACAAATCTCAACATTACCATTGACACCGGGCTCACCCAAGGCCCGATCGATCACGGCGTCATTCTCGGCGAAGGAGACGGGACTGTGAATCTCCTGAGCTCGGGATACATGTGCAACCGCGGTTGGAACATGAAGCGATACAATCCGGCCGGGGCCAAGATTACAGTGGTTGAGATGCCTCACGAGCCGGATCGATTTAGCCCACGAGGCGGCCCCAACACGGCTGACCACGTCGACATCTTGGGCAGGCAGACGCTGAACGAACTGATCCTGAGGGTTGCTGCCGGCAAGGGCGCCACCATTACCGATTATGTCGTTAGCGACATCAAGGCCTATGCCGACAAGGTGAAGATATATGAGGAAGAGGACGGAGCCAAGAATATCTGGAGCAAAATGTTATAGAGCGACATGTTTGATCTGGTGACTTGGATTATCTGTGCGATGGGCCTGGCTGGGCTGGGCTGTGGAATCTGGCGTTTGGCGTGGGGAGCTGTACATATGCAAAGGGAGAGGCGGGCAGAGCGCTGGAATCGTGACCGAATAATACCCCCGGACGGTGCGAATGGACATAGAATAGTAGACAAGATGGAATATAGCTGAATCTGCATCTGAGTGGACAAGTTGTAGCCAGGGTTCTCTCTTCTTGGCGGTTATATTAGGGAAGTTACTGTAATACCTGCTTATCAGCACAGAGCAAGGCTTGGAAATTGGAGCCACTGCGGAAATGATGTCTAGGAGATGCAGAGCCACGATACGGTGTACAGGGATATTGCTGGTTATTTGCGGGAAAACATGACAATTGTAATGATGACAGTCATCAGATCAATCAACATGAGGTCTGCAGTGATGGGGAGAAGCGGGAGAAGCCCTCGTGTAAGTGCAAGAAGCGATAGTACCATTTGCCTGCCATGCACACACGACCCAACCAGATACCTAGTAACTTGTCTGTCACATCTCTCGTCTCTCCTTTGAACCTACCCTCTCCGTATCAAATTGTTCCTGCACGGTCAATAATCACTGCTGCGTATCATCGCTAGCTGCACGCGTATTCATATACGAAATATATCAGCATGGCGTCCCGTCTCCTTTTTTGTGGCTTCCTACTACTTGTATGGGTTTTTTGCTCCCTAGGTTGTTTGCTAGCGCCGCCGTTGACCGGCTGCGCCTGTTGGGTGACATCAGGCTAAGGTATGTATTACCATGCAGCGCTTGATCGTTCCCGTACCTCCAAAAATCAATCCCGAAAAGCATCGCCTTCTTTTCACCTCTTCCCTTTCTACCCCACAAGTCCAGCCGGGGCGCTTTTGCAAACCGCAACGCATCAGCCGCAACGCAAACCCGGGCCAATTCAGCAATCAAAGGAGCCCGGCCAGGGTCAGGGTGTGGCAACGACTGCGTCGGAGGTCTGGCAAGGACGAGAGAAACACGGGACTGGAGGGGGGAAAAGGGAATCTTGTGACTTGGGGGGAGGAATCGCCGTGGCGCACTTTTTCTCTTGTCTCGGTCGACGTGCCTCTTTGTCTGTCCTTTTGCAAAGTGTGCAAGCGAACAACTCCTAGCCGCGCTTCTTCTTCTGCTTCTGCTTCTTATCTTTTTCTATCTTCTTCTTCTTCTTCTACTTCTACTTCGCCGCTTCGCCAGCCTTACTCGCCCAACCTGCGCAAAGGCCAGATGCAGTCGCTGCCTCGTGCTGCGGGACCTGGCAGCCATGGCGGATTACGACGAGACGGCGCCATCTCCGCCCACTCCTCTCTCTCCCGAGGAGGAGGACGCCCTGTGGTCTGGTGAGTCGATGGATCTGAAGCGCTTGGGGATGGGGGGGTAAAGACGAGAAAGCTGACCATTGTCGCCGTCTGCTGTCTAGAACTCGATAAGTGTGTCTCGGAACACTGCGAGAGCTACGAAGCCATCGACGATGCCCTTCGGTCCTGGCTGGACCTCACGACCAAGCTGCGCGACCAGCAACCCACATCTCAAGAGGAAGTCGTCATGTGCGCGCAGATCCTGCTGGACAGCGTCATCTTCCAGACGCACAAGGACTACGTCCGCAAGCAGCTCATCTACAGCCTGCTGCAGGAGGACGAGGCCGGCCCGCTGCACGCCATAGTATGCATGCTGCTCCTCGACGGCCACCGCGACGAGGCGACGTTTCCGCGCATGATCCAGGAGGCCTGCTTCCCTCGGCTCCTGGAGCTGATCAGCAGCCGGGACACAAACGACGACCCGCGCCTCCATCGCTTCCTGCTGCAGCTCATGTACGAGATGTCGCGTGTGGAGCGCCTTTCGCCCGAGGATCTGGCGTTGGTGGACGATGACTTTATACACTTACTCTTTGGCCTCATCGAGGGCGTCTCTAGCGATGTCAACGACCCCTATCATTACCCGACCATCAGGGTGCTGGTGAGTATTTGATGCTTCCACATACGCGGGCGCATGTTTCGAAGGGATACTGACGAGTAGCATCAGCTTGTCCTGAATGAGCAATACATGCTTGCGTCCACAGACACGGTCACGAATCCCGGTTCGGTGCCGGAACCGTTGACGAACCGCATCGTCAAGTGCCTGAGCCTCTACGGCCCAAGGTACCGAACGTTTGGAGAGAACATCATTCTGCTCCTCAACCGGGAGACGGAGACGTCTCTCCAACTGCTGATCCTCAAGCTTTTATATCTTCTCTTTACCACGAAAGCGACGTACGAATATTTCTACACCAACGATTTGCGAGTGCTGCTCGATGTCATTATTCGAAACTTGATGGATCTTCCTGATGAGCGAATGTCTCTCCGGCATACATACTTGCGAATCCTGTACCCTCTGTTGGCGCATACGCAGATGAACCAGCCGCCGCACTATAAGAAGGATGAGATTCTCCGGGTAATCAGGATTCTTAGGGGTTCGCATAACGCTCATTTTGCGCCCGCCGACCCTACAACTCTGCGACTGGTGAACCGAGTCGCCAAGGTCAGCTGGCTCGAGGCAGATGACGAAGACTCTGAGGCATCCGGACAGGCAGAGGTGGCCCGAAAGCTCCTGGGCATGAGCGTCTCACCGAGGGACTCGTCCAGCAGTGTTAGTGTCAGTGATGTAGCCGAGGTTACGGAAAAGCCAGGCGTGCAGACACCCAGTCGGAGCCAGGACGCGAAAGCAAACCCCGGACATTCGGAGCATGACGGGGAGTCGGAGGATAGCAGTGCTGGCAAAGCCAGGAAGCCCCTGCCGGCAGTGCCCAAACATCGGCACGGCATCCCCTTTGTGCATGCCGCCACCACGGTGCACCTTGCCAATATTGCCACGAAGAAGATACCGCCCAAAGCGCCACCGCCCAGACGACATGGCAAGGCGAGAATGGCGGAAACGGCGTCTGACGAGCACCTCGCGGGGGCCGTAAACTAGGAGGGCCTGAGACTCTTTTAGCCCAGATATGCACGTGTCCGTCACGGCTTTGGCGACGGGTGCATGTTGTTTTCTTTGCTTTTCCTCTTTTTTTCTTCCTATAGTGCGCATTGTGTTTTCGTTGTTCTCTTACCTCGTACCCTTTATCCAGCCCTTTATCCAGAGGCCGTTGTCAGCTAAGCCCTGATGGCTGTGGCTTGGCGTAAACGACCTTTTCTGTTACACGGGGTTTATTACACCTTTGGAGACGTTTCCGGAGTTTTTGGAGTACATGCGCGGAGTGACACGGGGATCATCTCTCTCTCGAACTCGTTACGATCAGCGACAAGCCGGCCAGCGTTTGACATGAGAAAAATGAGTAAAGGGACATACCTCGCATCATAGACAAGGTGTTTATTGGGGCGAGAGAAGCAGCTTCTTTGCTAACCTCTTTTCACTTCTCTTTGTACATAACAGACGTACATACAATGTCTTACTATTGGGCATGATGCTTGGCACACGGGGCGAACAGGCAAAGGGGAATCTGTTACTTGGACGATGGTGTCTTTGTCGCCTACATCTTTTTCTTTTCGTTTGGGGCTCTCTGCAAGACTGCTTAATGTTGGGCGTTGAGTCGAATACAATGGATGATTCAATCGTCGATATGGACGTACAACTGTGCGAAGTCGTGATTTGACTGGGAGTTGGGATTGGCGGGTGTTTATGTACGTCCTACGATGCTATGCCCGTTCCGGTTGATGGGCTGGCATATATCAAGATAGCCAGCTGTTCTATGTGATATCGTATCGTTCATATCAACACTCTTTCTGATACTTCTACATCTACATCTTGGCTGGTACCTTAGGTCACTTGTATGGGAACCGACTGATGGGCTGCCAGTGAAAGGCTCAAACAAGTCTCAGCTATTCTGAGATGTCTTTCCGTCAATGCTGGAGAAGAAGAAGAAGCCGTAGATGACAGACGGAACCGCCTCTAAGATGCCATGAATCTCGAGCTTGCCCAATTCCGAGGCAACGACTCCCGTAAACTGGAGATTGCATCGATCGCTGGATTTATCACCGACTACTAGCCTCATTCACATGGAATCTTCATAGTGGATCGTGGGGAGAAAATGGGGAAAGGGGGGCACGCCTTTTTGCTAGCGGCAACTCATTGTGGCTTGCGTGGATTTTGTGTGGCTTATGTCGGGCGCTTGTTCTTTTCTTAGGGGGAAAGGAGATCGGGAATAAGTACTGGCAAAGCAAGAATACTACGTCATTATTCTCTGGGGCGGGTCCTCATTCGATTCGGTGCAACTGGACGGTTGCATCTTCTTGATGAGGGGGGAGGCAGCCTGGACCCAGCTGAAAGGTGGGTTGTTTGTGTTGTTCTCGTGTGCAAGTACGTAGTATGTGCGTTGCATGTACTGCATATAGGTATGTATGCATTCTTCAGCTTGTAATGCGATGAGTTGGTTGACGCGTGCTTTGGCGCATGTTTGGAGGGACTTGCTGTATTAAGCGATGACGATGACGACGGTGACGGCTTCGCCAAGAACCGGTATTTTCGGTCTACTATGACCCCATGCTAGGGGAGACAAGGGACAAAGGACAAAAAGAGACCATCTTACACTGAGAGGGACAATGCCCAACGTAATCTCGAGTGAGAACTCTGCCCCTTGGGCCAGGGACGCTCCCGCAGATCAAATATTACTGTATCACATACCTACCTAGGTAGGGTACTGCCCATTGCTGACGAGGCAAAAGATACACGTATAGGAAGGACAAGATCGTGATAACTCTTGTGTTGGTTTGGGGGATCGTCCTTGAAGGGGGCTGGAATTTGAAGATCTACATACTACTGACATACTAGGTAAGGCACTTACTGTACAAGCACACAGGGAACGACCTTGATGAGAAGCTCGACGCTTGTCACTCTCGTGCATTCGATCTTGTGTCTGGATTGGGAACATTTCACTTCAACTTGGAGGGTCCAAGTAGGTACATACTAGTATACCTGCAAGTGACGGGTGCGGACACGCAAGCGGTGCGATGACGCCAGGTCACCACGAGGTGCCTGCGCTAGCGGCCCCCTCTTTTCTGTGCTGTGCGCAAGTTATATGAGGTTTAAATGCGGGTTGGACCAGGTCAAGCTGTTTCGTAGCCGCTACTTTTGCCGCCATGCGAGAAAAGGCGACAAAGAGAAGTATCGGCTACTTTTTGTGCCTCAGCCTGCATGACGAGAGGTCATCATCGATGCTGGAGGGGTACGTATCGCATGTACCTGGTAACAGCGCCCGTCTCCCGGTGCGACAGAGTCGCAAATCATGCGCTGATGCGAGGCGGTGGTTCGTGGCTCGGCAGCACCAAATTCGCAATTTACGAGGCCGCCTCGATTCGCATTGCCCCCAATTAACGCTTCTTGCTATAACTGCTGCTGCGAACAAGAGCTCCGAGGTAGGCCGTTGCTCGCTCTCTTCCTCATCATTTCTCTTTGACGTCGGCACCTGCTTCGTGGCGCTAAATCCATAGCCTGCTTGTGCTTGCTCTTGGCCATTTCTCCCCTCCTCTAAACCACCCACCCCAAAAGGTCTCACCTGTTGCTCTATTGCGTCAGTCATCATCAACAACCCTGTTTGACGTCTGAGCTTGTCTCGGCATTTCTTCCTCTCTCTCTCTCTCTCTCTCCCCTCCCCGCCAAAACGCCTCGTTTTTCTTGTGCTTCCGCGATCGTCCCCCAGCTGTCGTCACTCGCTAAAAGAAGTCGTGCGAGGCGAAAAGCCTTGGCTTGGGCGCCCTCCTCTGGCTGCTCAGAACTGCCCATAGCTAGGAGCAAACTATAATAGTTTGGCTGTGTGGCTGGAGCTTCTTTTCGCTCTGCCTCTTGCTCTTGTGTTTCCCTCCTCCTCTTGCCTCCCCTCCTCGCGGCTCAGCTCAGCTCAGCTCTACCTAGCTCTGTTTCTCTGATCTGCCTGTGACGACCCCTCGCCTACCCTCGCCCTCACACTTCCACCCGTTTCTCTCCTCCTCAATGGACGTCCAGCTTCAGTCCCAGGGACTGGCCCGTCATTCGCCCGATCTCAGTTCTTACCAGCAGCAGCAGCCCGTCTCGCCTCACCAGACTCCCCAGAAGTCGCGGCGACCGCTCTCCTACCAGCCACAGCCCACGTACCTCGAGCCCGGCCGACGCTCGCAAACCGCATCGCCTCAGGGACGCCCGGGCCCCGTCCCCGTCTCCGGCCGCTTCAACGAGGAGTGGGACGCCAGCCAGCGCGGAAGCTCCATCCTCCTCGACCACCATCGCCATCCAGACTCCCCCGTCATGTCGAGCTCTGCCGCGGCCGGCCCGGCGGCCATGCAGCGCTCCAACTCGGTCAACAGCTATGCCCCCGGCGACGATCGCGCCCTGCCTCAGAGGGGCAACACGCTCAAGAAGAAGGCGTCGCTGCGACGCAGCGGCCCGGGCAGCCTGGTGCGCTCCAGCAGCCGTCGCAGCGCTCGCGCGGGAAGCGTCAGGAGCCTTGCGCTGCAGAGTGCGACTGACCCCGACGAGCTGCACAGCGCATTCTTCTGTCCGGTTCCCACCAGCGGCTCTCCGACCGATGTGCTTGCCGCTCGATTCCAGAGTACGTCTGCCTCTCCTTTGCCCCTCTTGCGCTCATTCTTTGCGCATTGTCTTGGCGCATCGTGATTGCTCAATGGTATCATGTGACGCTGACAATGGGCTATAGCCTGGCGGAAGATCCTAAAAGACCTCATTACGTACTATCGCGAGATACATTCCCACTATGACCAAAAGGCCAAGTCGTTCGCCAAGCTCTTGAGCGTCTCCAACAACCTTCAGAACCCGACAGCGTTCCTCCAAACTCCTGGCATTGACGATGGGCTCCAAATTCTTCGCAATTATAACAAGCTCGCCCTTCAAGAGGCCACAAAGGCCAAAGAGATAGAGGATGATGTCATTCTGGCACTCACCGGGCTGAGGAGCGATCTGCAGCAGAAGATCAAGGAGATCAAGCACCTTGCCGGCGACTTCAAGAACTCTGTCGACAAAGAAATGGAAGCCACCGGCAAGGCCGTCAAGACGCTGACCGAGGCGCTGGGAAGGAATGAGATGGACATGTCTGCGACCACAGGCAAGCAGGATCCGTATCTCCTCAGGCTCGCTGTCGACCGCCAAATCGAGCGCCAGATTGACGAAGAAAACTACCTGCATCAAGCCTATCTCAACCTCGAGGGCTCTGGCCGCGAGCTGGAGTCCATCATTGTGGGCGAGATTCAGAAGGCGTACAATGCCTACGCCGGCATCCTGAAGCGCGAAGCCGACAATGCTCTCGGCGTTGTCGGGGAGCTTCGCGACGGGCCCATTGCCATGCCCAAGGATCAGGAATGGGAGCACTTTGTGACTACCGACAGCCGGATGGTCAACCCAAAATTGCCCTTGCGCTCCGTCGATCAGATTCACTATCCCGGGCAGGACCACATCGCGGCGCAGGAGATTCGCGCCGGGCTGCTGGAGCGCAAGAGCAAATACTTGAAGAGCTACACAGCAGGATGGTAAGTCACTTTGGTTCTTCAGTCAAACAAGATCAAGTGTTTTGTTTGAAAATCAAAGAATCGAAGCTAACTCCAGCACATCAGGTACGTACTTTCAACAACGCATCTCCACGAATTCAAGTCGGCAGATAAGGCGCAGGCCCCAATCATGTCTCTCTATCTTCCGGAACAGAAACTGGGATCGCGGTCCAGCGAAGGAGGCCCGTCGAACAAGTTCATTCTCAAGGGACGACAGACCGGCGCTATGCACCGAGGGCACACCTGGGTGTTCCGAGCCGAGAGCCACGAGACGATGATGGCTTGGTACGAGGACATCAGGGCCCTGACGGAGACATCACCGGAAGAGCGGACTGCGTTTGTGCGGTCTCACTCGCGCAGGAGCACCAGCCGATCATCGCACCGGTCCATCAGCAGCGACGGCCTGGACGAAGACCAAGACGAGGAGCCTTTTACGGCAACGGAGCAGGACGTTATTCCCGGACCTCGGACGGATCTAGCCTCGCGGCGGCCTCAACCAGGTGGGCGGTTCCCATCCGACATGCAAGTCAATGCCCAACGAGGCTTACAGGTGCCTCGATCCCCGTCTAGCGTAGCGTCCAGCCAGGAACCGTCTCCAGGCGCCCATGTGGTTGCCGCCGCGACTGCGATACCAGGAACCGCCACGGCCGCCTACTCAACAGAGAGGTACAACCGAAACCAAGAGGGCCATCTGGAATACGGACAGGAAGGCGTGACCCCGATCACCGACGTGCACGCCCAGGCAGTGTCTGCCGAGCACGAGGCGCAGGTCGACGGCGTCAACCCGTACACGAGCGAGCCACTGGACCAAGGCCACGGCGATCAACAGAACGTCCTGGCCACGCCACTTACCATCCCCGGCACTCGTCAGCCAGTGGTCATGGCCAACGGCCTTGGCGGCGACAAACACCTTGATCCAGCTCAGAATGCTGCTGGTATGAATGGTGCGTCTGGAAGTGAGGGGAGCGACCTCAATGGCGGGCACTACACCAACACTGGGGGCGCAGGTGGAAATGTCAACATGGTGGCTGTCAGCCCCGGCGCGATTCCTCGGTCCCAACAGGCAGACGCCTCGGGACTGCAGGTTCTTCCCGGCCAGGGAGATGCCGCGCAGCCAGTTGGCGGTAGCAACCCTGTTCGGGGGGTCAACGAGGAGAGGAACTCGAGCGCAGTGACGGTGTCTGACCTGCACATGCCAGGCAGCTTTCCTTAGGGTTCTTGACCACAACCAGACTGGCTGTGATTTGTTTGTATCTTGATTGATCTGTGTATGGTTGTCTTCAAAATGGGTATACTTTGCTATATGGATACCACTTGTCTGCCTGTTTTAGCTGTGTTTCTACAAAGGTTGCTGTCAATATGGAGGAGGCATGGCCGCATTGAGCCCACCGAGGGCGTTGGCTTTCATGGTACAACTGTTGATATCCTGCTCACTCATTAGGTATTTCCAAGCTGCCCTGCGTGGAGAAGCTGGTTGTCATTCTCCCTCTGCATTTAGTCTCTGAATACAAACACTTTATGAATCCAGACAATTGACCTCGCACGCAAACTCTGAAGAAATACATAAAAATATCAATGCTCATCATGACGGCCATTGGACTTGGAAAGGGGACCATCCATTCTGTAGGATTACATAAGACGTCTGTAGGATGCATGAATGCATGCACGCAGCCCCACAATATGCGAAGCCCGCTCAAATATTGATCCGCGCTAACCAATCAAACCTCGCCAATTCAGGCAAGCTCCAGCACTCTTTCTTTGAAAATTTCAACACCATCAAAAAAAAAAAAAGTCGAAAAAAAAAAGTTTCTCGAAACCGACGACGACGACCACCGAACAGGCCCCGACACAAGTGACAAATTGGCCTTTGCAACTCGTCCGATCGGTCGCCCAACAACGATTCCAATTCGATTGAATTGAAACAGAAAAGAGAAAAACAAAGGAGAAAGAAAAATAAACGGCATCATGTCCTTCCGAGGCGGGTCTCGCGGTGGTGGTCGCGGAGGGTCTGGCGGCTTCCGTGGTGGACGAGGAGGAGGATTCCAGCAGAGGGACATGGGTCCTCCGGCGCAGGTCCTGGGTATGTTTTTTGATTTTTCTTTCCCATCTGTTGTTTCTGCCGTCGGCCTTTTTGGTTTCTTTTAATCGTCGTCCTTCGGTCGCAAGGAGTGGGTGGAATGAAGTCGAGAGTTCTGATGCGCTTTCTGGCCTTGGATCTGAGAAAAAAAACTCTGCCTCTTGGGGGCTTCGTGGGATATGCTGTTCACAGCTTGTTCCTCTTGTTTCTCGAGTTTCTCGAAACCTCTTGAACTCTACGCCTTCTTCCTCCCTTTCTTCTCCTTCTTCTGCCCTCACATCTCAACCAGACAACACCCTCGAAGAAAAGAAAAGAAAAAAATGCAAACTAACAATAATCTCCCCACCCCCTTTCAGAAATGGGCAAATTCATCCACGCCTGCGAAGGCGAAATGGTCTGCGAATCAATCAACCCCAAAGTCCCGCACTTCAACGCCCAAATCTTCCTCGAGAACAAGACGGCCGTCGGCAAGGTCGACGAGGTCCTCGGCCCCATCAACCAGGTCTTCTTCACCATCAAGCCCTCCGAGGGCATCCAGGCCGCCTCCTTCAAGGAGGGCGACAAGTTCTACATTGCCCCCGAGAAGCTCCTGCCCCTCGACAAGTTCCTGCCCAAGCCCAAGCCCCCTCCCGGCGCCCCCAAGCCCAAGCGCGCCGGCGGCGGCTCCTCTCGCGGTGGTCCTAGGGGCGGTGGCCGCGGAGGCTTCTCTCGTGGTGGACGCGGTGGTCCCGGCGGTGGTCGCGGTGGGTTCTCGCGCGGCGGCGGCGCTGGCGGTCGCGGTGGTCGCGGTGGAAGCGGCGGCTTCTCCCGGGGCGGCGGTGGTGGCGGTAGGGGACGCGGCGGCTTCAGCAGAGGAGGCCGCTTCTAAATCATCTTTTTTCTGGAGATGGGAAAGAAACACGGCAGCGGAAGTTCCGCATGAAGTCTGCTTGTCTCTCAATCTCTGTCTTGCTCTCCATATCCTCTTCCCACCAGGGATAGAGATATTGGGGGAAATGGAAGAACCGACTCAAAAGACACGACGGCAAGGCAGCGAGAGAGAGAGACGGTGGGAATTGCGCAAGTCATCAAAGCTACAGCGACTTGGCCGCTTCGCTTGGACAGAATGGCAGGGGAGGAGAGATTTTATATGTATACAGGGCTCTACGGCGTTTTACGGCTCGGTTATTCCTCATCGTACTTAACTTTGGGTTTTCTCGTCATCCTTAAGCTGCCCCCTTTCGTTCTTCTTCTGCCACATGGAAGAGGCAAACTGTGATGACTGGAGATGGTGCGTGTGAATCACTTGAGGCTTGTTGGCGCAAATCGACTCTCGCGACAGAATGCAAATCATCGGAGCAATAGCAATGGAGCATTAGAGAGGCGGATGTTGGGGGTATCATAATCTCTGTTACGACAAGCCATGCAAACTATATCCCCTCATCCTTCAACGGTCAATTCTCCCTGCGTAGAGGAGAGTAGCTATCCATTATATAAAACCACCGCCCTTCAACCATGATACTCTTCAGTATTTGGAGGCGCTTGCCGACCAGCTACACAACCTAACATGATAGAGCAATCTCGTATGCGCCATTCCTCATTGATCGTGAACCATACAGACCATTGACCCTCTAGCCCAGTTTGTCACAGCCGAATATCCAGCGACACCGAGTGGTGGAAAATGAATGAAAATTTGCGACTGGTTCAGTCGCAGGTTTAGGGCTTCGGAATGCGTATCGTCTTGCTGGTCATCATGCAGCCGTGAATCATGAACAAAAGCACGGCGGGGTGGAACTCGAGCGCCGTGCCCTCAAACACGGTGCCAAAGGGGATGTTGTTGAGGATCCAACCCTGCTGCAGCCAGTAGGCCATGATGGCATCCAAGCCCAGCGACGTCGGGATGGGGGTGCCCTCAAAGTATTTGCTCTTGCCAGTGGCATCCTTGGGCAAAACCGCAACGGTCACGTTGAACCGGGCAAGTCGGGTCAGGCCGCACAGGACAAAGAAGGTTAGGCCGACGGTATCGGCGCGGGTTCGAAGACCAAGTGAAAAAGCCACCATGGCGGGAGCGACACCAAACGAGATCTACAAGATGCGAAGTGGTCAGTACGCATGTTCTTGCTTCAGCTTCTGGCCGAATAAACACGGGGTATCTCCAAGAAGAAAAATCGTACCAAGTCGGCGAGAGAGTCCAGCTCCTGTCCCATGAGGCTGCTCTTCTTCCTCCATCGAGCGACCTTGCCGTCAAAGAAGTCAAAGAATAGGCCAAACGGCAAAAAGGCCAGCGCCCACCACAGATGCGAGTCTCTGTTGGCTGCGTCAAGGCACGACTGTAGCGAGGAGAAAATCGACATGACACCACAAAAACCTGATCACATTGCAAGCTTCGTTAGCACATATCTCGTCTAGAACAAGCTCCTACAAGGACGAATCGCCAACGAGACAGGGCGGAGAGGGAAGGAAACCCACCGTTCATAAGAGTAATGAGATCAGCGAGGTGCATGGCCCGCACCAGCGAGAAGTGGCCCACGTCTGCAGAAAGAAGCATCTTTTGCTTGTCAATGGCTACATGGAAGAGAAGAGAGTCAGCCAGGGTAAAAGAAAAACCTCCCCGTCAGTCGTCCTTTACCCGCACAACAGCGATGATTGTCGACTCATTCCTTGGGAGAAGACTGCAGCAAGAGAAGCGTACCTGGCTGATTCTGCGAGGGCGCATCTTTCGAGGCCTGGCCGTTTGTACCCGCCGAAGCGGCACTGAGTCGTTGTGACATGGCGAGCAGGTTTGTAAATTCGCGAACTCAGGAAAGCCGTAGCTTCTCGTACTGGATCAAGAGGCTGCTTCGTCTGTATCCGTTTCGCTTCGCGTCCTTCGTCCGTACACGGGCCTCGGGGTGTTCGCCGAATCAAACAGAGGCGGGCGCGCAGTTCTCGATCGATCAATCGCCTGAGGAAGAAGAGAAGAAGTCTCTCAGAGCAAATGTTTCAGAGAGAAGAAGCTGGCCGGTGGGGGACGGCGATTTCTCAAGAGTTGAATGGAGAAGAAGATGTAGAAGAGACAGAAGAGGAAGAAGAGGAAGAGCCACGAAGAAGGAAAAAAATAAGAGGCAAGACGCGAGGGGCCGCTACTGCTGTGAATCGCTGCTCAATCACGGCACTTGCACTTTTTAGCTGTCCTTCCTTGTCCTGGCCTTGTCCCGCGGTCCCTCTTTCCCTCTTTGTTCCAGCCAGGGTGGCGGGCTGGCAGCTGCCCATCTGGCTTGATCGATCCCAGGCAGGGACTTGTATCATTGTATCCAGTACTTATCGCACACACAGTTTACACCTGAAGCACTAACATGTAAGCCCACTAACAGCTGCTATCCTAGGCCTCTCCCCAACCTCCAAGCAAAGCACCCATCCTGTGAAGTAAGTACCCGATACAACGAAATCTCCATCGTTGGCCCCTAAGTTCCAGCAGTCCAGCCAACCCCCTTTGGAGCTGGATTCGCTGAGGGTGCACTACAAGGAGAGGGAGAAGAAAACGTGCTACGATGCACAGTGCAACCAGATGATGTACCAGATCAGCGAATCACCAATGATGCACCAGTACCTTGCCTGCTCTCGTCTCTTGTCGCAAACACACCCCTGTCAGCAAAGTGATGTCAACGTCAATCAATGATGCACAGCTCTTTCTCTTTCGCGCACTTCAACACACACACACACACACACACACATGCGCATATATGTAATACATACACCATGCATGACTGGCCGATGATGCTCACAGAGAACGACAGCAGGAAAAACAGCAGAATCACAGTGATTCAAAGGACCTCACAGCTGGCAGTAAAGCGACAGCCTAACCCCAACAAGTAGACTAGAACAGCTCTTTACATACACCATACATCCACTACTCCCAGCATCACACAGAATGAAGAAATGTTATACTAATACGTAGCAAAACGGGCACAGTGCAGCATCGCATCCAGTACCTTGGTAGCACGAGGGGCCAAACGTGGAGGGAGGATGGGCGCGGCATGCCGTCATCGTTTCCCAACGCCCGGTTTTTTATTTTTTTGCCTTGCTTTTTTGTCTTTTCCCTCTCTGACCCTAACCTCAATAGCACCCCGTGTTGAGAGAGAGAACCAGCTGAACTCCTAGGCAACTTGATGACTCTCAAAGAGCAAAAAGCATCGAGTCAAGGCAAGAAAGCGGCATGCTCAGCCCCCCCCAGCCCGGAGGCTGTGCATGTGGCGCTCCATGTGATGCTGCCATGGTCATCCAAGCTTAAGGCCATGCCGTCACATGCAAATGCTCGCCGGGCTGCATCACGCCCAGTGTTCACTCACACGATCTCCAATCCATAGCACCATGCATCAATGTGCAGCAATATCCTATAGCGATTATTATTCTAGCCTGACGCCAAAAATCCTATAATGCCTGCAATCAGGCATAGGCTGGAAATACAAACGGAGACGGATGATACCAATGCTGCACACCACTAAGCCTCCCAAATCATGTACCAACAGTTCCTGCCCGGCTGTAACCTTTTTACAATCCAGAGTTGACAATCTTATCGTCTTCTTCCTCCCTCGGATATGTTTGCTCAATCCCAGCGACATATGAAAAAAGTAGAGCTGAAAGGGAGCGACAAAATTCAACCAAAACGCCGGGCACAAGGTCCAAATCAGCCTGTGCCTCACCTCCTTGTCCTAATTTTCTTCGTGTATGAACAGCCGGTTTGTGCATCCTTCCTGGCCTCTGATCGACCCATTAGTTGTCTCCCCCAGTGTATTGCTACTGAAAACCCAAAAACAAGACCGTCCAAGGCAAAGCTAGGTCCAAATGCTCGAGTAATCCATAAATGGGATGTAAGATGCATAATATATGCCTCTGTTTTTCGTCTCGTCCTGCGTCCAAGTCGACGCGGGCCTAATGCTTGATGAGAATGGAAAAGCCGTCGACCCACGGACCGCATGTGCCGGCAACGCCACAGATAGAAAAGCCCCGAGGAGGCAACAGAGTGTGTCTGTCTCGAATGGTCAGTCTGATCTCGCTGTTCTCATCTACCTTACTACATGGACCAAAGTGACTTACGCAGAACCTCCATGGGCATTGCCAAACATGGCAGACTTCCTACCGAGGCTGGTCAAGAGCTGGACGCCGTCGATCCAAAAGCCGGCCCTCACGACGAACCCTGTGAGGTACTCTCCGCGCCGGACATCTACCACATTCATGTCAGCCTGGGTCTCCTCAATTCGCTCTCGAAGCCGACAAACTCACCAAATTCAAAGGTGTCTCCCCCCACCTTTCCTCCCCTCTTCCCAAACAATTGCGTCGAGTTATCGTCGTAGACGAATTCGAGTCCGTCCAATGCTCGGCCATGGTACACAATGACACGAGACATGACGCGGTCCTGCTTCAGAGCGCTGGTGAAAATAACCTCGTGGGGCTCGCTGCCTTGCATCTTGGAGTGCCCGAGGCTCTTGCACCGGAACGCCAGCTTGCCACCCGGCAGCTTCACCGATGACGACTTTGATGCAAACGCCTTGAAGTCGTCGATATCCAGGGACCCTCCGCCGTGAGACTTGATGGACACCCTTATGCGTCCCTTTCTCTTGGCCTCCGGCAAGCGAGCTCGCAAGTCCTGCTCGATCAACGTCACTTGCCGCTGGATGGGGGTATTGGTATCTGGCATGTACTCGATCCATGAGCGGCAGACATCATCTCCCTCTCCGTAGATTTCGATAAAGGCGATCCCAGTCTGTGCCACGGTCAGAACGTTGCCGCCGTCGATAGCAAAGGCCTGGACGCTCTCGTCGGGATTCATCGGGGGGTCGTTGGGTAGCCTAAAGGCAGGATGCGCTCGGAAGCGAAGGCAGTCCAGGCGATGCCAGCCACACTCGTCGGCTTGCAGGGCCAAACCCCCCTTGGACTTGGTCCTGGTGGAATATGCTTCACGAGCTACAAAGCTCCGATTGAGAACGACGTAGTCTCTGAGCATGATTCCTCCTTCCTGGTGTGGGCATCCAAACAAATGGCCAACCTCGTGCAAATGCGCGCCGATGCCAATATTGGCAGCTTCCCAGGAGCTCCCCGCCTCGTTGCAGTCGTTAGCCACATACGCAGTGTCCGTTGGCGTGCAATCGGTGAAGGCCGGCACCACCTCCTCGAAGCAGCTGGGGTAGCTGTGCAGGCAGTGTGACCCAAAAATGCCCAGTTGCAAATCTCCGCTGCCGCCCCCGAGCGCGGCGTGACCGCGTATGGTTTTGGCGTCCTTGTCCCAGTGGGCATCGAGCAGGAGAACCGCAACGTATTGGGTCTGGCCCGGCAACGGGTTCAGCTGCTTCTTCACTGCTGAAGCGGCAATGTCAAAGAGGGCATTCTTGTCCGTGGCCTTGTCGTACTGCTGCGCCTTGTTGAGGTCCCGCAACTCTGCCACCGTCTTGTCGGACCGGATTACGTGAACGCGGGCCTCAGATCGCATGGTGCCACTCTCCCTATCGCGGTAATTGGCAGAGCCCGACGTCCACTCCTCCTCGAATCGAAACGTCCGCCGCCCAAGCTTGTGCCTCCACATCTGCTCTGCGGTGAAGGCCTGCCAGAGGTAGGCTGCCATTCGGAACTTCTTAATAGCCGTATCCAGACCATTTCCTTCCCGTTCAGCACGCGACGGCGTGGCATCAAAGGTCCCGGGTGAGTCCTTGCCTAGGACAATGGCCAGCTGCAGCGGTGGTGCATTCAATGAAGGCACCATGTGAAAGGTAAAGTACGAGACATGGATTGGGTTGGAGGATGAGCTGTTGGCAAGCTTGGGGCTGGAGAATTCAAGTCTGATCTTGTTGGGGCCGGGTTGAAGGTAGACGAGAGCCTTGAAGTTGGAATCGCACACAGGCCAGCTCGTTGGTGGGAAGGCGTCGTCCTGTCTGCTGATGATGAGAGTTCCTTCGAGGTGATTCTGCTGCGACTCTCCCACTGCGCCGTGCAGCAAGAGAACCTTTTGGTATACCTGAGACAAGAGAATTAGCAACCTTGTCATTACAAAAACGCAAGCCCCCCCCCCCCCCCCCCCCTCCTTTTTTCGCAGTGAGCAAACTCCAAACAAGACAACCGGTTACAACGGCGAGGCGATTCCGTAGTGAGAGGCCAGGTGAAATGCCCAGCCAAGGGGGGACAGATAATATGTATGTAGACAAGTGGTTTTGCGCAAACTTACCCATGCGCCGTCCGAGATGTTCGAGACACGCGGAGCATACTGGGACACTGGCAGGTTGGTCCTCCCGTTGGGCGAAGGAGATCCCAGGCCAGACATGCCTGAGACGCTGTACCGACTCGAGTTCCCGCTGGGCACCATCATGGGCCGGGTGGGAGCCTGTGCCGCGGACTGGCCAGACCCATTGCTGTCCTTGACCTGGAGATTGAGCGCGGGATCCGACTGCTGGGCCACTGAGGGCGGCGTTGATGAGCCGCTGGACGGGGCGGTGTCGTGAGTGTCGTGGCTCAAAGCACCATCGCTGGATGCATCGGTCGAGGTTTCGGTCCGGAAGCTTGCCTTGGATCGACGACGCAGGTCTCTGAGGGAGAGGAATGACGGGGCCATGGCTGCTGAGATGAGGCGAAGATGGAGAGAGTTGAGAGTACGTATGTATATGCTGTCCGGCAACGAGTGAATCTGGCCCTCGTCTGCGGTTCTTCTTTCAGCAGAAGCAGAGAATGGGTGCCTGCCGGCTTGTTTGTCCCTCTGCCGCAATCAATCAGGGTGAAGAGGAGGGCCTTGGTGAAACGAAACCAAAAGCCGTCAGATCTAAGATGAGCTGTCACTCAGCCGCGCCAAGAAAGCGAAGGACAAGGCGCTAGGCGAGGTGAATCTCCAGCTGCATTGACCAAAAAAAAAAGAGAAAAGAAACCACACGGCGACTGCAGTTGGTGAGTCGCAGATTGCCGACTGTCTCCCAGAGGCGATGTGTAATCCGTGCTGTAGAGAGTGTAAGGTAAAGGCAGATACTAAGGTACAGTGTAGAGTAGAAGCGATAGATGCCCGTCCTTTTTGCGTCGGGAGGGCTGCGGCTGACACGAATCTGCGCTGGTTGGTTCGATGGATGCTGACGTCTGGGAGGGTCAAGGATCTCAGGGTCGCAACAGGTTCGAGGCAGCGTCAGGAGGTCGAAAGCGCAAGGCGTGTCCCAATTGGAGGGTGCTGAGGGCAGGATCAGGTCTGGAAGCCTTGGAGAGAGGGAGAGAGAGAGAGAGGGAGGGAGAGCGGGAGAGATGGACAGGAGAGAGGAGACACTCGAGGCAAGCGAGAGGAAGAAGATAAAAGGGCCAATGCAGCAGCCTCGACCTGGTGCCACAGCAGCTGGGGGACGAGAGCGAGCAAGCGAGCGGACGGTAGGCGCTTGTTGCGGCCGACCTTGCGTGCGAGCTTTGCCTGGTGCTTTTACGAGTGGGCGGTCGAATTGATATGAGAGCAAGCTGGATTCAATGGAGAGTCGAGGAGAGAGATGGTCAGAAAGGATGAGAAAAGAGGGATCGGCGTTTGGGCCGCACACGCGTCACCAGTCGAGATGCAGAGGGGGAGGAGGAGGGTGGAAGAAGAAGGAGGCAGAGAGGCAGAGAGATAGAGAGAGAGGCTGTGATAAGCGTCAGGTCAGGAGAAGCTCCATGTCATATTATCCTCCCCTTGTTGGCGGACGGGCTCGTACAAGTGCAGTCAGTGTGTGTGTGTAGCATTATGACCTGTAACCCGGTCCCCATCATTACAGTAGAGCCTTGGTATTATGCCGGGCAGCTTGCTCTGCTTGCCGTGCTGCTTTTCTTGCTACGTAGCATCTGGACGGATTGGCATTGCCGTGCGGAGCACATCCAAGCCCTCTCTCTTTTCCCTCTCTCTCTTCTCTCTCTCTAGTATTATTCAATCCATCTTGCTGCTTGCTTCCCACCCCCGTATCCGCCTGCGTGCAGACAAGGAACAAACCAAGGACAAGAAGCGAGGACAAGCTCGGCCAAACTGGCCTTGTCGAGATTGCAGCCCGTAACGATGACGTCGCAGCGGCCCGGGATTTCAATCCAGTAGCTCTATCTATTTTTTCCCTCCTTCGACGGCTTTGGGAGGCCTTGTGGGGGGGGAAACCGCAGAAACAGAAGCGCCAATGCAAAAGACGGGAGGGATTGGCCAATTCGAGGCTGCGATGGATGGGAAATGCCGTGGCGCTATTAATGGTTAATACCAGGGGGGTATCAATGTCAAACGAAGCGGCCCTACGAAGAGGGTGTAGAGGTGTGTGTGTGTGTGTGTGTGTGTGCATGTGGTGCTGGGCAGATCGTACAGAAACGGTACGGACACGCACTAACTGATCGCCATGATGGGCTGCTGCAAGAGCTTTCTTCCATTGTGAGGTACTGTACAGTATACGGAGGATCATTGCGAGGGTTATACGAGCTTGACGAGATAAAGAGCGGGAATTGGGAATAAGGAACAATGGCGGCAGGGCAATTGGAGGAATCCCAACCCCTTGCATCGCTTCGCTTCGTCCCATCTACAATCCAGACTGCTGTTTCTTTATCGGAAATTTCTGCCACGAACAGGGAATCAATGCTCCAAACACAGTCGCTGCAGCTGCTAGGGGGTAAATAAAAAGCAAGGAAATCCTTGGCAGATTCATAGATTGGCAAGTACAGTAGGTAAGTAATGATAATAACTCGTACGTAGGCCTAGACGTCGGCTGCAGGAGAAAAGGGCGTGGCTGTGAGTGGTGGTGTGGACGGCATCGGCTCGGCGTGCATAAGGTACGATAGGTAAACACGATATGCGACTCGTACGTACGGTCCAGGCCAACCTTGCAAACCCCCCCACCCTCATTCTCTGGTCTTCCATCTGCAATCGTCTTTTGCTGCGCCGGTTCTGGAAATCCAGAGAAAATCGAGGCTTGCGTCTTGAATCACTCTACCCTGGTTGGAGGCGCCACGCGGCTGGCAGATGGGATTTTGAAACCCGTGGCGATTTCATGTTGTTCCCATCAGCAAGTACGTACTAATACTGTAGGTCGGCAATGAGACCCGCGCCGAAAACACCATGCCAGAGGCATCCATGGATCTTGGTGATCACCGCGAACATGCAGCAAGATTACAACCTCAATTTGTGCTACTCCTCTTGTACATACGCGTACTGACTGATAAGGCCATGCAGTAATACCTACCTCATGCGTTAACAACACCTTGGTAGCACCAGCGGCAACAGCACCACCATTATCATGATAGGAGAAAAACTTCCTTACCGACTCAAGCAACCTGAAAGTTCATATAAGGTACCTAGTAACCTAGGTACTCCTAGCGCTACTCAAAGTCATGGCGTCATCAAAGGACACGCAGGCAATGCCTCATGCATCCGAAACGGCTTTCTCATGAGAGCGACTTTCGACTGGCTGGATAGTGCATATCAGATCCGCATTAGGCATTGGGGGGTGAATGTGTGGACATTGCGACTCCTCACCTCCATTAGGATAAATCCCAGGCCAAGTGATGATGAAGCTCTTGACAGCGTCCATGATGCCTGTCAGTCTCTACATGTATGCATGGATGTACGAGTATAGCCTGAAGAAGACGATGAACCTCCTCAACCCTCCACGTCAGCCAGTGAGTGATGGATGTTACCTACCTTTGACTCTCCCACCTCCAGTCCCCTGTCATCTCCCCTCCTCCTCCTCCTCCTCTTCTTTCTCGTCCAGTCCAGCGCAAGGCTCGTTCTTCACCAAAGCTCCAGCCCCGGCTCCAGCTGCAATCAAAACGGCCGCCAGCTTTTCAGCAACCCGCCCCGACCTTGATCGCCGATTGGAGGCGCTAGCTTAAAGTGCCTGCATCGCCAGATCCACGAATTGCCAAGGAACATGCGCATGGCGTGATACGATAATAGTACTAAGGTAGTAGGTAGTAGTAGTAGAGCGCTAGACGTTCGCTACGGCTCAGCGCTAAGAGATGGATCCAGGACCAGAGGATGAACTCCAAGTTTCTACATTCCAATGGAATCTCTGCCCAGGCACAGGTACCGCTTACAACTTGGTGCCTGACCAAGGTGTATCTAGTACATGTACACAAATAGCCCCGATGGCAGAGTAAGGTACCTAATGAGGAGATGACAAGACGAGTCCGAGGTTGAGCTTATGGTAGCACTTGACTCTTCCATCACGTCTCACCTCATCCCATCCAACCATTCAGACATCTTCAAGTCGTTCGCCGCCCTTTAGACTTTTCGCGGCACTCTCACTTGATCACGCCCTCTTGCACATTGCCTGAAACAGCCTTGGCCCCGAACCTACTATAGTATAGTAGGTAATAGGAAGGACCTCTTGTTTTTGGCGAGCAAGACTTCACGGCTCTAAGCCCCATGGAGTCTAACCTGCCAAAACTGACTATGCCCCTCTCTTTCATCTTCTGACGATCAAACAGCCACATCTAATGCATCACCATCCGCATGCGGACCAAAAACCGGCATCTCCATCTCTTTTTTTCTTTTGGATTTTCTTTCTATTTTGGTCTCTCATATTTAGGCTCACGAAGTGTCTCTCTACAGCATCGACTTCACTACGAAGCGTTGCTAGCCAACCAAGCCTCGTCTTTGCTGACGGTATCCGTAAGTGGATGGACTGTATCGCGATGGAACCTGTCACAATCTCTCCACGTGTGAGGCCACACTTTCCAGTCCCCCTCATCACGAAGAGCTCCTCCGCATGCAGTCCTCCTCTGCAACCCGTTCTGGGACGATGAACCCTCTTCCATTTGCCACTTGCCTCGTCCAATGAAGGGAAGCCAAGCTGCAGACTCACAGACTCATCCCCCAATGATTTCTTCAGTCCCTCGATGGGTCATGAAGCAAGCAAACCGCTTCGGAAATACTGTTCGCATGATTTGCACATCCCTGCCAAGAACTGCCGCGCTGCTAATCGTGCAACTCGTCGTCCACTGAGGATTCAAGAGGGGCGTCGCCCGTGACTACCTGCCTATATGTCCACGGGTAGTAGTACGTGCAACACCCACGGCAATCGATCAGGAACTCTGTACGAGTGTCATCTCCTTTCCGCGGTTATCGACAGTCGCTTTTTGCCATCACTGTTTGACCGAGTTCTACACACCTTGGTGCTATCGCCGGATTGTTTTTGCCCCGTCCAAGTGCATCTCGTCGGTATCGAGATGGGCACGAGCATGCCCCAGTGAAGATGGTCGCCGTCTCTTTGTTCCCTTGTGATCCCGGCCTATCATTGCTGCAAATAGTAGAGCAAACAGCTGAGCTTGCATGATGCCCGCTGCAGGGGCTGTCGAGCCAACCGAGGGTAAGGTACATCCATACATGTATGTCAGCGATCAGCCCATGGCCATGTCCATTCTTTGTCCAGTGCACACGAAACCGCTCTTGCGGAGGAATGCGAGCAATTTGGGGGACTATCATCACTTTGCAATGCCAAAAGAAGGGATACGGATTGGACTAATGAGTAAGTTGCAAATTGGTCACACATGGTGAGTACATACATTGTGTCGTACGGACTGAGACAATGGCAGGGACAGGGAAGAGGGAAGAGGGAGAACAGCCCACATGTCTCGAAACTGCAGCAACGGCAGCATCTCTGTGGCAGGCCCGCCGAAGCCGGGTGTTGGATGTCTCAGAGCAAGATTAAAAATCCATTCAACTGCTGTAGAGCAGGACATTGTAGCAGCAGTGTTGCGGTGAGACAAGTGTTCGGAGTAAATCAGCTTGGAGGTCACTGCTGCATATCTTGTGTTGAGTATCAAATTCTCGCAATCCTCAGGCAAAAAGACATCAAACGTCCTGACCTGTAACTTGATGTTCAGCAGCAACAACTACTAGGCCCCCCAGCCCGTCAACCACGCCTTTCTGGTCTACTACGTGGCAGCAGTCATCGTCAGATCTGATCCTTTGCCCGTGCGTAACAGAAAGGCAACCAACCAAACAGAGCCCAGCAGTCACCTCACCTCTCCCGTCTCCCGCCCTCTCCTCACCTGCACTCCTCGTCAACCAGCGGCCGAACCCAGTTGAGTTGAGCCCAACCTACACACAGCGCCCCGTTAGTGCCAGCTCAAGCCCCTCTAGCACCCATGGACCTGACCGACCGGTTGCCCACAGCAGCCTAGCAGCCTGCCCAGCGCCCTTGTAGGGGCCGCCTGTACCGGCTCGCTCACCCACTGGTTAGGTGCCCGACCCTGCGCGACAAGCCCCAGCCCCAGCCCCAGGCCGCTATTGGCGCTGCTGCTGCAGCAGGGCTCGACTGCTGCAAGCCTCCAGCTCCAGCTCCAGCTCTCCCTCCGCCTGGCTAGGTAGGTACCGCATACCGCCTACCGCCTACCGCCTACCGCCTGCAGCCTACAGCCACAGTCAGCCAGTGCCAGAGCCAGAGCTGACCAGAGCAGAGCCGCTCCATCTGGTCGGGTCCTTTTTCGCACTCCACCTTCTTTCCGTCTTTCACGCACACACACTTTGCCCTCCCTCATCACCTCGTTCGCCGCCCTGCACCTCCGCCCAACTCCTGCTTCACCCGTCGCAAACCAGAGGCAACAGAAGCAGCGTGAGCAGCAGACGAAGCCTGTTGGCCTGTACTTTGTTTTGCACGAGACTTTGCAGACGCAGCAGACCTCGTCCGGGCCTCCTTACGGCTGCAGATGCTAGGGGCGTTCTCGCCGGTTTTTTGGTAGTTAACGATGGCCTCGCCTTTGAAGAAGCAGCCGCAGGATGTCGCCGACTGCGTCCTGAAGCGTGCAGAAGTCAGCAAGGTATGCCATGCCTCTCGCCCTCCCTCTCCCAGTCGTTGATTTTTCATCTGATTTTCTTCTGCGGCATCAATTGCGGCTCCATTGTGTTACTTTTTAATCTTTCTTTTTCTTTTTCCTACCTTATCTCTTCTCTTTTTTTTTCCGCTTCCGAATCGGCCACTTTCACTAACAGACGAACCCTCGACGCAGATTGCCCGCCGACTCCAGAACCGCCTCGCACTCGCGCAATTCAAGACCAAGCATGGCTGGGAAGACCTGACGCTCGACATCATAGAACCCAAGGTGGAGGAGGAGATCCGACGCAAGCGTCTCTACGAGGGCGATGTCCTGTCCGACTCCTCGTCAAGTGCATCCGACCTGCCGTACCCGACCAAGACGCTGATGAGCTCTCCTCTCAAGGCGCCCTTGTTCTCCGATGCCGTCGGCTCGAGCAATGGCAGCTCCGGCCACCGCAAACGCACGTACTTTGCCTCGTTTGACAACAACGCCTCGAGTCCGACAAAGCGCTTCCGCGGCTCCCCGACACCGCACAAGTCCTTTGGCGGTCACACGCTGTGGAAGGACGGGCACCAGCTCACGCACCCGTCCCCCATGAAGCCTCGCCGGCAGCAGCACTTCACCACCTCGGCCGGGCCCGACGTCTCCTTCTTCCAGCAGCGGCGGATGACCAATGAGCTGAGCGCTCACCCAAACTTCACCGCCCCGGACGACGAGGATGACGATCTCCTGCCAGCGCACTCGTTTGCCACCAACATCCGATCCTCCCCCCCTCGCACGCCGCCAATGCAGTCGCGGTCCCTGCGGAAGAGGCCGGACGGTGCCGAGGCGGGCCAGGAGGGAGCCGATCTGCTGCTGTACCTGGCGGCGTCGCCCTCGCCAGCGGTCAAGACAAACAGGGCTCGGATGGAGCGCCCGTCGACGCCGCCGCCCAAGAACAGCAAGCTGGATCTGCCCTCGGCCATGATGACGACGCCCGGCGGAGGCAATCCGTTCCCCAACACCCCCGGACAGGGCTTCGACTTTGCCGACTTTGTCAACATCACGCCCAGCCCAGCTCAGAAGGTCTGGAAGACACCCAATCCTCTCACAGGCGCTCGCACTCCGCGCAGCGTGGCCAGGAAGCGCCTTACGTTTGATGAGCCTCGACATTGATGACCCCAACGAAGCATTTGCCTCCCGATCTGTGACGAGCATCCCGCAATGCCTCACTGTCCCTACCTGTTTGCTTCTTGTACATGATACCACGACACCGTATGCCGTACTGTATACGGCACCTATTGATTTTAGTTATTATCACACCTATATCCTGTTTCTCTTCTACAACTTTTTGTTTCTTATTCTCACTCCCAAATCTCCCCTGTTGTATGCATCTATCTGTTCTTGCTTTATTCCGCCCTCTTTGATGGCCACGTCAGGAGCTAATATTTTGTTTGGATGTCTGGCCTTTGGCGTTTTTTTTCTTTTTTCTTTTTTCTTTTTACTTTTGTTCTCGATTAGATGGCCCTCTATGATGCAGCATCCATCGAGAAAAGGATTAGAAGAAGAGCAGGGCACGAACTCTGACCGTTTGGAGACATTCGATATTGCCAATGCGGAACGGTCATGATGATGGAAAAGGAGTTGAGCTGCGGCACTTCCGCGCAGAATGCGTTATGTTTGTTTGTTTATCTTTGCCATTTCCCCCCCTTCCATGGCAGTGTATACTGCGGTACAGCAGCGGGATTTTGGCAGACGCCGGTATGAACGGGATGGTTGGATGATTACCCCTCCTGGTGTATGAGCCAGGCAGGCCTCTTTTTTGTGAAGGCCGAGGAAGAAAAGAGAAAAAGACTGAATGTGATACTAGTAGTTAGTCGCGTCAATGATAGTGATTCTTTCCGCGTTGTCTTTGAGTTTCCCCTCTTGTTGGTGTTTACTGTTGACGTGTGTCTGCTAAATTCGTGACGGATGGTGAGTCAGGTGTCTGGTGGCTTTTTGATGTCTTCGCGCCCACGCAGAGAAACGCGCTCCGAGTGGTGTTGAACGACGACAAGCGGGCAAAAGGTCATCAAGCAAGACGCGACTCTCTCTTACGGTCTTTTTCTTTGTCGTTGCTGTGTTTGGTGCCGCGTCGAGATAACGCGTTGCACGAAAGGGTAATTCTGAAGCTGGATCCGGGGCCTTGATTGGATGACGGTGAGGTAATGTGGCGTTTTGGTGTGAGTACTAGTAAATGAGTGTGTGTGCATTGTGTGTGTGCATTGTGTGTGTGTGTGTAGTACTAATGTGGGTGGGAGATTTGGGGTTGTGGTGGTGAGGGGGGGGGGGGGGGGGGAATGGGTTGGAGGAGGTGCCATGAGGATGTAATGCTGCTGTTTATATAGATGTTTATATGTGCCTACATACAGGAACAGGGAGTGATGGCGATGGCTGCGGGTGTTGGCTACCTTAGTTGGGACGACAAGTGTCAGAAGGGGTGGATTGAGATGACTTGTATGAACACACTTGTCTAGTGAAGTATTGAGATGCTGGTTCTTGGTAGTATAGGTACGGCAGGTTGAGTTGTTGTTGGCTTGGCACCAGAGAGCTCGACACATCCATTTGAAGCCGCTCATCACTCACCTCCACTTACACCAGACTGGCCCCCCTCCTCCTCACAGCTTACCCTACATTTTCCCAAAGCACAAGTTGACACGTTTTTTTTTTTTTTTTTTTACTTTTACCCAAGGCATGAGCCACTGCTTGCGCTTGAATCAACTCCAGAGAACTTTGCTTGGTTCTGTAAAAGACTTATCGATAATCTATATGCACCTGCAGCTGAAGTTGCTGTTCTTGAGGCATCTCCTCGTTGGTATTGGACACCTCGCGACGCAGGATGACGCACGAGGGGGCTGCAGGTACGTTAGCCTGCATTTTCCACATTCATTCGCCCAGCAAGCGATCGAATGACGCTCCTACTTCAAAATCATATAGTAGTACCTAGACAAAGTGAACCAACACCACGAGGAGGCTGTGAATTTGGTCGTTGGATTGAAAAGACTCGTGCAACAAGACTATAATCAATCATCTGCTGCGGGTATTATCTGCCATATGCCATCATCTACATACTCATACAGACTAAAACTTTTGAACAGGGTGCCAACACCTCAGACTGTACATTCTTCACCGTGGCTTGCCGACAACTGACGAATCCGCCACTTAAAAGAGGTCAACAGCTCTCCTTTCCATTGTCATAAGATCCAGGGAGCGTTGCCTTCACTTCCCGTTTTCATGCAATAGTAGGGCTGTCAACCCTCTCGACCAGGCCTTCGGATCCAACAGGTTCTTCCTTGACGGCCCCCCAATCGCCCATGCTGGAGCCGCTCACATACCGTGACGTATAGCTGTCGTGAGAATTCTGCTGGAATTGGCCGCTGTACACGGAGCTGGCCCTCGTGGAGACGGCAGCCCCTGGCGGGAAAAGTTGGTTGGTCTGTAGCTCCAAATCGAACGGATCCGACCGGAACTTGTCACGTCGCTCGATGAATGACTCCCGGTCCTGATCCATCGATTCAAGGTCATGGACAGACTCTCGGTGCACAGAGTGCGGCCGGGGAGGGCCCCTAGGGACCTGAAAGTTTCCAAGGCCGCCCAAAGATCGACCCCTAGACCGCCGGGTTGACGCCGAAACAGGGGGAGGCAAAATCATGTTGTCATCGCTGAAAGGATTCAATATCGAGGATCGGGAAGGCGGCAGCGGCACCGTCCTCGATATCATAGAATTGGCATCTGAGAACGGATTCAGCTTGCCAGGTTCGAGACTTGTGCCTTGTCCCTTTCGAAACTCTTGCCTGTTTCCGGGCGCGACGGGATGCTGGCATAACGGGTCTGGCGGCAGCGTAGCTTCGACTGGTTCAGCAATGGCCTCTTCGAGAAATTGAGAATTTCCCTTGTCCATGTTGACATTACGGGATCCAAGTTTCTCGCCAAGATTGCGCCCGACAGCTTTCAATGTCGTGAACATTCCCAACCTTTGCGCCATTGACTTGGGAGAGCCCTTTTCGGTAAACCCACCCTCCTTGCCCGAACCCCGTCCGCCGTCTGCGACCCTTCTTCTCCAAAGCCAAAGTAGGATGAGGATGAGAGCAACCGCGGCGATGCCGCCTACTGTGCCACCGACAATGGTGCCTGTTTGTGGTTTCGTACTTGAGCCAACCGGATCCTCGATAGGTTCTCCAGTAGGCTGGCTACCTGCCGACGGGCTGCTTCCCAACGAACCCCCTGGAAGAGTGCTGGCAACCGTGGGAAAGGCTGCAATGCCTCCAGCAGACTCTGATGTAGTCAGACTCTCTCCCGTTGCTGTGCTGGAATATGTATCGCTTAGTATAGAATCGCTAAGCGGCACACTTGTTGTAGATACAGGCGTTGATGTGGCCCCAGAAGGGGCTGCAAGGATAGCCGCGGAATCTGGCGCAGAGGTTGAAATAGAGGCTGATGTCGGAATCGGAATCAAAGACGTAGCTGAGGCGGACGTGGTCGATGCAATGAATACATCGGCTGCAGACACGCGCTGATTGACTGGCCCCGTGGGAGCGACTGGTGGTTGCTTCTGCGTCGATGAGTTGGCTTTTGCCCTCGTTGACGCTGACGGCGAAGTGGCTGGGGGAGAGGAAGTTGCCGCAGCAGGCAAAGGCGCTTCAGCAGAGGAAGCTGCTGAATTAGAAGACAGAACTGAAGGTTCGGCCGGGGGATCGACGGATTCTGCGCTGAAGACCTGCGGCTCCTGAGTCGAGTCATCGGTAGGCTGCGCTGCAACTGCTGTAGCTGGAGGCGAGGTGGCTGACAACGGTTTTGCCGGCGCTGATGATATCTCCTGTGCGATGTCGCTACCGGCGGCCGAGCTTGGTGATGGTACCGTGGCTGTGAGAGGCGTCTGCTTGGACGGCGTGGCCGTGGGCGCCTTACTGGTCGAAACTGTGGTCAATAACACGGTTTGAGGGGAGGACTCTTCTGCTGAGGATGTCGTTTGTGCTGGTGAGGAGGAGCCAGCTTGATTGCTGTCGGTGCCTTTCGTAGGCAGCACGGGCTTGTCACTCGTCGTCGAACCTCTATACTCAGCGACTGTGGTTGAAGAAATGCCGACGGTTTCCTCCCCAGAAAGGCCCGACCTCGAAGTGCTGGGGGTTTGTGAAGGCGGGCTATGCGTTGTATCTGAGGCCAGAGCTAGGACGTCTTTGCTCGACGTTAGGAGGCCCTGAGCTGAATCGCTAGATATGACGCTGGAGGAAGGCAGCGTAGAGATGACCGGGCCCCTATTGGCAGTAGAGCTGGCATTGAGGAAGGCGGCTGACCCAGGCAACTGACTATCAAAAGATGTCGGAGAGGCACCGCTCGGAGGGCTTGACATGACGGTTCAATCGACCTGCGGACCAGCCGCAATAGAAGGAAAGGAAGAAGAAACGAAGGAAAGAAGAAAGAGAAGGGGTTGAAGGATGTTCATGTATGAAAGAAGGTACTAAATGAAGCGAAGAAAAACACAAGGAAGCCTTGTAGACATACAAGGGAAGAACACAACTAGCCAACCATAAGAGAACGAGAAAGTGAATGAAAGTAGATTGCAAGAGTGACAGGAGAAAAAAAAAAATGCCAGACCCAGTGACAGACGAGGAAATAGATTAAAGAGGACTGAAGGTGCGATATCCGGGATGCGCGAGAGAAAAGTCTCGGGAATCATGCGTCTGTCTTGGCAGCACCCTCCAACGTCCTCTCGGCGGTACCACCTAAAATTGGCAGCCATAGGGGCCACAGAAACAGAAGCCGTCTAGTTCCTGCAAGGCAACGAAACACATTGCATCGCGCTGTGTGATATGCGAGGGTTGCGCCGATGCGATCTTGCATATGGGAGGCGGCGCTCCGTATCAGGGGCTGAGACCCCCAGTTCTGCGACACTTCTGAAGCATCATGACATGCGAGATGGGGGGGATGGCGCCCGCTTTCGAACTAGCCTGGCCGACAAAGGGGAGCGGTTGGAAGGCCCATGGCAAATATTGGGCTGAGAAAAGCAGTGGCAAAGGTATGGAAACGTTACCACTGGGCAGAAGAGGCGACGGGGCAAGAGGAGGCTATCCCCATGTGATCGTCGGGCAGCGCTTCGAGGGCCACGCGAGTCTCTGGCCGCAGCTGCGCTTGGTCGTTGGCTGTCCGTGTGTTAGTCGTAGGCGTGGTACAGAAACGGTCGTCAGCGCGGTGCTATTTGGCTCATGTGGAAGGATACGGGGGCGGCCAAGATGACGGAGTGCGACCAAAGGTGAAGGTGACACATCCATACATACAGCTGACAGGCACCTTTCTGAGCGCCAGCATCCTTTCACCTGAAGTCATCGAGTATGTATAGCCGTCAGGCTTCGCGAGAGTAATGGAGCCGACCATGAAACCACGCATCTACACGGCATCGTTCCATATGGAGCGTGTACCTCCCCGATTAGGCGCCGTTGGACGGCCTGATCAACGCTAAAAGGTCTAAAGAGAGGCACGGCGACAGGTATGGCTTCTTGATTGGCACGAGCCCGTGTATTGAGTCGTGGAGCGCCAGTCAATGCCTTGTGCTTTGCGCGTGGGATAGTTTACACAGGTGCGTTGTGTGTCGTATGTCGTGCGTCGTGCGTCGTGCTGCGTGCTCTTGCTTCGTGCTTCGTTCGCCATTCCTCCTATTCCATACATGTGCGAAGATTGGGACTTGAACTCTGGAACGCAATATTTGGCGGATAATATTCAAAAATCTGCCAATGCTGGAGTTTGCGACTGTTGGTAACGGTTGAGTATCAGCTTTCCGAAGCATGCCGGAGAGGCGATTGAACTGCAAGAGCCAGTCGTGGAGATGCTCCGGATATTCGTCAGGCGGGATTGTCAAGCATCTGTCAATGCACGTCAGATGCTCCCAAGCTCATTGACCCCAAACTTGGTGGACGATACGGAAGGCGGAGATTGGAAGCAGAAGGATGGGGATCTTGAGGATTCACTTGCCTCGGCGACGTGTGAGTTGCATCTGTGAGTTGCATTTGTGAGTTGCATACGACTTCGGTGGCGAAGAAAAAGCAGCCATCTTCCCTCGTCCGCTCTCTCATCCGAATCCGTGGTAGTGATGAGGAACGTGACCACATGGTAAGGTATCAGCTTCGTAAGTTGAGTCTTGCTGCCTCTCGGTGCTCGAAAATGCCTGATAATCTCGTGGCCATGACTAAGATTCTGAACATTAATCGCCCTTTTGACATACGGCAGGAGCGATGTGATCGGGGCCTGCCGAATAGTACTAGGTACTAGGTACTAGTAGATGCCTCTTGTTGGATAACCGAACTCGAGACCTGGGGCAGGCACGGTAGAGACATCTCCTTCCCAGATACTCCGTACCCACGGAAGACAAAGAGCTTAGTAATGCTGCCTTCATCAGAACAACTGAACCTGAACCTCAATCCTCCTTTTGCATCGTCCGGCCGCGGCCAAACAACACACTTGCGAGGCTTCCAACTGCCGGCTTGCAACAATGATGCGTGGTCACAACCTTCAATGATCCTCACTACCGATCCAGCAGGCGACGTGAGGCGGGGGAGCTGTTAGCCGCTGACACACACACACACACACACACACACATGCACATGCCATTGATCTTGGAGAGCAGCCAAAAGGCACGCACTAAAGAGCTGCCTCCTCTTGCGCCATGCCCCTGGGCCACTCACTACAGCAGCCGTCTGTCCCCGTTTGGGATTGGGATTCTTGACCATTCATGCAGCTCACCAGCCTACTGCACTCCTCACTCCCAGCCCGCAGGACAGGTACCGAATACGAAGCAGACAGACGAGCGCGGAGCACGGCGGCCGGCAGTTTGGTTGACCCGCCAGCTGGCTCCAAGCGAAGCCACTCACAGCAGATTGCGTCGTTTCTCCCACGAATCCTGCCTGCTCTCTGTCTCCGCCTCCGCCTCCGCATCGGCTCGGGCACTGCCAGCTTCTGCTGTCATCTTCTAGCACACGCGCAAAAGAGGCCATACCCGAGTCCGCTCGCCGAACCGCGTCTCCCCCCCCGTAAACGATCGTGAATCGGGGACGCTTGTCCTTGGGTCTGGCCCGCTCTCGTATCCGCACCCGCGCCTGGCATCTCCGAGACCCCATCGCTTCGGCCACGTCGTTGCTTGCGATCTGCCGAAGCGGTCGGCACCCGTCTTTGCCTCCAGATCCGCCCGTCTAGCCCATCCGTTGAGGCGACGGCCTAATCCTCTGCCCCTCTTCCTCCTGGAGACGAACCTGGGCTACGATTGCGGCTTCGGCTGGAGCTGGCCTTACCCACTATCTGTCCATCAATCAATCAATCAATCAATCATTCAATTCACGCTCTGTCGTGTGTCCATCACGGGCAGTCAACCATGTTCGGATCCTTTGGCTTGGGTATGTCTCCTCCGTGACTCTGTTGATCTCCCCCCACCCCGCACATCCCATCTCGCGCTGCCTTTCCGTCCGCAACCTGGCACGCGACCATCTCTTGTCCCTCTTTTCGTCTCGCCTTTCCCTGCCCCATCACGCCAGTTTTGGCTTGCAACACCCCTGTTTTCATGCCTTGTGTGTCTTCACTCGTTCAAGCCCCTGTTTTAGGATTGAAGCATCCCGCACACTTCAGCTCTTCTAAACGGCGACTAGCAAACCTGCCGGCCAAGGTCAAGGTAGCCCCCGAGGACATCCCGCCTCCAACGACCATTAGTCTTCCTCGATACCAGCCTTTCGTCCAAGATGACGCGCCAGTCGATCCGGAGAACGCTCTATCTAATCTTCTCAAATGCACGGGCCGAACCTCTGCTACCGCGGGAGCCCTTGGACTTTCTGCCATCGGATTTGACTTGAGACTGGACGTCGAAGTCGACGACCTGATCCCCGATCCAGCCGTTCTCCCGGATTTCGAGAGGTGGGACAAGCTCACGCTCGAGGAGGCTCGAGAAATGAAGCAATCAGAGCGTCGATTCTTGGCCAGCGGCAAGGAGCATCCTGGGAGTCTCGTCTACATAGAGCGCCGCAGGGAGCTTTCTCACGACAACGAGGAAGCGTTCCGCACAGTTCGTCGCCTGGCGCCACCCAAGGGGATGCAACAGCCTCGCCTCGGCAACGCCTATGAGTTCTTCCGCTGCCTCGAGTTCTTCACCATGTACTGGGACGACCCGACCCGGCCCCCTTCACTCCCTCCATCTCCTGAGTTGGCACCGACAGAGAACGGAGATGCCGCCACCGCCAAGGAGTCACCGCCACCACCAAACGTACGAACCTCGGATGGAAGTTCAATGCCTCCGGAGTATCGCCAACATCTCATGACAGCCTTTATCAAGCTCGTCGCGTATGACTTTGGCTGTAACGTCTCCATGTCTCGATTGGAGCCAAGACTGCATCTGAGCTCCCCAGAGGGCCATCCTAGCCCGCGAAAGTCATACAGCCCCTCCAACTGTCAGTTTATCTTCCAGAGTCCAATGACACGGGAAGCAGCACGCAGCGGCCTGGTGTATGGCCCAGTTGGGGCGGTGAGTACGCGCCCGATTACAGACTTTACCACACCTGATATCGAGACTGCACAGTCTCTCGACCTAGCTCGAGAAGTGGTGGCAGCGCTCATCACAGCCCAACACAGGGCTCGCGAAGGCAAGACCGAGACGCGGTTTGGTGAGAACCAGTGGTGGACTACCAAACCGAGATGGGGCGGCGGCCCGGGAGGCCCCATCGGTCGAGAAGCCGACATGGATCTGCCCTCCGGAGACAAAGATGCTGCGCCTGGCGACTCTGAGAGAGCGGCTCGGCCCGCTACGAAGAAGGCCCGGAAAACCATGTCCGCATACGACGCTTATCGTATGGTCCGGCCGCCGGCCTATACATGGGACAAGAAGGCCCGTTACCAAGCCATCGGCAGGCAGAAGGGCGTCGATTATGATGACATCTTTGTGATCAGCTCTGTTCTCCACCACGTGTCCATCCTTCGGGTGCGAGTGCCCGATCGACTCTTGGATGTGCTCGCGGGCTCTCCCGAGCCGGACGTAACACGACGCAGCTGGGGAAAGGTGCAGGGATGGCGAAGTCGATGGTTCGACTTCTTCAATGCCGAGCAAAGGCTTGAGGCCATGAAGACGCTCTGGGCCGTGATGGAATATCAGATGAGGAAACAGCCAACAGGAGACGAAGACGTCGAGATGGCCGAGAAGTGAGCATTTTCAGCAGTTGATGGGAAAAGGAGAGTGTTGTCGGGTATAATGTGGAGAAGGGAAGGATTTGCCAAGAAAGGAAGCAAGAAAGAAAGCACATAAACCAGACCATCCATCCATTCGGGCTGCTTTACTCGCGCGAAGAGAAGTTTCTAGGATACTTTCTAGATGCAGCGGCTTTCATGTAGACGCGAGCTATGGTTAGAGAGAAATATACCGGGACGTATGTTATTGTGGGTTCAGAGAAGTCGAGAGAAAGGGTATATGATGTTTGACGTGGAAGTGATTTTGCAAGTGATGGTGATGGCTATATGGAGTAAGCTCTGACTTCTGGTGAAATTGATGACTACCTAGGTACCTACCTATCTAATTCAAAGACCTCTATGTGATTTTGAGAGTCTATACATAGGTAGGGCCCCTTAATCTACCTCAGGTCTCAGCTGTCACGTCTGTCCTGTCGATATCGTCGAACTTGACGGTAGTACTGGAAGTCCAGTACCAAGCTATAGCGACCATCACACGATGTAAAACCTGTAGAGAGCCTTCAAAGGCTGGTAGCAATTGCTTTTCAATTAAGACCAATGGTGCTGGGTAGGCTACTATTCTAGACCATAATCATGTCTCGGCCAAATAGCCAAAGTGACATCGCTGCGTTCCTCGTGTCGTCGTGACAAATTAGCATTATGTGAGGCGCTGGAGCATCTGGCAGACGTTCCAGTGCAGAACGTCCCGGGTTGCGATTGAATCCTCCACGCTGTCGTGTCCTTGACCCTTAATCTGGATCTCTCGCCCAAGCCTCTCTTTCGCCAGTGCCTTCAGTGACAGTCCCCCTTTCTGCTTCGGCACTGCAGGAGCATTGTCGCTGGGCCCTTGTTGGGCGTTTGCTCCCTCCCTCAGAAGCTGTGGGCCGCTGACCTGGGCCTCCTGTCCTTGTGCCGTTTGCTTAGTCTCCTCTGGAGGCCGATTTGCCTTCTCGACCAGGTGAGTATCGATAATGACCGGGTGTATCCAGCGCAAACAGGTGAGGTCAGAGTTCGCGCCGTGTCCGATGACGATAGTGTCAGGGTCGATAAACTCCCAGAGGGCTCGCCTCGCGCTGGCACGTCCAAATAGGCATGACCGCGTACGGCGTGCGTCCTCCATATCCTGCCTAGTGACCCCCGAGTATCTTGTGTTGTAGTGAAGCATCTTGATGTCTGGATACACAAGCTTGTCGAGCAGGACCTTGCCAGAGAAGTAATCGACGGCGGAAACGCGGATAAGTTCGGACTCGCCCGTGATGGCTGTGCCCATCTCACAGTCAATGACCACAGCGACTGCTGGGGAGCCACCGGCACATTCAAAGGGGGTAGGGTAGAATCTCCATTCCCTTTCCAGCTCCCCAGCGGCGTAGATCTTGGGCGTATGCTCTTGGAATGACCGACATGGAGGCGAGCCAGGTGTTCCATTGCAGCAGGTCCATTTCTGACACATTGTATGTTAGCTTTGTTGCCTTGGTTGAGTGAAGTGCTGGGGACAAGAGAGACATTTGATAATAGAGAGTGTGCGTAGGTGAGAGATAAGGATGACAAAACCTTTTGTATGACTTTGCCTGGATGATACCTGCATTGCAATGCCGCCTCCTTGTCCTTCTTCGACGTGCCTCCCTGAACAGAGTTGTCGATGGGTTCGCCGGGACCGTCCTTATCCTCATCCTTGCCTCGAACGGGCGTCTTTTGCAGCCACATGAGCCTCTTCATCCTGTAGGGAAGATCTTGGGGCGTAACGTCAGCATCGTTTTCAACTCAATGCTTGCCGGGAGAAGTACTCACGACGTCCACAACGGCCACACCTCCGCTTGCGGTTCAAGTCATCCTGTGAAAGCTGATGCATGACATAGCCGGATTTCTGCAGGTCGGAGCGGAAATGAACGAGGCTCCGAAGGTGCTGGAGGTATTCCTCGGAGCTCTGGATTGCTTCCGGCTGGACTGGCTCGGGCTGCTTGTCGCGTGGAGGCATAACAAAGGAAGTGGGCATGGCCAAACGGGGGCCTGGTGCCCGAGATGCCTCAAACGCCATGGTGGGCGAAGGCGAGAGGAAGAGGCTGAAGAGGATTGATATGATTACGCAAAAGTCACAGAAGAGAGAGAGAGAGAGAGAGAGAGAGTCGGTGAAAGGAGGAGTTGGCGGCCGAACGGTTCTAGGGCAGGAGCTCGGAGCACGATGTTGGGAGAGGAGAGTTGGGACGATGGAAGTGAGGAGGCAGATTGGGGTGAAGTGAGAAGGTGACGCGCTGCCCGTGATTCGGAGCAATCGATTAGAACCTGAAGACGCCTGGCCTTAGTAGTACCTAGTACCTGAATACCTACCTACAGACGGAGTACAGCAGGCACAATCAGGTTGCTTCAGGTTGCTGATACTATTACCTATGAGTCAGGCACCACTGAGAGCGCAGCACGTTAAGCAGCAATAGGTAAGCAAAGACTGCTAATAGATATATTTAGGTAGTGAATGAGGCTACAAAGCGGTTGATGTAAATATGAAGAAAACGGCTTGATTGACGACGATCAGGGTAGCACCACTACTGGGAGGTAGGTACATGTACCTTATTTATACGACCATCGACGGGAGCCACCACATGCGTGCTTCACTTGGAGTAATATGGACTGATTCTTCTTCTTTTATTACTCCATCTTCGTAATCAACTGTTGGATTAGGCGAGAAAAAGGCGAGCATGAGTTGTGCATCCTCTGTACTACCGTCCTCGGAATCTCCGCGCTGATGGCATTCCTTCGACAGACAATTTGATAAGAGCAGCAACGCCTGAGTCTGAAGCTGCAGGTGGTCTCGAAACCGCCAAGCAATGCTGCTTACATGTATACTAAGGGCACCATGAAAGATTCACCGTCGATCAAGTTCCAGGGCGGCCGTTTTCTGGGGCCATCTCTACATGTGCCTTGCTTAGTTGCCGCCCGCCGGTTGACCCTAGCCAGCGACTGTGGCGCCCTAATAAGACCACACCTGGTATTAGTAGTATCAAAGCGGAGTTGATGTATGTCTGGAAGCTGCACGGGAGAGATGCAGGGCGAGGCACAGAGGGCTAATAAAGGGCCGGGGGGTTCGGATCCAGAACCTCCAGCGCCAGCAAACTTTCGCCATGAGTCCTCCAGCCCCAGTCATCGACGGAGAGACGCCCTCGGGAACGCCTCGCCTCTTGATCGAGTTCCCCCCCGCGGCATCTGCTGACAATGCCGCCGACGTCTCTGCCATCACCGAGCTCGTGAACCGCGTCTTCATCGAAGGAGAAGCCGGCATCTGGAACAATGGCTACGTGCGCACCTCTGACGCCGAGGTAGCAGACCTCATCCGCAAGGGCCAGCTAGCCGTCGCCCGTCTCGCCTCTCCCGCTGCAACATCTGCGAAGGAACTTCTTGGCCGAAAGGGCCGGCTGGTGGGATGCGTGTGTGTCAAGCAAAACTCGGGCTCAATGTGCACTCTGAGCATGCTTGCCCTGGACAAGACGTACCAAGGACTTGGGCTGGGCCGCGAGATGTTCCAGTTCGTCGAGGACTACTGCCTGTCTCTGGGCTGCACCACGCTCGGGCTGGACATCCTGGTGCCGACGACCTACGACCATCCGCTCAAGACGAGGATGCAGGCGTGGTACAAGCGACGCGGCTTTCGAGAGACCAGGCTGGCCGACTTTGCGGAGGAGTATCCTGCGCTGGCGCCGTTGTTGAGAGGACCTGTTGTGTATAGGGTGTTTGAGAAGAAGCTGAGGTGACGGGCATTGGAGGAAGATTGATGGAAGAACAATGCCTCTTTTTGCTCTAGGTCGTTTGGCAGATTGAAAAAGAGAGTTGAGAGGAGCATCAGCACTTGAATCGGGTAAAAAAAAAAAAAAAAAAAAAAAAAAATCACGACCTCTATAGAGGTTTGATAAGAGGTTGAAACGCTTTTGCGGAATTGAAATGAAGTTTTACGAGTCATACAGCAACCTCGACCTGTCTCTTCAGCTTGCAATGATAGTAGATGTGGAGATGCTACATGCACACAGAGTGAGCTGGGCTGTCTTCTGGTACGATGAAGACACAGGCTCTGACACATCACCATGGGTTGCAAGGGGAGATGTTGCTTTCAAGTCCTCTGGGCTGCCTCACACTTGCCCAGTGCACCCGAGAAGAGCAAGGTTGATTGGTGATTTGCGTCAATGTCTGTCGTCATTAGCCAACCTGACTTGCATGTATGGTAGTCGGGGATCTCCAGAGAAATCTGCGCGGGCGATCTGCGAACCCGCAAAGATGAGGCTGGGTAGATGCAGTAGGTAGGTACATGTAGTAGGTAGGTATACACATAGCGAGTATTAGCGTACAAAGTGCACTGCAAATTCAACCTCCTACGACATGCGAGTCATCCGTGTCAACCATTCTTGCAACCTCAACGCTGGGCAATGCCTCAGCTCAGCTTGCTTCTTCCGTGGTCCTCCTCCCTCCGTCTCATCTTTCGGAGCCGAGGAAGGGAGAAGACACGGGAAAGACGGCGAGCTTTCATGTTGCGGGGGAACGGTGCTGCGCCGCGCGACTCGCGCCATCAGACCATCTCCAGCTGAACCTCAGCTTCAAGAGTGTCTCCGTCAAAGGGGATGGGGGACCCCCCAAGACAGCGCCGAGGCGGCAAGTCCCGGTGCTATTCACGATTGATGTATAGGTAGGTATGTGTGTAGTACCTAGTATGCAGTGATTAAACGGGCAAAAAGAAAGGAGACAACGCATCGTGCACACCTTTTTTTGCAAGTGGCTTGAACTTCTTCTCGGATGGGAAAAAAAGAAACATACATATTAGGGGCCTTTCAGCATCGTGATTGGATGATGTGCTTGACGGAAGTCAGCTCTATCTGGGCAAAACCCTCGACAAAGTGTTGTTCGGCCCAGAGCGTTCAACGACGAGCTGAAGGGTAGCCTAAAGGGAATCGTGGTCTTGCTCCCTGCAGCGCTTGAGATGCAGACATGACGGACGGAAAAAGCACTCGTCGAGATCTTGATTGGTCAAGGTGATGGAAGCGCAGAGTTTTCTAGCTGCTTGCTTGATATGATATGCTGTGCTTTGCTTTGCTTTGCTTTGCTGGCTTGCATTGGCGGTATTAAGGTGGTGGAGAGCGGGAGAGCTGAGTGTGTGGATGGATGGATGGATGGAGATGAGCCTTGCTGCAGGGCTAGGTTGCATCTTGGTTACTACTACTATGTACCTCTAGGCACATGTACTTGGCGATGGCATCAGATTTGCGGCAGCGGCAGCGGCAGCGGATAAGTCCGAAGAGGAGGAGGAGGAGGAGGAGGAGGGGGGTAGGAGATGGTTGGTTGGGGTCTGGCTTTCGGTGCCGTTGCCGCGCTCCATGAGCTAACAGCTGTACGAGCACAATATGTAGATGGGATCAAAATGGTGTAAATTAGTCCTGATTGATTTCGATTGGTTGCTCGGGTCGACATGCAGTCCTGCGAATGGAGTTGGGTTGTTTTGGTGTCTCTTGTCAGGTTCAAGTTGGGGAGATGGGACGTGAAAGTCCAGCTTCTTTTCGCCGTAGTTGATGACAACTTGGCCCCAGTTGAGGGCATCAGAACATGAAAAGCGATCACGCCCTAGATACCTTACTGGTCGACTGCTTGCTTCAAGTGTCTCCCACGGTTACGTTATGGTTCAGTTGCTCCGTTAGCGTTCAGATGCCGAAGAAAGACGATACTAGACTGCTTGCACTGCCATGATGACCCGCATCGGGGTCTCCGTTCGGCGAGGCACTGCCGCCCACGATAGTATGTGCCTTAGTGCAGTGCAGCATCTGCTCCATCTCCATCCATGCACGACGCCATGTGGCCCGAAGCCGCTGATGTTGGCTGTCAAACGTGACGGCTACAGCTGGCCCGAGCTTTTGTTTATATCTTTTGTTTTCTTCTTTTTTTTCTTTTTTAATCTTCTCTGGTTTTGGTCAGGGTTACTCGTTGCATTGGGCAGAGAAAGAATAGAAGAACGCTGAGATGAAGCAGACTCGGCAAGGGTGATGGTACCTGTAAGAGGAGAACATGGGGCCTGTGCTTGTGCTCCGCTGTGTTCACCTGTACAGGCACATGTACCGGTGAGGCGCAGGAGATGCCGAGAACTCAGTTGGTATGTACATGTAGGTAGTCGTCACCGTCTGGGATTAAACGTTCGCTTGGCATGGATAGGTACCGCGATCAACTTCATCGTATGACGAACGCCAACGGAAGGGAAGCAGATGAAGTCGCTATTCCCGACCTTTGCGTCATTTGCTCATCTGCCGAGAATCGTTCTCACTCTTGCGCTTTCTTAGACGAACAATCTCGGCGTCGAGCCTCTCTGTACCTACCTAGGTACTAGGTAGTAGGCAGGTAAGCGAGGGACCGAATCTAAGATGGCATACCGTTGGCAACGCTGCCATATTGGGACCTCTTTATGTGATATCCAGCCATACTGTACTTCCTCGACATCACCAAAGCTTATTGCGCCCTGCACCATGAGAAGCTTCAACTCATACTCGTCATCGGCACATGTAAGCAAAATCAAACTTTGATGCCATCATCAGGCACCCAATGACACACTTCAGCACTGCCATAAAGGTAAGATCCTGCTGCAACCTACTATGTACATACCTACCCTTTCTCCATAGGTATGATTCCTCCATCAGTCTGCGTCGGGAGCCGCAGACCGAGGTACAGCCCGAGCACCTGGGGCTGCTGCAACCCCCCCTTCCGCTAGGCTTGGTTCTTAGGACCCTGGACGGGCTGGAACCCTGGCAGAGCCCATCGGGGAGGGCTTGGGCTTTGGGGTACAATCGTTCTGCCATCTCGAAATTCGCGGCTTTGCATCATACGGATCCATGTCACACCCGCCACCGTTGTCGTCTCTAATCCAGGTTCAATGGATGCCAAAGTACATGTTAGGTACATAGTCGGGTACCTACCTACCTAGTAGGTAGTGTTCGCTAGTAGCTCCGGCTAGCGGAAGAGGTGCAGCGAGCTAGCGCCCCCCAAGGCACCTAGACGGTACTTGCGAGCGCCCCGTAGGCTGTAGCTACAGGGCCCGGCCAGGCCCTGTGCCAAGCGAGAGCCGCCCAAAGGACCCCGAGTACCCGACCGCACCGCTGGCCCAAACCAACCCCGCCACCGCCCACGACCACCCACTAACGCCCACGCTGCACATGCGCTATAACCCACTGGACATGCACTATCCACTGTCCACCCGACTGCAATCCGCAATCCACCACCGCCAGCGCATCGTCACCCGACCACCGCCTCTGCGGGCTGTTCCGTGCTGCTCGCATCTCGACGGCGGCCCAGCAGAAAGAGACAAAAAGAGACACGGACCCTCGAGACTGCGCGCTGTCTTGCCACCGCTGTCGGCTTCACCTCCTCCCTTGGGCGCCAAACCTGCTGCTCCCAAGCCTCTCCCACTCTTCTCTCGTGTCCCCGTCTCCCGCGTCTGGCTTACGCCCATTCGAGACGATAGATACATCACCAATCTCTTCCTCTCAGCCCCCCTTCTCTCTCTCTCCTCGTCGTCTATAATCCTCCATCGCTTGTTACATATATCTACACCCCTCATCCTCTTTGCCAACTCCATCATCGATTATACCAAAGGCCCGAGTAGCAGCGGAGCGGCATCGATTCGACGCTACCAGAGATTATACACCTCTCTCCCTCGGTTCCTGCGCCTCCTCCACGCCCGCCATATCATAATATCCAGACGCCCGCTAGCTCTGCTTCGTCCTGATTGATCAACTTCGAACCAGACCGCTCGCTACACGTGCTCTCGCCTGTCCCGTCCTCGACAAGCTTGCCAGCGCATTGGCAGCAGAGCCGCACTTTTGCTTCATCAGCACGCGATTGTCCTCTTTGATCGACGACCGAGCAATTCCTTGACACGCGACTGTCTGGACCCTCTACCCGCTCCTTTTCTTCTGCAGGATCCCCGTCGTCGCTATACGGGCCTGTCCAGCCGCCCCTCGACGCCGGCTTAGCTCCCAACGGCGCGCTTGCTTGCTTGCTTGCTTGCGCCGCCCTCGCTTTGCTCGCCCAACCGCCTGACCAGCACGAGAGGAACAAACAGAGCTTCAGCTTCAACGCAGCTCCGTGCCGACTTCACCCTTTTGAAGTCTCTACCTCCCTCATGTCCGGATATCCAGGCTATAATGGCGGCGGCTATGCCGCACCGCCGCAGCAGCAATACCATCCGGGCGGTTACTATCCGTATGACCACCCAACCCCCCCCTCTGCCTCACCATGTTCAACGCTGCTTCAGCGATGGTGTTCCGGATCACAACTTCCAATGCCTCGTCTGATGAACGGCGAGTCTCGCATTGTCGATGCTTTCTTTCTTCGTTGATTGCTGACATGGCTTGCCTCTCTCCAGGCCTCAGCAGCCCACTTACAGCGGCGGCTACCCACCCCAAGGGCACCAACCGTCTCCCCAGCCCGGCTACGGCTACCATCCACCTCCTCCGCAGCAGCAGTACGCATATCAGGTATGGCCGATGCTCCATCAATCCCGATATTCATCGACAAAGGCATCCGATGCACTCAAAGACTCACAACTGCTGACACCCATGATGCACTGCAGCAGCCTCAGCCTCAGCAACATGCCCCTCCACAGCAGCAATACAACTACGCACAGCCACCGCCCCAGCCGAACTACAACGGACGACCCAGTACGGTGAAGGAGAACCCTTTGATTCAATACCCATGTGCTGATTGTGCTTAAAAGGCATGCCTCCCCCGAATAGCTATACCCAAGGGCGTCCCAACGGCGCTCCCCCGCCCCCTCCCAACGGGCCGCAGAGCTTCGGCCACGGCGCACCGCAAGGCTACGCGTTTCGATACTCCAACTGCACCGGCCGGAGAAAAGCGCTGCTCATCGGCATCAACTACTTTGGCCAGCGCGGCCAGCTGCGAGGGTGCATCAACGATGTCAGAAACATGACGGCCTACCTGGTGGAGCATTTTGGCTATAAGAGGGAAGACATGGTCATTCTCACCGACGACCAACAGAACCCCATGAGCCAGCCCACGAAGCAGAACATCCTCCGTGCCATGCACTGGCTGGTCAAGGATGCCAGGCCCAACGACTCGCTCTTCTTCCACTACTCGGGTAAGTTTCCTTGCCATGGCTCCAGTGCTTCCGCCTCTTGGGACTCGTAGGCTGATGACGCCCTAGGCCATGGCGGACAAACCAAGGATCTCGACGGCGACGAGCCTGATGGCTATGACGAAGTCATCTATCCAGTCGACTTTAGGCAACACGGGCACATCACTGATGATGAGATGCACCGGATCATGGTCAGCCCCCTGCAGGCCGGTGTAAGGCTGACAGCCATCTTTGATTCGTGCCATTCCGGCACAGCACTCGACCTGCCGTACATCTACTCCACGCAGGGTATTCTCAAGGAGCCCAACCTGGCCAAGGAGGCTGGCCAGGGCTTGCTCGGCGTCATCTCGTCGTACAGCCAGGGAGATCTCGGCGGCGTCGCCAACAACATCATTGGCTTCTTCAAGAAGGCCACCACCGGCGAGGATGCCCACAACAGGGCCCTCGCGACCAAGACTTCGCCTGCCGACGTTGTCATGTGGTCAGGAAGCAAAGATGACCAGACCTCGTAAGTCCACCACCTTTTGACTCGAACAAGTACCTAGAGATGCAACTAACACTCCTCTCCCGCAGTGCCGATGCCACCATTGCTTCGCAGGCTACTGGGGCCATGTCCTGGGCGTTTGTGACGGCTCTGAGGAAAAATCCCCAGCAGAGCTATGTGCAGCTGCTCAACAGCATCCGCGACGAGCTCGCCACAAAATACACACAAAAGCCGCAGCTCTCGTGCAGCCACCCACTTAGTAAGTCTTCCTTGCATATATGTCAGGTAGGGTAGTACTCTCCCTAACATATCCTGCAGATACCAATCTCCTATTTGTCATGTGAAGAGGCTTTCCTTGAGTCCTTTTCTTTCTTTTTCTGATATCTTATCGAATATTTGGTTTACTTTCGACCAGAGATTAAAATGACCGAAGCGGCTTCTGATGGCTGGATTCACCATGACTACGCTTGTATTTGAGATTATATGTAGTCACAGATGTCATGGCTCCTTTGAATAAATCATGATGGGGCGGTTCATTGGTTTGGGGATTCTTGAATATCCCAATTACTGGTTGGTTGATCCCTCTCTCCTTCCAGCAGTATTCTTTGGACATTTCTGCTTCGCCTTGATTGTTCCTGATTCTGCTTTTATAAGTTCACTCTTCCTGATTATGTGTCGTTCCTTTTTCTCTTGCTGGAAGTATGTTGCAAAACATTGTTTGGCATAGCATAATGAGACATTGACGAATGATTTCTCTTTCGACGTCCTTGGTAACCGGCTAGAGACCTAGTACTTATTTATATACTACCAAGGATCATAACAGCGTCTCCCCGAGCCAAGCCATAAATGAAGATTTTCCCTTTTATAACAAAGGGAGAAGAATAAAACAAATCAGATTTGATGATTATCCTAAAACGCCCCTCCCAACAGAGTAGTATATTAGACACTCGAAATGACAGTGCACCTGTATGCACCATGTTTCGTCCTCCCACAAAAAACGCCATTGCTGCCCGAGCCCAGCCCAAATCCAACCTGGACGTACCCCGTCCTATGCATGACAGAAAGAGAGAGAGAAGAAGGAAAAAAAAAAAAAAAGAAAAAAGAGATGATGCCCCTCTCTTTCTCTGGATGATGGTACCCAAAAGAAAAGACGTCCCTTTTCCTGATGCTGGTGTATATATATACATTGTACGTTTTTTTGCCTGAGGCCATTACCGTGAGAACCGTATCGCTTGAACCATGAAGAGTCATACAGCGTTAGACATTGAGAACCACGAGGCTCTAGATTCGCCCCCGGACAACACCCCTCGGACATTGATAACGATGAGACATCCAGGAGAGTATGTAGAATGATGACAAGGAAATGAAATGAGTGGTGGAAGAGATAATCACTCCCCCCCAGCGTCGATGAGGCGAGCTGTGGACGAGTGAATGCATCCCTCATCCCCCCCAGGCAGTAGCAGATGCTCAGTAGGCATCGATAGAAACAACCTTGAACTGCTTGGAGCGCTTCTTACGGCGCTTCTCTTCAGCCGCAAGGCGGAGCTTCTGGTGGATGGCTTCCTGCGTCGCCCAGTTACGGGCAGCGATGCGCGTGCGGGCGATGAAGCGCGCCATGATGAGGAACGTCTTGAGAGTCGGCGAGGACGGGGCAGGGGAGAGAGACTTGGGGAGGACCAGGGGCTTTCGGCTGTGGAGGACGTGTGTGCGGACGTGCTCGAGCTCGCGAAGCTGGGCTGTGTTGCTGTAGAGAGGGGAAAGAAAAAAAAAAAGAGTGAGTTAGCAAATGAGGTCTTTCAAAGGGGAAAAAAAAAGGGGGGTGGACAGGGAGCAGGAGAAGGGAGACGACATACCAGGCCTTTGCGACGTTGAGCTGCAGCTGCAGGAACTTCTTTGCGTACGCGCTGTCTTTGCGTAGAGACGCTTCGCGCTCCCACCGGGCATGCATCCAATCCATCTGCACGACCATGCTCTCCAGCTCCTTCTTGTGCCGCGTCTCCGCGTCCTCGGCCGCCCGCACAATGGTGCTGAGGGCGTCTTCGGCACCGTATTGATAGAGGCCCCCCTGCTTCTGCGCCAACAGCGCCTCCTTCTTGAGCAGCTGGAGGTCCCTCTGCAGCTTCTCGGCGCTCATACGGTACGCCGTCCGCTCGCTGCGGGTGCGCTCGAGCTTCTGCCGCACGGCCGTCTCCGAGGCGACGAGACCGTCAATCAGCTCCTGCTGCTGCACAACCGCCTCTTCGAGCGTCTCAACGTCCGCCTGGCTCTTTCGCAGCCGCTGGCTGTGCTTGTTGGTCTCCGTGTGAGACGCAAGGGCAGCGTCACGCTCCAGCTCGGCCTTGTTCAGCTTTCGTACGAGCCGTTGCAGCTCGAGCTCGTGCTGTGTGGCCGTTTTCTCGGCTTCCTCTCTCGCTTCCTCGATCAGCTCCTCCAACTCAAGCTCATGTTGAGCTGCCGTCCTCTTGGCTTCCTCGAGCATTTCTTCCAGCTCGAGCTCGTGTTGGCTCGCAGTCTTCTTGTTCTCCTTTCTCACCTCCTCAAGCATCTTCTCGAGTAGGAGCTTGCGTTGGGTCGCCGTCTTCTCGGCTTCTTCTTTCGCCTCGAGCATCTCTTCTAGCAAGAGTTTCTGGTCCTCCATTTCCCTGAGCTGCTTTTGGAGCTCCTTGACGACCTGCGACTCCTTACCTTGAGAGCCGCCACGGGCTTCGAGCAGCTGAGCCCGGCTAAGCTGTGCCTGGTAGTCAATACGCGTCTGGCGCAGCTCGTCGCGAACTGTAGATAGCTCACTGCGGAGCTGGGTCACAATGCTCTGGCGTGTCTCGAGGGCTTCTTGAAGGTCGTTCACCTGGCGAAGAGTTTCCTCCTCTTTCCAGTGGTGGTCAGCCACCCCACGGGCCTCAAGCTGCTCGGCCCTGTTCAGCTGCGCCTGGTAGTTCACCTGGGCCTGGCGTAGCTCGTCGCGAACAGTAGATAGCTCACCACGGAGCTGGCTCAGAAGACCTTGGCGCGTCTCCAGGGCCTGCTGGAGCTCACTGATCTGATAGTTCAGAGCCCCATCAGTCACGCCACGAACTTCAAGCTGCTTGACTATGTTGACCTGCGCCTGATAGTCGAGCTGGGTCTGGCGTAGTTCGTCGCGAACAGCAGAGAGTTCACCGCGGAGCTGGGTCAAGAGCCCTTGGCGTGATTCCAGGGCATCCTCTAGTTCGTATATCCGACTGTGTAGTGCCTCCTCCTCACTTCGATCAGTCTGACCACGGGCTTGAAGTTGCTGGACCTGGTTGACCTGCGCCTGATATTCCCTCCGAGTCTGGTTGAGTTCATCCTGTACAGAGGATAGCTGAGTGCGAAGCTCATTTACAATGCCTTGCTTTGCTTCCAGAGCTTCTTCGAGCTCGTATATGTGGCGGCCAAGAGCTCCCTCCTCGCTTCGGCCAGCCTCGCCCCGGGCCTTGAGTTGCTCGTTCTCGGCGACCTGCGCCTGATAGTTTCTCCGGGTCTGGCGAAGTTCATTCTGTGCAGTAGTTAGATCATTGCGAAGCTGAGACACAAGGCCCTGGTTGGTGTCCAGGGCTTGTTCAAGCTCGTATATATGGCGAGTGAGGGCTCCCTCTTGGTCTCGACTAGCCCTCAGCTGTTGGACCTGGTTGACCTGCGCCTGATAGTCCTTTTGCGTCTGACGCAGCTCGTCGTGGACAGAGGACAGCTCAGTTTGCGCGGAGGATAGCTGACTTCGGAGTTTGGATACAACACCTTGATTAGTCTCCAGTTCCTCCTGAAGGATTTCGTACTGGCCCTCAGCATCCTGCAACTGTTGTTGAAGCTCTTCAATGACTTGTGATGACTTGCTCTCACTTTCGCCGCGGGCTTCGAGTTGCTTAATGCGGTGGGCTTGTGACTGATTTTCTTTCCGCGCCTGGCGCAGCTCATCTTGCACAGTAGTCATGTCTTCGCGCGCAGAAGCTAACTCTTCTTGCAGTTGGGCCACGAGATTCTGGTTCGTCTCCAAGGCTTCCTCAAGATTGACATTCTGGCTTTCATAATCTTGGAGCTGTTGCTGAAGCTCCTCGATGTTCTGCATCACGTCATCGAGCTGATCCTTGTGGTCGTTCTCCTGTAGAGCCTCCAATTTGTCTTCTCCTTCCGTGATAAGGCGGTCCTTTTCCCGTAGTTCGGCTTCCAGGTCCTCGATATCGGCCTGAAGTTTCTCCACCATGTCCTTGTAGCCTTGGTCCTCGGAGGCCTGGCGCTGAAGCTCTTTTATATTCGTTTCGCGGTCCTGGAGATTTTCTCGAAGCGTTTCCAGCTCAGCTTGCTGATCGTTCTCGGAAGAGTGCTTTTGTTTTGCCTTTTCCTGCAGCTCCAGCATCTGCTGGCGGAAGCTCTCGAGGTCGCGCTCGGCAGTGATGACTTGCTTCTTGTATCGTTGCAGCTCCCTTTGCATGGTGACTTTGTCCACTTTGAGCTCCGTGTTCTCTTTCAGGGCAGCCTCACTATAGCCTGGACCTGCTTTTTTGAGGGCTTCTTCGAGGAAATGGATCTTTAATTTGAGGCCAAAGTTCTCCTTCTCGATCTTGTCAATGACGTTTTCCTGCTCTCGTAAAGACAGCTGGTTTCCGTCCTGTAACGGCCCCTTGTCTACATTTCGGCGCGGCGGGAGGCCCATGGGTGTTGAGGAGGCACTGCTGGCTTCGATCTGCGGTAGCTCGTTGTCGAGAAATGATGCGTGGCGCGCTGAGAGGGCGGAGAAGTCCATTCGCGGAAGCGGAGTCATGTCGTCCTCGTCGATTCTGTTCAGCGCAGCCGGTGTGCTGGCAACAGCTGCGCCTTTGCCGGTTCGTCGCGAGCTGTTCATGGTCGCGGACTTGAGAAGTGGTGTGAATTCCCCTCCTCCAATGTTGGACGGCAGGTTTCGACGATCTGCGAGGGACGTTCTCCGACGAGGTGTTCTGAGGCTGGTACCGTTGGAGCGACCGTTGCGGAGCTGCTGCAGCAAGTCGTCGTCCTTATCTGGGGCTATGAAGGATGCCTCCTGGGTGATGTCTGCGAAATCGGGCATGCTGTTGAGGTATGTCGCGTCCCCAGCATTGCTGCGTGGGGTGTCGAGCACGCCGCCAAAGCCGTGATGGGCCATTGCGGCGGCGAGGTCGAAGTGGTGGCAGGTATGGTGTGAGACGAGCGTATATGCGAGGCGGTCGGTATCCAGTCGCAGACAATGGCCTGTTATCAAGGGAAATATCGAGCCGAGCGCAGCCTGAAGCTCAGGCTGTCGTAGGTTGGGCGATCTGCCGGCGCGGTTCGGGGCTGGACCAAGGGAGTGATTCAGAGAGCGGCGTGAGGGCGCAGAGTAGCAATACCTAGCGATAACGAATGTTGGCGCACACGCGACCTGCGGAAGTGAGCCGGACAGATCTGGACAAGGTTGTGAGACATAGATGTGGGATATCGAGGAAGGGCCTCGCGTTTGATGAAGAAGAAACGAGAGCAAATGCCGGTTGCTTGATTCGCGTTGGGCTTGTTTACATTCTTGCCACTTTGGGACTAGCGCCACTAGGGGACTTGGGTGCTCTTGGAGGAGCTTCCAGTCTCTTGCGGAGCGTCTGATCAAACTCAATTGCTCAAGATTGAGTTGGGATTACTAGCTCAAAGCCAACCATTCTCCTTATTTACTGTATCTAGGTAGGTAGGTGTTATAAGGTATCCTACTCCGGAGAGGTACCCATTATACCAGGGCATGAACGGCTACTGGTTGTTACAGTTCGTTTTGACTTGTCCGGTTTCGTAAGCTAACTTGGAATATACATCTTGGTATCTTATCTCATCAATCAAATGGGCGGGTAGACTCAGTTTTCTTACAACTTCAGTAATTAACGTGTGAAGTGTTTAAAATCCCTCCAATGTTACAATCATTCTAGGCCCCTGCGTATGGAGCTTCTGTAAAGGTATTTTCTGCCTGTGTACGTGCCTAGGTACCTACTTGAGTTGGAATGCAGCAAACATGCGTGGGTGGCTTTTGCGATAGACAGGTACACAGCATTGCCATGTGCTACAGAGAGTACGGCATGTACTTTTCAACATACCGCACACTGCAGACAACTGGCGGAACATTAAGGTACCTTAGGTACCTTAGATCTTGAATAAGGCAAAGTCCCTCAGGAACTCGCGTAAACGATTGTAAATGTACATGTCCTTCTCCATGACGTCGCATAAACGCCCTCTCACATGGAACTCGAGATCGAGACCGCCGCCATAAAACTCCCCTCATCTCTCTGCTTCAACAGACGTCGTGATTATGATGCAAGGTTGTCGAAGGAGTTCCCCGTTGATTCGCCTTACATCATCTCACATGCATCGCACAGCGGCTTATCGCATATAGGCCCGATAGATGCATACGCCTCGCTTGCGGGGAAGGCGAAATGCCCAGCCAAGTGCCCAGGATCTGTCGCAAGGGAACCAACTTATGCGAGTAATCCAAGCATAAACGCCAGGGTTCGGCTACCTCGAGCTTGCGAACCAAACCCGTTCTTCATCCTTACTTTACCTATCCAAGCAAGACGAGGGCACCCGCGCTGCTCGTTCCGCATCGATGTTGGCACCCCAGAACCCGCTGTCGCCTCTTTTGCTGCCTCGATAAACAGAGCGGGCGAAGATACGACTCTTTGGGCTCCGGGACCCGTCTTCCAACCCTCTGGACAGGGGACGATCTGAATTTCTCTTAAACCTCGCATCATCTCACTCCCATCGGTGGATCTGGCTGCAGCTATGGAGCTGGGCCGCAGGAAGGGCGTCTCATCCCTTGACCAAGTGCCTGATGAGATCATCGGCCATCTTCTCTACTACATCTCGCCTTACGACCTCGCCAACTTTCAGCTGGTGTCACATCGCTTCTATCGCCTCGCCAACCAAGCCCTGCTCTGGAGACACCACTGTCGCAGCTCTTTCAAGTTCTGGCACCCACGGCACAGGTTTCACGAGAAAACGGCCGCACTGGCCCAGCAGACGAACTGGAAAGACCTCTTCATCTACAGGAGCGCTCGCAACCGGCAGGTATCCCGCTTGCTGGATGATATCATTCGCACCAAAGTCCACCGCGTCAAAGGCTTTGAAATCATAGGCCAGATTGGATACGACGCCAAAGACTTTCTTCTGGAGCAGTGCCAAACCCCTCCCTCTGCCGAAGATGGCTTGGCTAGGAGGTAAGCTCCTATTGCTGTTGTTGACTGTCATGGCTTTCTTGTTTTCTCATACTTTGTCGTAGATACTATAGCAATGCGCTCCTAGACACCATCCACAAGCACATTGCCATCAACGAATGGCATTCTCTCATGCAGTCTGCTCAACCCACAAGCATACGGCAAGCAAGTCTGCAACTCGAAAGAGCCCTTGGCGCGTTTGACCTGTTTGTGCTGCATGATCAGCACGGTGACCTGGATGATGTACGTCCTGGAGTCCTCCCCCACTGGTGAGTTGGGCGTTGCTAACATGAGTAGATCACGCGTATGTTCGACGCGATTGGGGAGGAGTTTCGATCCCAGTTTCCAAAGTCTGGGAACTGGTCCACTCGCAAAAAGGCATTAAGACTGCTCCGGTGGCTCCGCGCTCTCAACTTTACCGGAATGCGGAATCCAGAGCAGAATTACCGCAACCTGAGAAACTGCTTGATCGGTCAGGCGCTTCGTCATCCGGACCACGAGTCTATCCCGCTCATTTCCACTGCCATCTTCTGCTGCGTGGCAGCGCGGCTTGACATTGACGCCCGATGCTGCGCATTTCCAACTCATGTACATGCCATTGTGTACCCGCCGGATGGACATACTTTGGACGGAGAAGTTGTGGCGGACTCAGAGACAGCGTCCGAGCGCATGTTCCTTGATCCATATGGCAGCGACGATGAGATCCCGCTATCCCGTCTCCAGATGACGTTGGCACGCCTAGGCCTTCAGGAGCACAACGACCTGTTCCTCGCTCCCGTCTTGGCACCAACGATGGCGATGCGAACAGCGCAGAACATAAGGGCCACCCTGGCAAGGATTTCGGACTTGCAGGAACACGCGCACCCTGAACTTAGCCAGCTACTGCATGGGAATAACAAAATGAATGCCGACGCCTGCCTCTACGCCGCGTCGTGGGCCACGCTGCTGCTGATGCCCCCTAATAACACTACGTGGCTGGAGCGCTTGGCCAAGTTTCTGCGTCGATTTCCCGGAGCCTGGCCCGAAGACGTCTGGATGGTTGAGAAATACCTGTGGCCGTTGTACAGCAGTGTCGTCAATCCGAGGGACGGATTTCCTCGCAACATTGATGCGGGCTTCGGCAACCCCTGGCAGTATTGGCGATTTGTTCGGGATGCAGATGGCATGGCACCTCTGGTGCACCGAAGAGACTTCTGCGAGGATCCAAGAGGGCCCCCCTTCTACATTGGCCAAGTATTCCGGCATCGTCGATATGGCTGGCTCGGCGCCATTACCAGTTGGCATGAAAGAGGCTCGCAGCAGTCAAGCTTACCGGATCGTGCTGGCGACGAAGAATACCATCATCGGCCCACCAACCCTCACTACTCTCTCTGTTTCATGTGCATGTAAGTCTTTTATCTATCGTGATACCTTCGATTTGCCGAATCATTCGCTGATTGGTCAACAGAACGGAAACGGAGCCCGAGCAACATGTGGTGGCCCTGCGCAATGTCGAACTCATCTCTGATCCTGCACTGGTCAAAGAGGGCATGTTTCCCATGGCCGGGAAGTACTTCAAGAGGTTCGACCCCGAGACCTGCAGCTTCATTTCCAACATCCGAGAGGAATACCCGACGGATTAGCCCTAAGAGCTGGAAGGGATATTGAGAGGGCCTCTCATGCGCTCACCCTGCTCGTTGCACATTGGCTTTGGTTTTTTTTTTGTCATGGCTTGAGGCCGCGTTTCGTGAGTTTCATGATGCGATGTTAGGATGGGTCAGATGGTCATTGGAATGGCAATTGTGTGTGTCCGGCCAGTCCCGGTATCGTGGTTGGATTCTCCTTGCTTTCTTACCACCTTGGTTCAGAAGATACCCGAGTCAAGATAGACATTTGTGTCTTGCCACTTCCTGTCGGAGTGATGAAATACCCTTAGATACATACAAGCAATAATGATCACCAGGTTACCCCCCCACCTAGCGAAGAATATGCTACAACGTCCCCATTGACCGGCTCTCGAAGTCTTTGATATTCTATGAATTCTCAATCATCTCCTGTAGAACGCCCTTTTCTGCGAGTTTCTGCACCCATCTGTGCAGAGCCTGCCCGTAATCCTTTTTGCGATCCTTGACCCGTTGTTCGTCAACAGCTAGCGAGATGATCTCGGCTCTGTATTCCCCAATTGCGACCTTGAGGTCGACGACAAACTGCTCATACAAAGCCCAAGCTTGCTCAGAGTCAGATGCAGCACGCGATATCCTGGCCTTTACAGTCTCCCCCAATACTGCACTCTCAAAGTCAGATGGACGGAGATTGAACTCGGCCAGGTCCGCTGGATTTCCCACGTCCAAGACCGGTGGTTGCTTGTTGACCAAGTGTGTGAAACTGCCGTCGTGCTTGAGGTGCTCCTTGAGGAGGGCTATTGATGCGGCTGCTTCGATGATGGAACGTGTGTGGAGGGTGACGGGGCGTTGGCATAAGGCGAGGAGGTTGAAGGATATTTGACTCTCCTCGTACTGTAGTATACGGCCCTCGATTTGGGGTCGAGCAATGTTTGTCCAGCAGGTTTCGTCGTCCCCGATGCGTCCTTTATGCGATAGAGATTCAGCCATTTGTCAGGATCTGTAAAGCAGCGCTCTTTATACGTACCTATGCGGTGTGGCTTGCTCCGAAGCCCATCCAGCTCCCAAACATAGCCATCGACAGGGACATAGGCAATGAAGTGGAACCCATAATCATCGTCGGCTCTTTTCTTCCTGCTTGCCTTCTTGGTGGTTCGGGATCCTCCTGTCTTGGCCTTCTTCGACTTGGTGTCCGACACGGCGTTTTCCAAGCACAGGTCAACGTTGAGGTGGTCCATGCGCCTGGTGAATGAGTTGTGGATGCTCCTCATGAATTTGTTGTTGCTGATCTCGTGTCCACGTAGCACTGTGTTCATGTTCTTGGTTGCTTCCTTGAATTCGCGGAGCTGGTCGCCCAATTCGAGGCCCTGGGCGTTCATGACGATGTTGAGCAAGGCGAATGTGGCGCAGGCATTGTTGGTAGTCTACATGGGGGTTCGAGATATGAATGTGTTAGATAGGTCTGAGTTGGAGATGGCCGAGGGCCGTGACTTGTGAATACCTGATTTGCGAACCATAATGAGCCCGTCTCGTCTTCGCCTTCGCCTTCGTCCACATCAGGAGTGTACTGGAACAGGAATATCAAGCCATATATCGGTTTTCTAAGAAGAGTAAGGATTGAGCTTGCGGTTTATCAGAGATGTCTGGAGCTCACAGCAGTGTATCTAGCCAGCTCTGGTCGATGCTGAAGAGCTCTTGCACCTTGACGTCTTTGACCCCAAGATGATGGAGAATCGTGTTGAAGAAAGCCTGGTCCTATATCAGCACAGACAGTCCTCGTTCATCGCGTTGGCCCATATCGTCAGGCTCATTGAACTCACAGGCTCGGATTCAAGCTCGACCCAGCCCTCCCACTCTTCGACGTCCGCTGCTGTGAGCGGCCGTAGTGCCTCGTCCAACAGATTGTCAGGGAGATTCAATGCCTCGGTTGCTGCCTCAGCGGCCTTGCGCTTGGGGTTCCGTCGTGGCTCGTTTGGGCTGCTCGTGGATGGCGATTCGACAAACGCTTCCGGTGCCTTGACGACGATGCTGGACGCGGCACGGCGAGAGGACCGGCGAAGATGCTTCTCGCAAGGCGCATCATCTGCATCCTTGGGGGGACTGGGACGGACACTGTTAGGCATCGTCTAGGTACGAAGGATGATGGCGAGGAGATTCGGCTGGCAAAGGGGAGAATGGGCGCAAGAAACATGAGATTGGCCTTGGTTGTGCTGCCACTGTATCAATATGCATGGAAACGACTTGATTCTTGCTCATGATCAGTTTGAAGCTGAAACCTGCAAAAGGCACATAAGGCAATGCGGTGAAGGTGCTGAAGAGGTGACTTGGGCATCGCCCAGAGCAGCTGGTTGCAGATGACGCACCTCGGCAGCGACCCGGTGTCCATGATACGTGTAAGTAGTTACCAGGAGGCTCTCCCCTATTCCAAGGGTTTATCGGAGGCAAAGCGGCTTGACACAGTCGGATGTGCTGTCGGATCGTTCAAATCATCGTCGTTACTATCCAGGGCATAAGGTACCAGCTATTTGCAGACAGTCTGGTAGGTATCTCAAGAGTTGGACAGTGTTGGAGGACGGGACAAACAGGTACGCGTCGGTTGTTTCTTGCAGATGAAGCTGTCAATATTTCGCTGGGCTCATAAAAAACTTTGAAAAAGACCAGAACACGCTGTAGAATTGCAACATCTTTCAAGACTGAAGGGTACCACCTACTGATATTGCGTTGAAATGGTCAGTTGCTGATTCGAATCTCAAGACCAGACAGAGAGAGCTCGATACATGTACCTTACATGAAGCTCAACTGCCCGCCCTGCTGTATCCATTCAATGTGGCCCATGAATCTACAGGGGCTGTCTTACAGCACGTCTCGCACCGTCTGGTCCAATCAGGGCCCCGCAAGCGACCGCTGAGCCCGCTAAACCCGCTAACCCCCCCGCTGACGGCATCGCTCCAGGGCTGTTGATTCTGCCGCTTCAGCACCCCCCGGCGCTCCGTTTCAGCGGCCCCAGCAGAAAGTCGCGTCCAGACGTGTCGGCATTGCAGCATCAAGCCGCCAGTTGAAAGCAGGGAAAAAAATAGAGCTCGAAGGCCTCCACTGAAAAATTAGGTAAACTTGGCCAAACCACCAGCACGGAACCCCAAACCGCCAAACAAAAAGCTGCAACTTCTCTCGACACGCGACAGCAGCAGCATCAACAACAACCAGCGGCACGCCGTCCCGTTTGCTCTCGCTCCCGCCGCGCAGCAGAAAGGTGCCTCGATCTCTACGATTTGCGCTGCTGCAGCGACCGATGCCGCTGAGCAGAATCTCGCACCCCCACGGAATGCGATGAGCGCGAATCCTCGCCTGCGGCCTGGGTTCCCGGCAACCCAAGTGGCCGCCCACAGACGACGCCTTCACGACGATGACGAGCCGCCGGCAGCCTCCTTCAGCGCAGCTCTGGGCCCCAACAGGCCGGCAGCGAAGCTTGCCGCCGCCCAGGAAAGCGCAGCTCCTCGCAGCCCCGGCCCGCAGCCCGTGATCCCTCTGACGCTCCTCGATGGCCCGCAGCAGCGGCTGTACGCCTTTGCCGTCTACATCCTGCTGTGGGCGTGGAAGCTCTACGACTGGATCCAGGTGGTGGAGGATGGAGATGCCTCCTGGTGGCTCTTTCTGAAATGGATCCTCATCGACTTTGCTTTTCTCTTTGGGCTGCCGGAGCTGAGGATACCCTGGCTGGAGCTCTCCCAGCTCGTGGTGACGGCTGTCTTTGCATCCCATCTGGTGACCAATTACATGCTCATGTTCAACATTCCGGTACGTTGACGTTGTCACAGCTTTGCTTCCATCATTCGCCGGTCCTGGCTTGCTAATTGAGAGACTGCAGCTCCCCTGGCAGACGTGGCTCCTCGGCGTGGCAAAAGTCCTCTACGATCGCGAAATCTCCGTCGCAGAACACCACGTCAAGGTCTCCGAGCTCCTCAACAACCACTCCCTCATCATGGGCAAGCAGGTCATCAATATCCTCCCCGAAGGCTCTGCCGTCCTCAACCCCGAGCACACGCCCTTCTGCTTGTCGGCCAAGACCCAGACCTCGGCCGCTCTCCCAATCTTCTTCAACTCCACGGTTCCCGCCGAGATCGAGTTCCTCCGTCTTGACCTCGACACCGGCAAAGAAGAGGTTGTCAAGGTGCCAACCAGGGAAGTCAACAAGCTGGCCAAGACGGTTCGCGACCACAATGCGGATCCTGATGCTCCGCCGTTCCACTGGACGTATCATGTCAAGAAGCCGGGTGTCTACCGACTGAACAAAGTTTTGGATGAATATAAGCTCGAAGTCCAGAGGCCAGTCAGGGACACATACGTGGTACCCTGCCCACAGGCCAAGATCCGGACGACCGATCCCTCAGACCGTTGCATCCGCGACTTGTCCAATCTCTCTCTCGACGTGGTTGGAACACCGCCTCTCAAGATCAAATACTCGCGAACCATCAATGGAAAGAACCATGCTTTCCACTTTCAGAGCCTGCAGCCTGAAGGCTTCAACTCGCCGCTCCTCAGCACCTCCGGGCTGGGCATTGACAATGGCGATGACGTCGACTGGGTCAAGCCTCACAAGGTAACCGTGAAGCTTAACGAGTCCATGGCTACCACTGGAGATTGGGAGTACTCAGTAGAGGAAGTGTACGACGCGTTCGGCAACGTCGTCAGATATGCGGATGCCTACGAAGACCCGGATTCGCCCAAGATGAAAGGGCTCACCCAGAGGTTCACCGTCAAGGAGCGGCCCAAGATTCGCCTGCAGGGCTGCGACTTGAGAAATCCCATCAAGGTTGCAAGAGGACGCGCAGCCAAACTGCCCATCAGCTTTGGCCTCGCTGGTCCCGTGGACGATACTTCCCACAAGGTCACCTGGATCTTCTCGCCCATTGATTCCATCACCAACAGTGGCGACCACGGCGACCAGGTTTCGGTTGGAACGCACTTCGCCAAGAGCTCGCTCGACAAGCCATTGGTCTCGGAACCTGGTCTGTACACGTTGAAGTCCGTTTCGAGTGGCACTTGTGAGGGCGAGGTGGATGAGCCTTCTTCCTGCTTGCTTCTCAACCCTCTCGAGCCTCATTTGTCTCTTCGAACAGAGGAGATCCCGGACAAATGCGCCGGCAACTCCGTTGGCCTCCGCGTCGATCTGGACCTCGTCGGCACACCTCCGTTCACCGTACGCTACGACATCATCTCCGATGGACGTGTGGAGAAGCAGGCTCATCGCGTGGATGGCTTGCGATCTCAGATTGAACTTGTTCCTCGAAAGGCCGGGCGCTACAAGTACGTCTTTAGGTCTATAGACGACGATGTCTACACCGGGCTGCCCCTGACAGGCAGCGACAAGGTCCTGGAGCAGGTCGTCAAGCCGGCTGCGTCGGCGTACATCTCTAACCCTGAGAAGACGATCAATGCCTGCTTGGAGTCCGAAGTCGACGTGGACGTCATGCTCGCTGGAGATCCGCCGTTTAGCTTGGAGTGGGAAATCATCCACGATGGCAAGCGCAAGCCTGGGCGTGCAGAGAACATTTACGATTCTCACTTTAAGATCCAGACAGCAGCCTTATCAAAGGGCGGCGAATACATTCTTGCTCTCAGCAGTGTCCAGGACCAGCGCAAATGCCGGACTTTCCTTCAGGATCAGCTCAAGATCTCCGTACGTCGCCAGCGGCCGAGGGGTGCCTTTGGATTGATCGAGCAGAAGAACAGCATCATGGCCGTCGAGGGTACCGCGCTTCGCCTGCCACTTCGTCTCCAGGGAGAAGCACCCTGGACCGTCTCCTATCGAAATCTGGATGGGCCCCCCGACATCATCACCAAGACCATCAACGGCCCCAATGATCACCTTATGGTTAGGGCTCGAGGCACCTACGAGCTTGTTGACGTGGTAGATAAGCAATGTCCGGGTGTCGTCGAACCCACGGCCTCCAAGTTCCACGTCGACTGGTTCCCTCGTCCAGAGCTTTCCATCGTCCCGTCAAACAGCATCACGCCGGCTGCTTCTGGAGTCTTTGTCAAGCAGGAGGTTTGCGAAGGTGACATTGACGGATTTGAAGTCAGGATGAAGGGTAAGTTTACTCTGACAGCGACAAGAAGCCTGTTAAGGCAGAACTCCCAGTATGCTAATCATTGCCTGCAGGTTCTGCCCCATACCACCTCGAATATGAAGTCAAGCATAAGCCACTGCAGGGCGCCGCCTCGCTCAGTCAAAGACGCTTCGACGCGGCCCTGTCCAAGGCTGCTGTGGCCATGGACACTTCCAAGGCTGGCGACTACACGTACAAGTTCTCTGCGCTGGCAGATAATCTCTACAACAGCGACAAGCATTTCAGCCCCTTGGTCGTCCAGCAGCGTGTCAACGCTAAGCCGTCGGCGGCCTTCACCAAGCCAGGCCAAGCGTTCAAATACTGTCTGGAAGAGCAAGAGCATGAAGACAAGATTCCCATTACTCTTACCGGCATCCCTCCCTTCTACGTCGAGGTGGAGATCAAGCATCAAGTCGGATCACCCGCGGAAACGTACCGGATCCCCTCCATCCAAACCAACAACTTTGGCATGTCGATTCCACGACAGCATCTCCGCCTTGGCAACCAGCAGCTTCTCATCCGTACTGTTAGAGACGCACGGGGCTGCCAGAGAAAGTACGACATGGGAGGGCCCTCTATACAAGTTCAGCTGTACGATGCCCCGTCGATATACCCGCTGGAGTCTCGCCAGGATTACTGCGTCGGCGAGCGCATCGCCTACACCCTCTCTGGCACGCCACCATTCGACATTGCTTACGACTTCAACGGCCAGTGGCACGCACGGTCTCACACTACCAGCTTCCGGCGTATTGCTGAGAAGCCCGGCGAGTTCATCATTACGAGCGTCTCTGATAAGTCCAGCGAATGCCGTGCCGCCGTCAACATTCCCAAGACGATCCATCCCCTTCCCAGCGTGCAGATCAGCCGTGGTAAGCACTCTCGCGTGGACATTCACGAAGGCAACGAAGTGGACATTCTCTTTGAGTTCTGGGGCACCCCTCCGTTTGAATTCACATACACGCGAAGCAGCAACGCCAAGAAGGGACAGCGGAGCATCATACTCGAGACCAGGCACGACATCTCGTACGAGCACAGCAAGGTTGTCAAGGCGAGCCAGGAGGGTACGTACGAGGTTGTTGCGATCAAGGACAAGTTCTGCTCCTTTTCCACGCAGCAAGTGGAGCTGAAGAAGGGGCGGTAAAAGGGGGGGGAAAGTTGAGCGTCTTAGATTGGGAAAGAGGAAGGACGAAACAAAAAAAAAATGAAACAGATATACATGCTGCTACGAATTTAAGGATATGCAAAGAAGAAAGAAGGGGAAGAAAGAAGATGACGTTTTTTGTAAGACATGATGGTTTGGGGGGGAGGGAAACAAGGGCGGGGAGGGGCTTGGACTTTGTAAGGGTGATGGGGGATACATTCTGTACATATGCACTTATACCATGGCACGGCGTTTTTGAGTATGGAAGAACCAGGTTGATGAACTGGAAATAAATGAATTCAAAGTGTTTTTTGCAGCATTGATATCAAGGGGCTTCCGTTTTATTGGCACCGCCGCTGCAAAATAGATGATGGTTCTAGATGACAAGAGACGATGACCTGCAAGACGTCTGCTCAAAAGTAAACATGCCATGTCCCCTGAGTCAGGGCTATTTTTCATTCAAAGATGTTTTGTATATACATGTAATATCTAGACAGTGTGATCATAGAGGGATAGGATATGATGCAATTACTCCTCCTCGTCAGTCACCTCAATCTTCTTAATCATTTCTCCTCCAGCCCGCGCAATTTCTAGCAGTATTGCTGTGCGATTCACTTCAACTTGATCGCCCTCGCCCTCGCCCTCGCAAGAATGGAAATTATACGGCAAGCCGGCCCTGAACTTTTGCTTCTGCAGCCGCGGGTTCCACAGCGCCGCCACGACGCCGTCGTCGTCATCCTCTGCGGCATTGCCCCGGAAGAAGAGCAGGGCGTCTCCGTAGACGCGCTCGAGCTCCTCGATGAAGACGTCCACGGGGTGGGCGCGGATGGGCAGCGGCACGGACGCCGTGAGGGCATCGAGGTTCTTGAACTGAGAGTGCCGCCGCGCGCCGGCCTCGACGGCCGTGTCGCGGATGACGGCCTTGATGGCCTTGGGCGACATGTGGATGAGGACGTCGTAGTCCTGGAGGGCGGGCTCGAAGAGGAGGCGCGGGTCGAGGCGTATGCCCTGGTCGCGGACGAGCTTGCAGGCGGCCTTTGCGAGGAGCGTCATGCGGGAGGCGACGAGCTTGGACGGGCGGGAGCGGGTGTACGCGAGGCCGGACTGGTCGTGGGAGGTGGCGACGCAGAGGACCTTGTCGTTGATGCCGGGGTCTCGCCTGCGCCACGTCTGGAGCTCGTGGTGGACGGAGGAGCGGGCGTCCTCGGAGAGGTCCTCGGCGGTGTCGACGATGAGGGGGTCGCTGCGCCAGTCCCATCTGGAGAGGAAGAAGAGCGTTCGCAGGAGGCCCGTGGCCGCGGACGACGGCTGCTTCCAGGGGTACGGCTGGAGGAAGGCGTGGAGGACGAAGAGCTCGATGAGCTCCTCGCGGATGTGGCCCGTGAGCTTGTGGCTGTTGAACCAGTGCTTGACGAGCCGGATGGTGGGCGAGAGGGGCGGGAAGCGCGTGCAGAAGGTGGCAATGGTCTGGGTGTGCAGCGGGAGGGTGTTGTACAGCCAGTTGAGCTTCACAAGGGCCTCCTCGGCCTCTTCGCGGATCCGAGGCTCGAGCGTCTTGTTCTTGACTTGGCGCTCGAGGAGCTTCTCTTCCAGGTCGCAGTGGATCCGGAGCCGGAAGGCTGCCCCGGTCTCGTATATGACGTCCAGATAGGCCAGGTTCTCGATGCCGAGTTCCTTGTTCTCGCGGCCGAGGTACGTGCTGATCTTGTCATTCGCCTTTCGCAGTCTCCGGTCGATGTCGAGTAGGAACTCGACCTTTGCCTCCTGGATGGCCGTCAGGTTTTCGGGCCATTTGCTTGATGCCTCGAAGTAGAGGTTCACGTCCATGAGGTCGATGGACCCTTTGTGGTAGCCCATCAGCGGCGGCTCGATGGACGCATAGCGCGCGGACGAGGATGTGGGAGAAAGCTGTCGGATGTGTAGTGGTAGCTCCTCGAGGTTGCGGATATCTCTCTCAAAGTTCTGAAACGCCTGTCTTGCTGCATCGAAAGCTGACTTGTCCAGGTGGGACAGGCTGATGATGGATGAAAACGCGCCGCCGATGGTTGTCACCTTGTCCTTTGAGATCTTGAGGTGCCGCTGCAGAACGTAATGCGTAATCTCTTCGCAGATCTGCAGCGGAAGCTTGCTCGACCACTCGACACACTCCAGAATGCTGCCGTCTTTGAACCGTCGAAGTTCAGCCTTGTCGCCCCAGAATTGTCGGAACTTGGCAGCCTCCTTTTGCTCCTCGGCGGGTGGGCCAAACTCCATCTGCCTCGACATGTGTGCCGGATCGAAGATGACGCCTACAAGGACGCGCAGGACTTCTTTGGCCGGGGGCTTGGAAAGCGCCCAGTGCCCTCTCTGCGGCAGCTGGAACTGGACAAGCTGTGCTCGCTCGCCATATGCCCGCTTGAGGTGCTTGTATGCTTCGAGGCAGAAGCTTCCCACGGCTCCCCGGCGGTCGGCGGTTTCGGAAAACTTTGCAATGTCGGAGCTTTGGATCTCAAAAATGACATCGAATGTTTGAAACGGAACATCGGCTTTGACGATGAATGTGGGATCGAACTTCTCGGCCATGGCATCGGAGAGGAGGTCTGTAGTTGATTTGGCGTACATCTGCAACAAGCTGGCAGACCACGGAGTCATCTTGAACAGGAGGTTAAGTTGTCTGACAGGGTCAAACATGACAGGGCCGGCCTCTCGAACGGAATCTGCGGAGACGCTTGAGGAGCCAAAAGTGTAAGGCTTCTTGGTGAAGTCTGTTGTAGTCAGGAACTGGAGCGCTGCCTTGAACAACTCGGTGCTGCTTAAGGAAGTCGATAAAGCCGCCTGTCCGTTCCGACCACCAGTCTGCAAAAGCAGCGCAATCATGGTTGCCCACTCGAAATGACCGAAGCCTCCTTGTGAGATGGCGCTGCCAAAGCCGCGCTGCTGAAGCCATGTCCTGCCGAGGATGCACGCATCTGCGAAAGCAGGGCACTCCTTTCTGATGTGGGTTAGCAGCCGCAAGTAAGGGATGAATGTCCGCTCGGCGTTCAAGGTGGAATTGTAAAATGGTGTTGCTGCTTGGGCGGCTTTCTTCTCGTCAACCTCGCCCAGCCGGTTGTTGTTCGATTTGGGAGTTACTTTCGACCAAGGGAACAGGTCATCGGGGGCGCAGGGAATAAGCTTGATGCTATAAGACGCCTTTTTCGCCTTTTTCCTGGCCTCGCGATCATCGCTTCCATCGCTCGAGGGTTTAGGTCGGAGGACGACAATCGGCAACAGAGGATTCTCGTTGAGGTTCTCAAAGCTCAGTTCCATATCTTCGGCAAACTCTTTGCGCACGCGCGCAGCAATGTACGCAATGTAGTAGGCTCGGCGGTAGAAGTAGCGCATGTTCGTGTAGTCCTTCTCCTGAAACAGCGAGGCGGGCATCTGGACGACCATGTCGACTCCGAACTCGGACTGCGTCTTGATCATTGTTCGAGAGACGTAGCTTCCGACGACGTTGCATTGTGACGGCGGTGCATAAGAGACCTTGTACGGGGCATCCTTTGCCGGCTTCGGGTCGGGATATGGGATGACGATGCGATGCTCTTTTTCGAACCTGACGGTGGCCTCGGCGATCTAAATCTTGTTAGAGTCTGTCTGCAGCTCTTAAGCGCATGCCAAACTCACTGGTCTAGGATCGTGAGGCTCAATGGTGTCAATGATGCTCTTTAATCGGTGCAATTGGCCGTCGACACCATGGAGGGCCTTTTCGTAGTTTGGCCTGGCCTCCTTCAGCAGCTCGTCCGTCTGCAGGACAAAGGTGCTGGCGGCCGTCACTCGAGCCGTGTTTCGCGACTCAAAGTCAATGAGCCCCGAGTGGCGGAGGCCGATGCTCTCGTGGCCAGTCTTGCGGCGCTTCGAGCTCGATTCCATGGTGTGACTGGGCATCTCGGGCGTGCCTTGTGGTGTAAGCTGGGAGTTGATCGCATGTCGCATCGCATTTTTTTTTTCTTTGATGTTGATAGTCGCGGGGCGATAAGGTGGTTGATAAGAGCTGGCGGTTCCATAAAGGGTCTAGCGTGGCTACGCTTGGAAATGCAACGGAGTGCCATTAAATGGGCATTTTAGTCAACCAAGTGTCCAAGGTATTTTGTACGCCGTATACTACCTAGTAGGTACCTACCTAGTAGCTTTACAGACATCCTGCTACCTTCCTGAGAATGATAGTGAACAGACTGGCTAGAGAATCTGTTCCTTCTATCTTCCGTCTCATAGCAATATAACAGCTTGTTTTCTTGAAGATCCCATACATTTGTCACTGGAGAGACCCAGCCTAGGCTACCCACTGCTACGGACCCAAAATCTTGAATAATATGTTTCGAATTAGGAACAGCATGTAGGTTAAATTCACGGAACGAAATATAATCTAGCGAGAAAGAAGGTAATATCCAGCGCTTAGATAGTCTAGTAACAAACATGAAGTTGCCATGTTCAAGTGCGATCTAGTTCAAGAGCTGATGAATGAAGGAGCCTTCAGTACGGTTACGTCTGAAGTCAGTGGACAAGAACGGAGATGCAAAACTTGTTCTGTGCAAGCCAGCCTGCCAGCCAAGCTCGCTCAAATCCCAGAGTATTGCTTCGCCTCGTGCTCAAGGCTTGACGGTCATCCAGGCACCCGAAGTCCGTGACTTCGGAGCGGATATCAACATCTTGCCCCGATGCGGGGGGAGAATTTTACGACAAATCAGAAACTCAAGTACAATGTCAAAAGAGATCTTGAGTCATACGGCGAGAACTGTTACAGACAGCGGCCATGTCGCTTACACTCTGTTGTCAACTGTTAACAAGTTGGTCGATCAAGTAACGATACAAGTTTGGCGAAAGCTTGCTTTTTGGAGTCCTTGTGTGAATGCAAGGATCTTGCGGCATAAATTCACGAGACAACCAAGGCTAAATGAATCTGCATGACTTGTCCGGCACTTTTTGTCCACTTCAATCTTGGCGCACAACTGCGACTCAGGTGAGTTGCAGGACCTTGCGAAGCTAAACCACAGGAGAAGCAACTCGCAAATTGACCCAGCAGGGTGATACTTGTGATAATTGATCCTGATTGGTGATCCCCGAAGTAACTCATGATATGCTTTAGGTCTAGCAAGGTTGCTCAGCCTCTAATCGAGGTAGCATTTCATGACCCGTTATGCAGAGGATATACCTCCTGGGTTGTGATGCTTCCTAAGGAGTCGAGCTGAGTCTCGGCATTCGTAAAAGACCGAGTTGCGCAAAGAGATAGGGGCTATATATATCCCAAGAAAATGCTTCAACGAACAATCCAATGACATGTTCAAGAACCGGCCTCTCTTCAACATCTCTCCAATAACCAACCGCGTCGCCGCAGCCTGAAAGCACAACTCAACATGATTGACCACACCGTCATCGCAGTTACTGAGGACAAGTTCAAGAAATGCTTGGACCTGTACGTCAAGGCCTTTGAGCCTCTTGGATACCAGGTCGCCTATCAGTTTGGCGAGTACACGGCCGGCCTTGGCTCAAAGCTCGATGCCTCTCCCGAAGACTACAAGCGCGCTGACCTCTGGGTCAAGGGAGTCAAGGAGGGTGTCATCAAGACGCACCTTGCGCTCCGCGCCAAAGGTAAGATGCCTAGAGAGAACTCAGTGAGTTGGTATTCGCCATAGAGCTTCTACTAACAACTGTTCTATCAGATCGAGCTGCTGTGGACGCCTTCCACGCGGCGGCGCTTTCGGCGGGAGGCAAGGATAATGGAGCGCCAGGCTTGCGAGCGTATCATGCCAGTTATTATGCGGCGTTTGTGATTGATGCGGCGGGCAATAACATTGAAGTTGTGTGCCATAACCCATGAGAGCTACAAGGCATATTGGAAGCTGGAGCGTTATCTGTAGGCTCTGTCACTGTTAGCAATGCCAATTTGATCGTCTTATATAAACTGCAGTTGATGTGTCTTCCACCAGGTGACAGCATGTTGTTCTGCTGACATACCTAGACCTTGCGTCGTCTGAAAGAGAATAAGCTGAGTGAAAGGCAGCTCGCCGGCAAGAAATGGCACTCTCCACATTTGGCCGAGGGGAGTTAAGGGCCGTCTCTTCGGAATCAGGCCCCATTGCCGAAAAGCCAGCTAGTACGAGTATTCATCAACGGCTGCATCAGTCTGTTCACGATGGCACTGAAGATGGTGATGAAGCAATCAGTGGTTCTCAAAATAAGACATCTTAAGGCACCTGTTATCGTGATAAGGGCAAATTGTCTGTCTGGTGGAAAATACATCCCGTTTCTTGTCCAGGCAGGTGCAGGGCTCAAACTGCGCTTTGCCACCAACGGCCAATTCGGCAGCATCTCAGGCTTCCCAGCTACATGTCTTTTTCCTCGATTCAGATCACAAGATGGAATTGACTCAGGTCTGTCTTCAATGAATAAGAATCCCCGCCAGCGCGGCCGGATGAATCTTTAATTCTCGGCACCATAACCGGAATGGATATCCGGGAAAAGCCATTTCCCACTCCGCAAGTGCCGACTGCTCTCAGGGCAGCCTGGGCTTGATGTCGGCTTCGGAAGCCGGGCCAGAAGCGTTTAGCTGAGAGACGGCGCAGTGCCACTTTGGCTTCCGAACGCTTCGCAACTGACAAGTAGCTTGGCAAGCCTGGGTTGGGAATCGCAGCTGGAGGTATGGCAGGGAGTTGGTATCGTCTGCGAGTGTCACGACGACTGAAGTGCCGGCTGACGTCGAGAAATAGCACAGCTCGCCCTTCACTTGGCAACCAGCAAATTCTCTTCCATCGTGAAGATATTGTCGAATCTGTACAGTATTACGCGACTAAGTATTATAGACGGACAGAATCCTTCTCCGCGACCAACCCCATCCCCAACTCTGTGGCTGCTCCCCCACACCCGCCCGCCGCCCCTATCCGACCCTTGCAACGGAAATGTCCCGCTATTCTGGCCTGGACCCAGCTGTCTCCTCACTTGACTTGCCCGAATCTGCCCTGTTGGCCATGCGGAGACTGGGCCTGCGGCAGTGGGCTCGGCCATTGACGGCTATTATCCCGGCAAAAGCATCATACGCTCGGCGGCCTTCATAACGCGCCTGATGCCGTCACTGGCAGCCGAAAGCGCTCCAACTGCTATTCATTTCTCATTGCATCCCTCTCAGTCTTATTCTGCGCGGCTCGTGTCTTTATATATATCTTTGCTTCTCGCCGCAGCAAGGCAGCCGCTGATTTACGACAGCTTTGATACCCCACGATCCAGCATCTACCCCTCCACAATGCCGTCTACAGCTCTGCGCCTGCGGACCCTCGGCGCCTTTGCGCGCCATGCGACAAATGTAGGTCTGGGCGGTTCAGTCGATCAATGTAATGATCCCGTCTTATGGAGGATAGAGAGCTGACATTTCTCACGCCCTAAGCCCACTGCTGTCTTGTCCAGGTCATTTTCCGCCACTGCCCGCCGAGCTGAGATCAACAAGGTGCTGCCCTCCGCCGCCGAGGCCATCAAGGACCTCAAGGCCAACTCGACGCTACTGTGTGGTGGATTCGGTCTATGCGGTGTCCCCGATACTCTGATCGACGAGGTCCTCAAGAGGCCCGACATCACCGGCCTGACAGCCGTCTCGAACAATGCCGGCACCGACAACTCCGGTCTCGGCAAGCTCCTCAAGACAAAGCAGGTCAAGAAGATGATTGCTAGCTACATTGGCGAAAACAAAACGTTCGAGACAATGTACCTCACCGGCCAGGTTGAGCTAGAGCTGACCCCCCAAGGAACCCTCGCAGAGCGATGCGCAGCCGGTGGTAAAGGCATTCCTGCTTTCTACACGCCCGCGGCCTTTGGAACTGTCGTCCAGACCGGCGATCTGCCGCTAAAGAACAAGCCCGACGGCTCACCGGACGTGTACTCTTACCCCAAGGATGTCAAGGTGTTCAATGGCAAGCCATACCTCCTCGAAGAGAGCATTGCCGGCGATTATGCCTTTGTCAAGGCGTACAAGGCCGACAAGCTCGGCAACTGTCAGTTCCGCCTGGCGGCCAACAACTTCAACGGCGCCATGGGCCGCAACGCCAAAGTCACCATTGTCGAAGCCGAGCACATTGTGGAGCCGGGCGAGATTCCTCCCGAGGCCATCCACCTGCCCGGCATCTACGTCAAGCGCGTGATCCAGAGCACCAGCCCCAAGAATATCGAGAAATACACCTGGGCCAAGGAGGATACCGATGCCGACGCCAAGGCCGTCCTGGGGACGGGTGAGACTGCGGCCAAGAGGGAGCGAATTGTCAAGCGAGCAGCAAAGGAGTTCAAGAACGGCATGTATGCCAACCTGGGCATCGGCATGCCCATGCTTGCGCCCGGCTTTGTCGGTCCCGAGGTCGAGGTCCAGCTGCAGTCCGAGAACGGTATCCTGGGCCTTGGCCCCTACCCAAAGAAGGGCCAAGAGGACCCCGATTTGATCAATGCCGGAAAGGAGACAGTCACCCTCAAGCCCGGTGCCGCGGTATTTGGCAGCGAAGAGAGCTTCGGCATGATCCGCAGCGGCAGGATCAACCTGACCATCCTCGGTGCCATGCAGGTCAGCGCAACTGGCGACCTGGCCAACTGGATGCTGCCGGGCAAGGTCAAGGGCTTTGGAGGCGCCATGGACCTTGTGAGCAACCCCAGTGCCACCAAGGTCGTGGTGACCATGGAGCATACCGACAAGAAGGGAAACCCCAAGATTGTCAAGCAGTGCGCATTCCCGCTCACTGGCCGCGCGTGCGTCTCTAGAATCATTACCGAGCTGGTAAGTGTTTTGCGTTCACAGTGCTGTTCACCATGCTTATCAGAAGAGCTTAACGCTGACATGCCTCCTTTTTCAAAGGGTGTTTTTGATGTCGACTTTGCCCATGGCTTGACCCTGGTCGAGATCGCAGATGGAGTGACGGTAGACGAGATCAAGAGCAAGACGGAGGCGCCCTTCACGGTCGCTGAGGACCTGAAGCCCATGCTATAAATGGTCGCTACTGATGGGAGGTTGGGGTTGTATCTGTTACAGCACTACGAGGCAAGGTGCTAATGTGTGTATATATACCAAAAAACTGGCGGTTGTAAGACTGATGGGGGATGCTGCATGAACCGGCACAGGTTTGCTGTGCCCGGATACCAGCACAGGCGTTCGGGGGAGGAGATAGAGTAAGACAGCGTTGATTTATCCGCATGAACAATTGTGATTCTCACAGGGCAAAACTTCCCACGGTGATCTCAGTGAAGGCTTCATCATGTATGCAGCTTCAGTGCTGTAAAATTTTCGAACTTGCGGCCATTGCCCGGTAAGGTCTGTATGTAGAGGTAAGTAGTATCTGGAGTCTGGGCCCCAAACATCGGCTTGCTGACACATCCCAGCAGAGCTGCACTGCCTTATAAGTTAGCACAACTCTGATGCGCCACCTCGAGAAAGGCTGCAACGATCAACTCACAAGCATCACCGGCGCCTCTCCGGGGTTGGCCTGGCTGTCAAAGTGAAGAAGTGCCAACTTGGCTTGCCGTTTATTTCGTCTTCGTTCATCCCATCCCGTACCTGAAACCTCACTTGCGCCTCTTTCATCAGCCCTCCTTCATGTAGCATCGTCATCAGTCCCGCTTCCAAACCCCCATCAAGTGACCGGCTGTCTGTCAGCGGCATCGCATGGCCATGAACAACTACGATCCCTCCACCGGCCAGGTCTACCGAGAATGGACAGTTGCAGGCCGCATCAGCGCCAGCTCAGATCATGACTGGTCGCGGCGGCGGCCGTATCCCCAGTTCAGGCCTCGCGGTCCCCGGGGCCCGCGGTCTCTGACGGACATGGCCGTCAATGTCATTGCGGACAATATCGGGGACGTGTCGGAGGAGCTGCTCGGGGCGATGCCCGTACAGCTTGTTTGGCGCATATGGCGCTTTCTAGAGGCAAGGTTTGTTGGCCTTTTACACTATGCATGGCACATGAGATGAGCTTGATGGAGCGATGGCGAGCTCAACAACGGCTCAGCTCGTCACAATTCCTGTTTTTCTCTCTTTTACATACAGAATCCATGCCCGATGATATACTGACGAGCTGCTTCTAGAGGCGTAAGCCTCCATGCTTGGAAACTGTTCTCAGCATTGCTCCTTCGGGAAGATGATGAGAAGAGCCTCGGGCTCTATCGGTTTCGACAACACATCTGCCATCCCAACGTGAGTGACCTGAAGTGGTACACCAAGCCGCTCACGTCTCTGACGACAGAGTTCATCACCCACCTCGTGCTGAGCGGCGGCAGCGAGTTCACCGTCCATGACATGCTCAGCTTGGCAGACTTGAAGAATCTAGGCGTGTTGGAGATCATCCAGCCGGCCGATGAGACGGGCGGCTACTTTCCGGATGTGAGCGACAACCTCATCCGCGGCTGGACGGAGACGCAGGATCCCTTTCCCATGCTGAGGATCCTGAGGATCTGGGGCGACCGCTCGACTTCGAAGAACTGCCTGCGCTGGGTCGCCAAGTTCCCCTCACTGGCGCTATTTGACGTGACGGGCTCCAAGAAAGGCTGGGGCAACCCGATGGAAGAGGCAGCAGAGGCCGGCTGGACAGTGACGGACCTTTCAGGAGGCCAGGAGAATTCGCTGCTGAAGAACCTGATGCTCCTCGTCCCCGATGAGCACGTCAACAAGACGCGAGACTCGATAAAGAGCGTCGACGCCGACTTGGTGACGCTCTGCAGCGATTCCCAGTGTGCCATCAAGTTTGTCCCCAACCGAGAGGCGCCACCTCTGCTAGACTACCTCACGGACACGGGCAAGGTGTATCTGCCCTCCTGGGACCCAGATGCCGCGTTGAGAGAAGCGGGAGCTTGCCACGGCGTTGCTTTTGAGGCATGGGCCTTTTGGCTCTACTCGTTTCTCGGCCAGCTCAGCGGCGACATTGACATGGCGAACCAAGGTCTTTTTGTAGACAAGCAGGCCGTCGCTGGCCCGTTTGTGCTGCCGTCGCGGCCCATGGCGTGCCTGTTTCTAGGGCACAGCGGGCGAGGAGGTATCTCCTCGAAGCCGTCCTACGTGAGTCGGGGCTTGTTCTCGACGACGCGATACATCTTTACTCGCCAGATGGATGCGAGCCGGTACAACAAAGAGAAATTTGACGACCAACAAGAGGAGGAAAATGCCCACGGACTTGGGCAGGGGCACAGGCCCGGAAAGTCGAGCCATGCCCTCAACAACGGGTTTCGCATGGCCAACCCCCGGCCGACGCAGAAGAGGAAGCTACTGCACGAAATGCTGCATTCGCTTTCCCGATGAGAAATCGGAACTGAATGAAAGGTGTGCAATAGCCACCGGGGTGAATGAATGAATGGATGGCCTGCATGGTTGGCTCAATGAGGCTGGCCATAGCACAGCAGTAGGAAAGTCATCTTTCTGTTCTACGATTGATTGACAAGGAGGTAATACACAAGCCGACCCAGATAGTATATAGAATAGGATCCCGCGAAATATGGCAAGCGATTCTCCATCTCGGCGTCCCGTTCCTTCAAGCAAAGTGAAGGAAATAAGACGTGAGATGGTCAAGCAAGGGCATGTACCGCCGAAAAAATTTATCTATCCCAAACGCAACCCTCCGAAGAGGGGAGTATAGTAGGACAGAGGGTAAGTCAGCAGAAATTTGTTCTATCCTCCAGTTTCCCCTCCAGGCGCATCCAAAGGTTGTCGAAAGCCAGAGTGAATTTGAAGGAAGTATTTCTAGTAGGTTTCACTGAGGAAAAGAAAAAAGAAAAAAGAAAAGGAAAAAGAAATTTCATCGAGGACGCTTTTTATTGAGAACGGTGTGGACTTTTTTTTTAGGGAACGGAAAAACGTGGGTGCGGTGTGGACAAGGGTTTGTTGAACGTGCACGTTTACACAATGTACTGCGACATGTGCATTTTGCTGGGCTTTGACGTCTTTGAGGACCCTTTGTGGTATGCCCTTGTCGTCGGCCGTTGATTTGGAAAAACAGTTCATATAAATGACATGATCTAGTCATGATTAACCTAGGAATTGATTAGAGTCATCAGCATTGAGACCGTCAAGATACTTCCACAATGAACTGCAGATGTTCAAGCTCGGCCTCTTTTGGTGGTCCCAGCCAGCCGACCAATCGTCTCCCGTCGATTTCAACGCCAGAAGCGTCTTGTCTGCAAAGGGTACTTTAGCGCTACACCTCGACCCTGTCCTTGTCAATGGTCGAGACCAGCTCATAAGGCAATACCTACATAGGTAGGATGACAATCCTTGAAGCTTCTGACCAAGGTGCTTGTGATGGTGCTGTGCAAGTGATGAATTCTGTGAGTCACACAGCTCAAAGGCGCAAGTGAATCATGACGACTCGAGCAAAAGACCCTTCGAGAAACAAATTAGAAACAGAACCAACTCCAGAGTTTCCAAAGGGTTTTGATGTGCATTTCCTGTACGACTGAGCAAGGCTGAGCTGGCGCGCACAAGTACCGTCCAAGTACCCCGCTACCCCGCCGCCTTTGTTCCTGGTGACTCGACGAGCGATTGTCAGAAGACAAAAGTTGTGCGCAGCCTCGAGTCTGAAGCGCAAAGCCGCAGTTTGCCAGTTCGAGAAGCGCATCCGTTTGCAACTCACCAACACCTTTACACACACGCACTCTCTCTCTTTCCACACGGCGAACTCAGACAACACTCCTCACGGGTCTACGAAGCCGCATTACCTCTCACTAACAGACTCCTTTATACTTCATCAGCCAAAATGCCTGGTGGTGCTCCTGGTTCGAGCTCGCGTGGCCGCGGCGGCAAGTTCCGAAAATTCACCAGAGGAGGCAAGTCCAAACCAGCCTGTATCCAAGACTTTTGCTGCTGTTGCTCGGCGGCGAAGAAATGCGTTGCGCTGGCTCATCATGTGGCTAACTCGGGACTCTGCAAAACACAAACAGGTGGAAAGCACTTCTCCCGCAACCTCCAGCCTCTCGACGCCGAAGGCAACGCGGTGAGCATGTGGGGTGAAGACGCCCAGCTCAACAAAGACGAATCCGATTCCGAGGAAGAGTCCGAAGAGGAGTCCGACGCGGAGGATGAGGAAGAGGAGCAGGGCGGCAGCAGCAGCAGGACCGCCGCCGCCCAGGCATCCGCAGAGGCCAACCGCGAGGACCGGAAAGCCCAGAAGAAGGCTCGGAAAGAGGCCGCCATAGCCAAGCAGAAGAGCCGCGCGGTCGAGGTCGGCGACATGCCGTCGTCGAGCGACGAGGAGAGCGACGCGGACCTGCCGGCCAACCCGAACCACTCGTCGTCGGCCCGCAAGCAGGCCTCCAAGGCCGCCGCGGACGTCGACGCCATCACCGAGGGCGTCAAGAAGCTGCCCGCCAGCCGGCGCGAGAGGGAGGCGGCCGAGGCGGCGGCCGCCAAGGAGAGGTACATGAAGCTGCATGCCGAGGGCAAGACGGACGAGGCCAAGGCGGATATCGCCCGCCTCAAGGCCATTCGTGCACAGCGCGAGGCGGATGCCGCTAGGAGACAGGTAGGCTTTCTTCCTCTTGGTCCAAACTCCGGCTGTCTGCGTTTTCTGGCATATCGTCGTTACAGTGGCTAACATGGGTTTTTTTCCCCCTCAGGCTGAGAAGGAAGAGAAGGAGGAGCGGGAGAGGGAGCGGAGAGCTGAAATCGAGGCCAGAGAAGCCAAGCTGCGAGCGCTGGCCGCTGGCCCGAAGAAGAGCAGCAAAAAGAAATAATCTGCTTGACGGTTTAGTGGTCCTGTGGAGATGTCTTGGGTTATGACGACCGTGGGCTAGATCTGGTATATGGTGTACGATCTGAGATGTTCGTATAAATGAAATGCCTGACGAGCAGTCAGAGCTAGGTATTGATTATATACCTGGCGAAGCTGGTTCCGCCATGTGTTCCGTCGCAGTGAGATATAAGTTACTTGATACTCTCGTGATCCTTACTTGAGCTTAGGTAGGTTGATACCGAGGCGGTTGGACAATAGAGATTGCACAGCTTCGTCACCAAATACCTACATAGTCCGGGAATGCGCAGATCTATATTTCACTCTTCTTATTCTGACGGCGTCTCGTACAATATCAATTCAATAATACGATTTTATGAGCCTCAATTCAATATCAAGGCTGCGCATCCGCGTCTATATCTACATTCTACCGTACTAGGCCGTTGACGGCTACCCCACAGCTAGATTCGCGGTACAGCAAAGGTGGAAAAAAATTGGACACCCCAGAAAAAAAAAATCAGGAAAAGTCCCCCAGCAAGACAGTGGCAGAAAGGGAAAAAAAAAAAAAAAAAAACATCACCTCACCTCTCACCAACCACCAGCGATTCTCTGCACTTTTCTACGTCGCTGTCTGCAAATCAATCAGCGCCCGTTGTCAGGCTCTCAATTCTAGACGCCCTTGTCATCGCATTCTTTCTTTCTTCTTCCTCCGTAGACACTGCGTTTCTCGCCGAGACTAGAGCTACAATGGCGGACTCCTCGCTGCAGGTGCGTTTCCAGCCTTTGTTGCGTTGCTCAGCCCCGCCAGGGTGAAAGATGCCTGCTGGGAGAGCTGAGCGATGAGAGATGCGCAGATCGTGAGCTGACATGGCTTGTTAGGATCGTCTGCGCGACCATGCCAAGGCGTTCGATGGCCTGCTGAGCCTGATCCCGGCCAAGATGTACTACGGCGAAGACACAAGCGTACGTTGACCGACTCCGCCCTTACCGACCGTTGCCCTCTGAGCAGGGCATATAGCTAGACACGGCGATGGCATGTGAGGCTTTTGAGGACGCGGGGCTGACGTTGGTCAATCTATAGGATCAATGGAAGAAGGAGAAGCAGACAAAACAGGAGGCCGCAGCCGCCCGCAGAGCTAAGCTGGACCCCGACAGCGCCCTGAACCGCAACGCCAAAGAGATCATGGATGAGCGAGCCAAGAACAAGCGGAAGCTGCGGGAGATGGAGCAGGACGAAAATGAGCCCGAGGAATCATACGAGCCCGTGACCGGCGTCGAGGCCGAGAAGCCCCTTGAAGGCTTGAAGCGGAAGAACCCTGATACGCCGCAGAAGAAGCCCAAGACCAGTGGTGACGCGGAAGCCGAGAGCAATGTTGAGGCTGGAGACGAGGCACAGGACGTTGAGGCGACCCCGAAGCTGTCAAAAAAGGAGGAGAAGCGAGCTGCTAAGCGAGAGAAGAAGGCTGAGAAGAAGGCTGAGAAGAAGCTGAAGCAAGAGTCAGGCGAAGCAGCAACCCCGGCCAAGACGCCGGCCAAAACCCCGGCCAAGGAAGCTGCCGAGACAACCAGCACACCTGCCTCAAAGAAGCAAAAGAACAAGAAGGCGACAAAGGAGGCGGCTACACCGTCAAAACCCCAACCGACTCCCTCGAAACCGCAGGATGATATTGTCCAAGACTCTGACAAACAATACGAAGTCATGCAAGACCGGCTGGATGGCCTTGACCCTTCTCTAGACTTCTCCAGCCTGCAGAGAGAAGACGACGGCAGCGCTGTGTCAGCCCCCGACTCCGAAGTACACTCCCCCACCTTTGACTCTACCGAGACTCCCAGCAGCACTCAGCCCACAACAACAGCAACAACAACAACAACAGAGCCCGCGAGCACATCCACATCAGTCTCCTCAGTTGCCCCTTCAGAGAAGCCAAAGCACATCAAGATACCCGCAGACACCACCGCCCTGAGAGCTCGTCTCGCCGCCAAGATCGAGGCTCTCCGCGCGGCCAGAAAAGCCGACGGAACGAACGGCAAGCCCATCCGCACGAGGCAAGAGCTCATCGAGGCGAGAAGAGCAAAGGAAGCCCAGCGAAAGGCCCACAAGAAGGAGCTGCGCCAGCTGGCAAAGGAGGAGGCGCAGAAGAAGCGCGAAGAGGCGCTGGCGTCCAACTCGCCGGGGGTCATGAGCCCCAACATCAGCCTCGACGACGCCGCGGCCCAGGGAGGCTTCGCCTTTGGACGGGTGGCGTTTGCGGACGGCACACAGATGTCGCACGACCTGGGCTACTTCCTCAACAGGGGCAAGAAGAAGGGCCCGTCGGACCCCAAGACGGCCCTGCTCAAGGTGCAGCACGAGAAGAAGCGCATCGAGGAGCTCGACGCGGAGAAGCGCCAGGACATTGAGGAGAAGGAGACGTGGCTCAACGCGCGGCGCCGCGCAGAGGGCGAGAAGATCCGCGACGACGAGGCCCTGCTCAAGAAGGCCGTGAAGCGCAAGGAGGCGGCCAAGAAGAAGAGCGAAAAGGCGTGGAAGGAGCGCGCGACGGGCGTCGCCAAGGCGCAGCACGAGAAGCAGAAGAAGCGCGAGGAGAACATTAAGCAGCGGCGCGAGGACAAGCTGCTGCGGCGGTCGGGCAAGAAGAAGAAGGGCGGCGCCAAGAAGAAGGGCGGCCGGCCGGGCTTTGAGGGGAGCTTTGGCGTGGGCGGGAAGCGCAAGTGAGGATGATGTTGATGATGATGGTCATGATGCGGAAGATGGTGATGGGATGGGATGGGGCGGGACGGACGACTGGGAACAATTTGGCACAAGTTTGTTCATACGTGTAATAATATTAGCCTTGGCCTTGGTCTTGTCTGCCGTCTCGAAGTACCATCTCGCATGCTTTCATGACTCCTTTCCTTTTTTTACCCACTCCTTGAGGATATCTATGGGGCTGTTGTGTCGATGTCGATTTTACCAACTTTCAGCTTCATTCTCCGTTTGCTTACGACACTCTGTCAGTTAGATATTGGGCGAAATGGAGCCTCTCATGGAGGCGCAATGCATTCTGTTCCTTTGCATCTCGTACCAAAACCAGCAAGATGACAAGTTTCAATTTGGCTCTATATGTGTGTTTCCTCACAGCCAAGGTAAGGTATTTGGACCTAGGTAGTAGGTGAAGAAGATGGCCGCGTCACTTTGACTTGGGACGCCCGTAACATTGCGTTTCTTTTCCTACCATCCCGCATCATCAACGGAGGAACAAAGATTCATACGCAAGCATAAGGTACATACAACGGCCACCAGTTCTTCTCCCCTTTCTCCCCCACCCCCCCTTTTCTCTCCCATTCCCCGTCCAACGTGCAAGAGCAGCAAGTTAGGAATAAAAAAATAACAAGAAAATAAAAAATAACAAGAACAGAAAGTCAGGGAAAAAGCGAATAAATTAAGTAAAAGAAAGAAAGAGCACCATCTAGACAACTCTCGTTTTGGTTTGTTTTCCCCCCAGCCATCTCCGCCTCCCTTTTATTCTCCCCATTCCTTCTCACCAGCCTTCCATCTCATGATATCTTTCACAATCATCCTTATGTGGTCGTATTTCGTTCCAGCCGGTAAAACCTCCCAACAGTAGCACAAAATAGCATGAACATAAACAAGAGGATCATCCCACCGGTTTCCACTACTGTTTCTCAAAATAAAAGAAGGTGACAGCGAAGGCAAGGTGGTCGGGGTTTTGACGGGTTATATCTGATAATAGAGAGAGCCCTGTTATGGAGACGAGAGGAGGCAGGCGGCAAGCAGGGCGAAGTAGTGGGAAATTCAAGAGAGCTGTGTCCGCGAATAATAAGGGCAATTGATGGGGCCTTTGGTCGTCTGTCATCATCAGAATCGAATTAGGAAGTGTATAGTGGTTGGTCGTCGGGAGCCCTTGTCGGGATTCGTTTATAGGAGCGAGTCGAGCCTGGTGAAGACGCTCAGGCAGGCAGCCACAATTTCGAGCTGCAGTTCCTTATCCTTGGCCTTGTTCACCTCCTGTGTCGCATGTCGATTAGCATATCTGTCCTTGGTCTAAATACACGGAGACGCTTGTATGCGTCGTCATCTCACCTCGGCAATAACCTGCGGCAGGTTGGCTCCGATGCCATTGCCCGTGGCCTTCTTGCCAAAGGGGAACTGGCTGTAGTCGGCCAGCAGCTCGTCCGTCTGCGCAAACGCCCGCTCCCGCGCCTCGTGGCCCAGCGAGGACAGCGCATTCTCCAGCACGTTGGCGGCGTAGGCCGCGCACACCATGGCGACGGTGCGCAGGTAGCGGAACTCGAGGTTCTCGGGCAGGAACTGGCTGCCGTTGAGGACGACGGTGCGCTGGGTCAGGACGTTGCGCACGCGGCGGCGGATCTCCTCCTTTGCGCCGCCGTCGGCAACGGGGTGGGTGGCCATGTCGAAGAGAAGGAAGTTACGCTTCTCCGTCCGTAGGATGCCCTTGTCGACCAGGCCCTTGGCTAATCGTTCGCGGACCTGCTTGAGCTGGTATCCTATCTTCATCAGGTTCCAAGTCTCGCCTGGCTCAGAGCATTAGCCTGCTGCATTGGTTTACATATGTATGCATGGATGAGATGCTTTCGTTCTGTCCCAATGTCATCACCACCACCGCCACAGAAGCAGCAGCAGCAGCAACAGCAACAGCAGCGTGAATGGGCAAATGATACCAAAAGAGCTGGACGCCGGGGCGGGAATTGGGGAAGGGAGGGGCAAGATGTACCGCTCATCAGATCAATCCAGGAGCTGACGCTCATCTTCTCGCTCTGCTTCATCATCTTGAGCGCCTCGTCGAGAAGCACCTCGCCGGTGAGGGTATCGTCTATCACTTCAATGTTTCGGTCGGCCAGGGGGAACCGTCGCCGCGCCGGGTCCTTCTCCATGCTGATGCGCCCGCGGAAGGCAAGCTCGAGCACGATGCATCCTCGGAGCGCGTACGAGATGTTGTCGTTCCAGAACGAGAGGTACCCCTGATGGCAGCAATTGCAACGGTCCGGGTCAGCAATTGAGTCTCGTCCCGCCAGGCAACAGCGCAGAGCATGCGAGCACTCACCTGCTTGTCCTTGAGGCCGAGCAGCAGCACCTCCTCCATCATGGTCAGCTTGGGCTGCTTGCTCCGCTCGGCCGACTCGCTGATGTCCCGGGGGTCAAAGGCAATCTTGTGGCCGTTCTCGCCGCTCTCGTAGCTCGTCTCGGGGGCGCTGTCTCGAGCATCGCGGGTCGAATTGGTCCTCGACACGCCGTTGCTGCTCTCGCCCTCGGTTCCAGCGCCGCCGCCGGCTCCACGGCGCCGCGTCAGGCCTGACGAGGACATGCTGGGCGTCGGATGAGGCGTTGATTCTAGGGGAGGGTGCGCCGGTTCTGGCGAGCGGTCGTCGGTCGTCGATCGTTCGAAGGAGGCCCAGCCCCAGACCAGACCAGACCAGACCAGACACGAGTCGGTGAGAAGCAGCGGTTCCGGGAGGCAGCAGACGCGGGGTTCCAGCAGATGGGCAGTGCGCGATGCAGAGAATTGACGAGGAACGGACCGCAGGCCGATGGAGGACAGCGCGGTCACGCACGAGAAAGTTGCAGCAGCCGTATCGGTACAGTACGCAGTATTATGGGCTCAGGCAAATCTGCGAAAGGTCCACAGGCGTCTAAGCAGGAGAGACGAGGTCCCTGGTCGGTGGTCTGGGTTGCTGCTGGTGGGCCGCGTCACGGATTGGGCCAGTTGAGGCTCGGGGTCGCGGCAGGGATCAATGGAGGGGGAGGTCCAGTGGCTCTCAGCGCCATGGAGGGACAGAGACAGCGCTAAACGGGACGCCTAGCAGCTGGATCAATAGGCCTCAATGGCCCAACTGAATTGAGAGTTGAGGAGCACAGCAGTGGCGCGCTTTATTACGACGCCTCGAGAGCCATCAGGGGTCTGGCCGCATCTGGGGGGGCAATACTGTAGAGTGTGAATTGATGAGAGAGGCTGGACTGAGTAGGTAATTGGTATACTAGAGGTAGGTAGTAGATCCATCATGATAAACAAGCACAAGCAAGGAAGAATATGGTGTCTGTCTACTGGTGTGGACATATCTGAGATAGAGCAGAACTCGGGATTTACTAAGTATGGAACAAATGAGGCGATGAGAAGGTCGATACGAAGATGATTGACGGAGACTCTCGCAGGATCACAAGGCTGTGCTAGGACCTTGTTCTGCAATTGTCTCAGACACTTATAGAGTGTTCACTGCTGATGCTTACCTCAAGTTGGAAATCCGGGTACATGAACCACATCACATCCCAGCCTTCGTACCTATCAAGGGGTTGAGGTTCTTCGGAACACGCAGCTTTCTGCAGTCAAGACTCCAAATTCGTTCGTCCGGATATAACGCCGCCGTGTTGGATACCTACCTGAGACGCTGGAAAAGAGGAACAGAAAGCTGTTAGTCGTGTTAGTAGTACCTACTACTACCTTATCTCCAAGGTTGAAAAGTGCATTGGTGGTAAAAAACACTTCAACAGCCTTGATGGACAATTTTATGATAGCATCACCGTCTCAACCCTCAAAATATACCAAGTAGGTACCTAGCCACAAGCACAAGCAGGCGCAACCAAAGAAGGTTCTGTGTGCCTGCCAAAGATGGCCTCTGTGCGTGTGCCGAGCCCGGGAAGGAAGTAGACGAAGCACTTGCCCGATCCGGTAGCCGAGTCCGCGAGAAAAGCCACGTAAAGGCAAAAGAGATCGCTTCTCCACTCTCAACGTCGATGGAAATTTGCTGCCCAACACCACCATGACCATGGGCTTCTTTTTCTCGCAATCGCCGGCCTGCGAGGCATATCGTATGTCCTTTCTCTACTCTTGATCCTTGAAAGGGAGATCATAACTCAAGGTTTGCTTCCTCTTCGCCTCTGGAGACGTCCATGTCGGGGACACGAACAGTGGTGCCTGCATGGCCTCCCAGCTGTCATGACCGGCTTCAATCCGGTTGATGCATGATGGCTCCCAGGCAGACAACAATGCAGAATGTGCCAAGTCAGCATTGTGTATATCTACACACTTGGTTATAAGCTGGTAGGCACAATTACACGGCTTCTACACCTCGTTCCATTGGTTGACTTGCATACTAACTCGAACTCCTTAGACAAATCAACACATATCGATGAGCACTCTACTCCAGCCTCCAGCTCTCCCTACTCCTGCTGCAACAAGGACAGCAGCATCGTCGTTGTATCCATCGAACGATGTGCACGATGGTTGCAATATTCCCTCGCCCTCTACGGTCGCAGGTCTACGGTCGCAGCATGACGGGCGCTGGCCACGGCTCACCAGATTGCTGCAGCGCTGCACCGCTGGCCAGCTGTCAAGCTCCAGTCCCTTATATATCAAAAGTCCGGAGAGTGTAGCAACAGCGACCTGCCCACTTGGGAGTGGCGCAGTCGGCAACAGCGACAGTGGATGTTGGGGGGGCTTCCCCAGCACACACGGCTGTTACGGCTGATGCCACATCCAGGTGAGGAACTCTCAGACACGGCCCCCAGCCCTGGGTTAGTCGACGGAAAGCCCCTCCTGTCGTCGCTCGAGCTGTTGGTACCCGCAAAGAAATACCCATGGGAAACCGGGGCGCGCAGTAGGACATCCGCTGTAAAAGAGATGATCGCTGGGCGCATTACTTTTTTTTTTTTTTTGTTTCTTTTTCCTTTTTTCTTTTGTTAGATTCGCCTTCGCTATCGTTACGGGCGTTGTGATGTTTCTGTTGCGCTGCCCTCTCGATTATGTGTAGTGTTGCGCGTGGTGGGATCAAAGCCATGGCAGCCGTGTCTAAAGGTACTTTGAGCGGAGGTATCTTTGGACGCCCCTGGAGCGCCTGTTTTCTCAAGAGGTCGGGGTTCGAATCCGAACTGGTGCATGCTTCTTTTCATTTTTGCTTCGCTATTTTGGCATGGAAAAGAATTATGTTAAGCGTGCCTTGTGGCTGCATGGCCTTGGGATTTTTTTTATAGTGTCATGAAGCCGTGAAGTGGTGGAGGTTAAGGTGTACTGCTCGCGATCGAAGACTCGAAGCGCAGAAAAGGAAGTGTATAATCTCTACGGTCAATCTTGATCAAAGCTACCTTACAGTACTAGCTATCTGCTATCTGTGTTGTAGGCAGTTTGAAAATCAGCATACATGAACATTTTCCCATATTCTTCCATGCCATTAAATCCTTTGCACCCCCCTGAGTATCCCATTTTGCTTTCTTACTCACTTGCCCACAGGGACAACCGATCCCTCATGCCTTCGTGCCCACCGTGTCCTTCCACAGTTGGTCGAAATCAATGTTTTCAGCTTCAAAGAGCTCGCGTATCTGCTTGGCCGCGGCCTCCTGCTTCTCCGGGCCAAAGCCTCCCGGCTGGGTCGACTCGAACTGCACAATCTCGATCCAGCGGTAAAACAGGTTCTCCTTGCCCAAGGCCGTGAGGGCGTCCCGGAAGGCAAAGACCTGCCTCCTCCTCTCGTCCTCCTCGGCGGCGATGCCCTGCTTGAGGTCGTGGCACATCCAGCCGTAGTCCTGGTGATACACGAGGATGACGTTCCTAAAGGCGTCGAGCGCGGCCTCCTTGCGGTCGACCATCTTGTGAGCCAGGACCATGAGGTTCCAGTCGAGATCCCACTTGTCGTTCATGAGGAGGTAGCCCGTCTTCTGCTCCTGCAGCATGGGCTTGGTGGCCTGCTGGGTGTAGGCGAGCAGGATCTTGTGGGAGTCTTTGTCCTTGAAGATGTCGCGCAGCATCCTGTCCCAGTCGCGGCTGCGGCGGACGTAAATCTCCTTGTCGCGGAAGCCGACGTTCCAGCGCCAGCGCACGGGGTTGCCGTGGGCCGTGGCCATGGTGAACTCGACGGGCCAGGGCCAGACGAAGACGAAGAGCATGAAGTCAATAAACATGACGATGCCGCGCTTCCAGACCTCCCAGGCCAGCTCGGACCAGGAGGACTCGCTAAAGGGGAACGTGGTCTCGTTGGGGTGGCCCCAGCCGGACATGAGGATCCCCCAGTACCAGGGCAGGATGGCGTACATGCGCCAGACGAAGAGCAGCGCGACGGCGACGTTCATGGCCACGGGCACGAGGAACATCTTGCGCTTGAAGGCGGCGGGCTTGGCGTCGACGTGGGTGATGTAGATGTGCTTCTCGGACAGCTCGCGGATGAAGGGCTCCAGGACTTCGGGGGGCCGCTTGAAGGGCGCCGGGGGGTTGCCATTGCTGCCGGATGGGGGCGAGGGTGTTGCGGATTGCTTCTGCTTGCCGCTCCGTTTGGTGGGAGCCATTGTCTCTTGCTGATGGCTGTGACGCCGTGTCAAGCCAATTTGGGCGATGAAGACGATGGGTTGTGAGTGGAAGGAGGTGGATGAGCTTCAAGGGGACAACATGTGGTATAGTTGGCCCCAGCAAAATTCAGATGCCGACCGCCTTGTAAGCTGTCTGTCTGTAGGTACAGTACGTGTATCCACAGAGATCGCCTCTATACCTCCAGAATGAACCAATAAGGAGAGGTCATGAGGAGGAGGATGTTGACAATCAACTTGTGACGCTCAACTATCAAGATTCATCATGTAAGGAGTCGTGTGCTCGAATCATCTAGGAAACTACTAGGTGATACATGAGGTCGAGCTTCGTGGCAAGCTTTCTCAGCATTTCTTCTTTGAGCTAGTGGCGGCAGATCCTCTCTTACATGTACCCGTTACTTCAAGCAGCTACCCGTGACTGTGATCAAGAGATCAGAGGATTGCTCACTTTGGTTCACTTGTAAGGTAACGTGAAGGATTATATTGCACAGCGATGGTGCAAATTGAGCTAGTTTGTTGACGAAGGGAGAAGAACAGGAAGTAATAAAAGTATTGAATGGTATCAGTACTTCTTCGTAGTCGCGGACAATCTTATCCCGAGATGCCCCTCCAAGTTGGTGGTTGTACTTCAATCTCGAGCTTAGGACAAAAAAAAAAAAAAAAAAAGATGTCCCGCTAACCTGGAACAAGAGCTGCCGACTATCAACATCCAACCACCAATTCTTTCACCCATACACGCCACTTCCTCATCCGATGCCGACGGGAGCTCTGCTTGAGCTTTGTGGTCATCCTCTGTTGCAATGTTGAGAGCTCGCGCGTGGAAGGTCTGCCATCCTGCCACTCAATTGATATCCATCCACTGTCTGGGGCGCAACTGACATCATAATCTCCAGGACCGTGGCCACTCCTTCGTGTGCGCATTTTGTCGACAGAAACTGGCTGTCAGTGCCGGACTGCAGCATGAACGAACGTTATCCATCTCATCTGTCTCAACGAGGTCCTTAGCGGCGCTGCGGGAGCTGGGCAAAGAGCGCAGCGCCGTCCTCTCTTGTCAGGCCCGGTCGCTGTCTCGGACAACATGTCTCAGCAACTCTGCGAAGAATGAGGGACCTCCCGGGGCGGGGGGGTTCCCAGGCGCATTCTCCAATGCTGGAGCGGGCGGCTGGGGCACATTTGCGAGAGCAGAAACATCATCTGGCGTTTTGCCTTCGACTGATGGCTTGCTACCGCACGAGCGACAGGCCCGACAGAAATCCGCGGCTGCTGAGACGGCGCAGACGACCAAAAGTAACGAACCGAAGCGGAATTCAGGCAACCAGCGCAACAACACATCGCAAGTGACCAAGTCGAGATCCGTTCTGGCCGATGTCTTCAAAACCAGCCGAGAACCGCGGGCTCCCCCGACACCAGATTCTTGGACCTCTCCACAGCCCGAGGGCCGCGACACGGCCAATAAGCCGTCGAGGCTATCAATACCAGGCAAAACTTTTGCTCGCCAGGGAGCAGCCTCAGGGGCATCGCCGGCGACGTCAACAAGCGGCGGTCTCAAGGCCACCGGATGGAATACATTCAGCAACCGCAAACCTGAGACCCCTGTTCATACACATGGGGTCGATGCTCGTGGAAACCAATCCGGCGTGTGGAGCGAAATCACCAAGGGTCGAAAACCAATCATGAAGGCAAAGGTGAAGCTTGGAGTGAAGCCACATGCGCACGGCCACGAACCCAAGCCTCCCGCCGGCCAGCCTGCCTCGGGCCAGGAGCCCGTCCGGCAGGATTTCTGGGGAGAGCTGGAAACTAGAGCCACGGGACTTCGAGACAGGGCGAAGAGCAAGAACGATAGCCAGCCCGCGGACAGAAGGAAGAGGAATTCGCAGGAGACTCGGGACAAAACAGAGTTGTTGAGCGACACAGCCAGATCTACGACCAAAGTCGAAGATGACGTTGCGCCCGAGAAGCAAAGACGAAAGTCCAGATTTGAACTGGATGAAGAGGAGGACCAGACTGAGAAATCGCGATCGAAAAAGGCAAAGAAACCACAAAAGAGCAGACAGGCCTTTGAAGACGAGGACTGGGACGATGAGGCCGTACACCGCTGGGAGCAGAAGCAACGTCGGAAAGCGGAAAAGGAGGCGCAGAAGCAGATGGCTATCGAGGAGGAGCAGCAAGCTGTTCCGATATTCCTGCCAGAGTATATCAGTGCCTCGAACTTGTCCAGGGCTTTGAAGCAGCACGTGGGCCCCTTCCTGCAAGACATGGAAGAAATGGGCTTCGAGAATGTCACCAGCGACACCATCTTCACCGGCGAGACTGCGGCTCTCATTGCAATGGAATACGGTTTCGAACCGACCGTTGACACAGGCTCCCAGCGCGATCTCCGGCCTCGCCCCCCGCCGGAAGATCCCTCCGTCTTGCCTTCTCGCCCTCCGGTGGTCACAATCATGGGCCACGTCGACCACGGCAAGACCACCCTATTAGATTGGCTTCGAAAGTCGTCAGTCGCAGCACAAGAACATGGTGGCATCACACAGCACATTGGTGCGTTTGTTGTCAAGATGTCGTCGGGCAAGTCCATCACGTTCCTCGACACTCCGGGCCACGCCGCCTTCTTGTCGATGCGTCAGCGCGGAGCAAACGTGACGGACATCGTGGTGCTTGTGGTTGCCGCCGATGACAGCGTCAAGCCACAGACGCTGGAAGCACTGAAGCATGCTACAAGCGCAAAGGTGCCCATCATTGTCGCCATTACAAAGGTCGACAAGGAGGACGCTCGCATTGAGCAAGTGAAGGCTGATCTTTCCCGTCACGGGGTCGAAATCGAGGACTACGGTGGTGATGTGCAAGTTGTCTGCGTCAGCGGCAAAACAGGCCAGGGCATGGAAGACTTGGAGGAGAACATTGTCACGCTGTCCGAGATCCTGGATGTCCGGGCAGAGGACGACGGCATGGCCGAAGGATGGGTTCTCGAATCCAGCATCAAGCCTCAGGGCAAAGCTGCGACCATTCTGGTCAAGCGGGGAACTCTTCGTCCGGGAGACTTGATTGTTGCCGGCAAGACATGGGCAAAGATCCGTGTGTTGCGTAACGAAGCTGGGCTCGAGCTGGACTCTGCCCCCCCTGGAACACCGGTGGAGATTCTCGGTTGGCGAGAGCTGCCAACCGCCGGAGAGCAGGTCATCCAATCGCCCGACGAAGCAAAAGCAAAGACGGCAGTTGAGTACCGCATGGAAATGGCCGAGCGCGAGCAAAGCTCGATCCAGCTCGCAGAGCAGGAGCAGCGCCAACGAGAAAAGGCCGCGGCAGACGCTGCAGCAGAGGGCGAGAGCGGGCCAACCACCGCCGGCGAGTCGACGGAGCCCGGCGTCCTCACCCAAAACTTCATCGTCAAGGCGGACGTTGTCGGATCCGTGGAGGCAGTCTGTGGAACCATCCTGGAGCTGGGCAGCCATGAGGTTCGGCCCAAGATCCTGCGATCGTCGGCCGGCCAGATCACCGAGTCCGACATTGACCACGCGGCGACATCCAACAGCATCATTGTCAACTTCAACTGCACCATCCCACCGCACATCAAGCAGCGTGCGGAGGAGGCCAAGGTCAAGATCCTCGACCACAAGGTCATCTACCACGTCGTCGACGACGTCAAGGCGGCGCTGTCCGACATCCTGCCCATGAATGTCTCGTTCCGCGTCCACGGCGAGGCCGAGGTCCTGCAGGTGTTCCCAATCAACCTGAAGAAGCGCGTGTTTAGGAACATTGCCGGGTGCAGAGTGCGCAACGGCTCTATCAAGAAGTCATCTCGCGTCAAGGTTCTTCGCCGCGGCGAAGTCATCTACGATGGTACGTATCCTGTGTGAACTTTTCCCATGTTGTTATATGGCATATTGACGTGCTGACTTTGGGGAACAATAGGCAAGATAGACACCCTCAAGCATGTTAAAAAGGACGTTCAGGAGATGGGCAAGGGCACAGAGTGCGGTATCGGCTTGGAGGGCTTTGAAGATTTCCAGCCGGAAGACCAGATCCAGACGTATGAGGAGATTAAGGAGAGGCGGTACTTGTAAGATAACATGCCATGCGTCTCGACAGAACGAGGCTGGTTTTACGATATAAGCGTGTGAGCATCTGTACGATATGGGCTGGATATGTACCAAGACAGGAATCAACGACAAGAAAAGTATAGAATGACGGGATCTCGTCTATAGACGAAGCAGTCACAGCATGCATGTTATAGCAGACACATACATATCCAAATTAGATGGCAGCAGATGGTGACATTACTTGCAGCCAAAGTCTCTACCATCTACTCGGCGCAGAGACAACATTTGACGAAAACGTCCTCGTGGTAATCGCCGCCCTCGCCCTCTCCTTTTTCAACTTTTCCAGCCCAATCCGATCCGTAACCGGCGTTGCGGCAATGATGTTGTCAAACTCATCGTCGTCGTCGTCGTCGCCATTACTCCCCTCGCCGCCGTCCTCGTCACTGCTGACACCCCCAGCATCATTGTCTGAATCCGGCTCAATGTCTAGGTCGGCTTTGAACCGCTGCTGCGGCCGCGGTATCGTCGAGGGCTTCTGCTTTTCTTCTGCGCTGTCGGGGTTCGGGTTGGTAAAGGTCTTTGAGGCGAGAACTTTGCGCCGGATCTCAGCCATTGCGTCGTCGTCGTCTGAGTCATCTGAGAGAGCGAAGGGGTCCTTGTCCTCGTCTTCTTCTTCTTCTCCTTCTTCGTCTTCTTCGTCGTCTGCTTTCTTGGGTGGCCGTTTGCCCAAGTATATGCCATCTATGCTTCCCTCCTCCTGCGAGTCTTCATCTTCGTCTGACCCGTCTTCGCCACCACCCTCATCTTCATCCGAATCCACCGGCGCTCGTCTGTTTGTGTTTCCGCTCGTCCACATGTCGTCCTGGCCCTCCTCTCTGCTCTCGGCATACTCCTGCTCCAGCCTCTCCATCCACTCCTCCTCGGTCCTCTTGACGCCCGCCTCGTCCTCACAGGCCGCATACCTCTTCAACAAGCTCGAGTTGATCTCCAAGAACGACGGCCCGTACGAGAAGGGCGCGAGAATCTGCTCCGCCCAGTCCGGGTGCCCGCAGATGTAAAACGCAGCGGCCAGCGCCTCGACGCAGTTGAGCCTCCACGGCTTGCCGTAGTTGACCGTGTTGGCGGCCACCAGGTACGGCAGCAGGCGCTCGCACTTGCCGCCCACCTTGTTCCACTGGACCTCCTTTGTGCGCGCCCACGAGCACTCGACGACGGCGGCGCCGAACTGGTCCATGAGGTCCCGGTCGGCGGGCGAGATGACCTTCTTGCCGTTGGGCGTGATGATGACGCCGCCGTGGCGCTGGCCCATGTGCAGCTCGCGCATCATGCCCAGCTTCATGAGCTTCTTGCCGGAGCAGCGCTTGGGGTCGCAGTGGCCGAGGTCCCAGCAGGCGGCCTTGAAGGCAGGGCGCGATGACGAGGGGGAGGAGGAGGAGGCATCGTCGTCGTTGTGATGGCGGGGTTGGCGAGGAGCGCCGCCGCCGCGGCCGCCGAATTTCTTGCCTCTGGCGTTGAAGTCTTTTTTGTGCCGAACCATTTTCGTGCAGACTGACTTATTCGGCTTCGTGGATGGGTGAGGGAATGGGTGAGTTTTAAGAGGAGGGTGTTTGTCGAGTGGCGGGTTGACGATGATGATGTTTAGCTGGGAGGAATTGGGATTTTTTTTCTTTATCGGAGATCTGAAGTCGCCGCCAGCTTGCTCAATGGTGTTAGAGGTACACTGACAGGTACTACCTAGTAGGTACCTAGAGGTAGGTACAGGTGGTGACCCCTCCAGCTCCTTCACTTGCAGCTTACACTCGTTAAGTAACAGGTTGAATTTGAAGGAGGAAGACGACAGCTGAGCGATGAGAAAAAGAGAAACATGCCTTGACTCTTACAAGAATCATCTATACACATTGATACATTGGGATTGACTCCCACAGATTCACTTATAAATCCCAAAATGCCTGCCGAGTAATGAAGGAGAACAAGTACCTTACCTTGGTCCATCACCCCGGTAGGTGCATAGATCCAGGCATTCACCCGCAAGGCAGCCAATCGCCAGCCAACGCAGACAAACTCGCCCTCAATCCTGTCCCATACAGTTATACGGCACAGTACAGACCGGCAGCCAGCGCCACAGTGACCACATTGCCAGAAGCGGAGGCGAATGGATCGAGTCGCCAGACCAGCGTAACAACTTGCGACGCTGAAGGAGAACCGAAGAGTCGAGGTACGGCCATTCCGCGCAGCTCGGGGCCACGTCGTCTTGTTAGCAGTGGCCAGGCGAGAGAGTTGACCGGGATCCAGCTTTGCGAGTCCGTTCTGTCGAGAGGATCACGGCCGGATCAGCTCGGTTTTGGCAGCTCGAGGAGTAACTCGGAGCTTTCCATTGCCACGACAGCTGCTCTACCCGTTGTCAGTCATCGGGACTAGGTAGACGTCGAATTGCTGCCTAGCTCGAGCTTCGACCAGCGCCGAACCGACGGCCCAGAGCGGCAAACAACCGAACAAGCGCTCAGGGCACCTCACATTCATATACACGCAAGATGGAAGCTGCCTCTGCTCGCGCGGCGGCCCGCGACCGCTGGGGAGACGTCGGCCGCGCGCCCTCCCAGCTCCTGCGCTTCATCCAGGGAGCCTGCAGCCCCGAGAACTACGAGCCCAACCTGGCGCTCAACCTCGAGATCGCGGACCTCATCAATAGCAAGAAGGGCTCGGCCCCCCGCGAGGCTGCCACCGCAATCGTCGGCTTCGTCAACCACCGCAACCCCAACGTCGCCCTGCTCGCCCTCAGCCTGCTCGACATCTGCGTCAAGAACTGCGGCTACCCGTTCCACCTGCAGATCAGCACAAAGGAGTTCCTCAACGAGCTCGTCCGCAGGTTCCCGGAGCGCCCGCCGATCCGCCCGACCCGAGTCCAGGCCAAGATCCTCGAGCTGATAGAGGAGTGGCGCATGACGATATGCGAGACAAGCAGGTACAAGGACGACCTGGGCTTCATCCGGGACATGCACCGCCTCCTTAGCTACAAGGGCTACATGTTTCCCGAAGTGCGGAGGGAGGATGCGGCCGTTTTGAACCCCAGTGATGTGAGTGACTCCTTGAGAGAAGAAGAATTGGCTCCATATTCAGAGGCCTCAACTCTTGTGGATGAATTGACGCTGACTCACAAACTCGCGGGCCACAGAACTTGAAGTCGGCCGAAGAAATGGAGGAGGAGGAGCGAGAGGCGCAATCAGCAAAGCTCCAGGAGCTCATTCGCCGCGGCACGCCCGAGGATCTGCAGGAGGCCAACCGTCTGATGAAGGTCATGGCCGGCTACGACACCCGATCCAAGACCGACTACCGGGCCAAGGCTGCCGAGGACGTTGGCAAGATACAGGCCAAGGCGCGGCTACTGGAAGAGCGCCTCGAGGCCTTCCGGCCCGGCGACAAGATGCAGGATGGCGACGTCTTCAGCGAGCTGGCCGCGGCCTTGCAGAGCGCCCAGCCCAAGATCCAGAAGATGTGCGAGGAGGAGTCGGACGATCACGAGGCCGTTGCGCGGCTACTGGAGATCAACGACAGCATACATCGCACGGTTGAGCGGTATAAGCTGATGAAGAAGGGCGACCTGGAGGGCGCTGCCAAGGTCGCAGCCGGCCACCCGCCGCCGTCACAGTCAGGGACATCGAGTTCAGCGGCGAATGAGTTGTCGCTCATAGACTTTGATGGCGATGCCACGCAGAGCAACGGCAGCAACGGCGCATCCTCGTCGCAAGCTGGTGGGTTGGAGAACGACCTTCTCGGCCTGGACATTAGTGGCCAGTCCAGCACGTTTGGACAAGGCGGCGGCATTGCCCTGGGCTTCGGGGCGAACCAAAGTAAGTTGCGCAGACCCAACCCTCTCATGCCTGATGGCTGTACTGACCTCACTTACAAGACATCCCCGGGCCCGCGCTGCTTTCATCCCTGACCCAGGGCAGCACTGCCAGGGGCGCCGGCCAGAACGACACGCCGCCCCCCTTCTCCCAGTTTGCCTCCTTCTCGTCTCCTCCCGCGTCCCAGTCCGCCACGCCCCAGCCCAACTACCTCCAGCAACAGGCGCCGCCTCAAACCGCCTCCAGCGCCTTCGCCTCCGCCTTTTCCACCGTCTCCCCTCCCGCGCCGCAGCCCGCAGCAGCAGCCGCATCCAACGACGACGACGAGTGGAACTTCACCTCGGCGCTGCCGGCGGAACAGCCCGCGCCGGCCAAGCCCCAGGAGCACCGGGGAGTCGCCAGCAACTCCAGCCTAAAGACCGAGTTTCTGGCCAAGAGGACCACGGCGGTCAGCAACTCGATCAACATTGTGTTTGCCTTTTCAAACAACACTGCGCAGCCCATTACCGAGCTACACTTTCAACTCGCCGTCACAAAGGTACCGTCTTACTCCCCCCCTATAACCAAAACCCCCCAAAACGCCTTTCTTATACCACCATCCTAATCTTCCCCCTTTTCCTTCCCGTCGCTAACTCCCCATTTTTCAAACCTAACCCGTAGGGCTACGAACTCCAACTCAAGCCCCAAACAGGCCGCTCCCTCGCCCCCAAGCAGAGCCGCGGCGTCACGCAAGAAGTCGACGTCTGGCACACGGGCAACCGCACCCAGCGCGTCGAGTCCGTCAAGCTGCGCTGGCGCGCGTCGTACAAGGTTGGCGAGGAGGCGAAGAATGAGATGGGCGAGATTGCCGAGTTTAGCATTGCGTAAATATTTACATTACACACACATACACACACATACACATACCCACACACATTTTTCATTCTTGATCAAACCTCTTCATCCCACCGTCTTCTGCGGCTTTCTTCTCTTCCTTCTTCTTTGAAACATATGCGTAACACGCACCACACCACATATTCTAAAACGTACTGGAGAAGAAATGTAATGCAAGCTCAAGAGGATTGAAAGTACAGGAGGAAGTAGTGGAATGTCTATCTTGTCGTGTCTTGTGTGCCATTTACCACTAGTTATCTTTCTATTGGGACTTTCTTATTAGAAGGAGTTCTGTTTCAAAAGTAGGTGGTGGAGGAGGTGGAGGAGGAGGCATAGCGCTTGCAAGTTCGATGTCTTCACATAATGTCTCTCTACCATTAGTATGCAAAGGAACAAGAAATGAACAAACAATCTTCGCTCAAACATACGAAGAGGATAGCGAGCAAGTTTGAAGTCGGTGGAAACCGCGTAAAAAGAGAATAGAGGGAGAGGGAGAGAGAAGAAAATCAACAAAAGCCGGTCAAAGCGGCCATCTATTTTCACGCCACCATTATGCACATGACCCATAGTGAACGGCAAATTCCATCCATCCCGCCAGGGCTCTAGAACCCAGTTCAAAGAAGAGAAAGACCACAAACAAACACTCTTCCGGACCTCCCCCCTCAGGTTCCTCTTCCAGCATTTCTGTGTCCCTCATACCGTGTGAACGCCGCCGTCAAGCCACCCCTTCCAGATTTCCATCCCTTGATACAAGTCCGAACACAAGTGGAGAGAAAAGCAAGCCAATGGGCGGAAAAGGAAAAAAAAAAGGAAAGAAAAGAATCAGAAAACAACAAGGTTGAAGAGACACAACGAAAGCGAAAACAAAACAGAAAACACAAGTCTGTGCCGTAAGCGGAGATATGGCATGCTGCCTATCCTCTTGACAGTGGAGGAAATGCTCTAGAACGAAACGCAGGATATAGCGTCGTGATAAGTAGGATCCCACTTGCTGCATGATCCGGTTGCTGGTGGTTGCTTGCAATGCTACCAAGAACACAGCCCGGTTCGTGGAGAAGAGAGAAAGTAGAAACAAAGAAATATCGACAAAGGGTCGTAATAGGCAGTGGAAGCCAAAGTCGTCCGTCGGGTGCTCGTAGTCACTATTTGTACAGATCCGCTGAGTATTAAAAGAAAAGAGCTGCCGATTAGCTTCTTGGGAAACGCCACCATCTGGGCGGCAAATCTGTATCTGATGGGGGATGTCGCAGGTCATTTATCGTCTTCTCTTTACTCTGCCGGCCTTCTAGGAACCAAGCTCGCGGACCGACAATGATGGCGTGGTGGGCTGGAGCGGGAATCCGTTGGCCGACGCCTTGGCCATGCTCTCCCGTTCGGCCTTTTCCTTCTCCCGCTGGGCCTTTTCGGTCTTCGTGATGCGAGGCTTTCGCGTGACGGCGCCGCCTCTAGAGCCTGGGCCGCCACCGCGGCCGGTGGTTGCTCCTCCTCGAGTTGTTCCTCCCCGGGCGCCTCCTCGACTGCCACGTCCGCCTCGTCCACGCTTGGGACGTTCCTCGTGTCTGTAATGCCCGTGTTAGTGAATGACAAAGCGAAAAGTCTTGAAATGAGAAGACCACGTACCCTGCAGCTGGCTTTTCGACCTCGGGAACCAAGGGGCCGGAGTAAACAAAGAATCCATCCCGGCTGGCAGCCGCCTGGGCCTCCCAAAGCAGCTCAGAATCGTCCACAAAATCATCGTCAACGTCGTATTGATCCTCCTTGAAATTGCGCTTCTTCTTGGGCTTGGCTTGCGCGTCGGCGCCGCTCACTCCACCATTCTCGGGATTGCTCGCCTCGGCATCGGACAGGTCGACAGACATCTCGTCACCGGACTCGCGGCCAGATTCCACCTTCTCCAAGGACGCGGCAGCCGCAGCAATGCGAGCCTTGCGGTCTCGGTCGGCAGCAAGGCGGGGATGCAGAGCATCCCAACCATACTGCTCCTCGGCCATGCGCATAAAGTTGACGTACTTGTTGGTCTCGCCCTGGCCGATGGGGATGGTGAGGACAATGGTGGGCGTTTCCTTTTCTTCGCCGGGACGAGCTCTGCCAAAGTCCAGAATCGATCTCTCGTCCACCTCCATGATGGTCTCATCCAAAGAATCCGTCTTGGGTGTCGAGACGCCGGTGACGGGCTTTTGCTTCGGAGACACCTTCTTCACGGGCCCGTTTGCAATCGTGGTAAAGTTGGAATGGTCCACGACGGGTCGGGGGGGCGGAGGCGTAGGGGCGTCGCGCTTTATGTCATGGACAGAAGGCTTCAGAGCCGGGGCCTGGCTGGCTGGCGTGGGTGTCGATGCCTTGGGAACATTTGACGGGGAGGGCGGCAGCGGGGTGGCGTCTTGCGTCTGCAGGCGAGACTGAGACGGGGCCGGGGGATATGGCTGGTGGGACTGGCTGGGTGATGCCTTGGCCGGCTGGGGCTCAATCATGCTGGCGATGGACGGCGAGCGGTGCGAGGGCTGAGCCGGCAGGGGGGCTCGCGGAGACCCGGCAGCTGAGGAGTAGTGCGAGGCAATGGTCTCACGGACAGGATCATAATTGCCCCGGATAGGATCGTAGCTCTGGCCGCTGGTACGCACGGGAATGGATGTTGGGCTAGCGATGCTGTTTGACGGCGACCGAGCGACGGGGGGCGGGTCGGCATTAAGGATGCTCTGCATGGAGCTGGGGTAGCCCTCTCGCTTCTGCATCTTGGGCGAATATCGCCTGTCCGAGAGCGGCTGGAGCTGGTGTTGGGGCGGCGACGCCAGGGGCTCTCCGAGCTGCGGCTGAAGGGAGGGCGACGAGGACGAGGGCGCTCCCAGAGCGGCAGGGGCAAGGGGCCGGGGACTGGGAGCATCGGTATCGACGTCCGAGGCAGGCGCCAGCTTTCTCTTACGCTGGACTGGCGTCGCCTCAGCCTCTCGCGGCTTTCGGGGCTTGCGAGCCTTGGGCGGCTCGGTTCCATCGGCCGGGGCCTTGGGCTTGACGATTGAGCCGGGCTTGCGTCCCGGCTTTTTGCGGGGAACGCCCGCTGCTGTGAGTTGCACCCATTCGCCGTCGACGTACGAATATCGCTTCTGAGGCTGGTTGCGCGCGCCAGGAGCGCTGTCGGGAGAAGTCCCCGGTGGTGGTTGCTGCGAGTACTGCTGGGCGTACTGCTGCGGGTTCTGGTCACCACTGACGACGATTTCCTCCATCTCGAGCTTTGAGCGGTCCTTTGCGGCGTTGGGACGGCGGCCAGCCCCGTGCGAGGGCGACCCGGGTTCTGAGAGGGAGCCCGAAGGCGGAGAGGAGAGTTCGCCGGCGGAAGAATCGAATCGCGTCGATGCGTCGCCGACAGCAGCCATAGTAGGGCTAACGCGAAGCCGGGGAGACGGACAGAGAGAGTCTGCCGTCTAGGTTGGGACCTGGCGGCAGCGCAGACTGTTCTCTATGATGCGGCAAGGAATGACTGTTGGCGAGGGGAGGGACGAGAAGGCTGTGAAAGGCAACCAGGCGCTTTGTTGAGATGCGAGATATAACGATCGTCTCTGCGTCGCTGTACCCAAAGGCAATTCCGAAGCGGCCAAGGTGAGTTCGGTGAGCGCAGGGGAAATTATGTATTACAACATAACAAGGATGCCAAGAGAAACGAAAGAACGGGGAAGCAGGGGAAAAGGAAACAGAGACAAGGGGGAAAAAAGGTGAGTAGAAAGAAGTATCGAACAAAAGTAGAAGCCGGCGAAGGGACCAACAAAGACCAGGCACGAGGCGCACGAACGTGATTGAATGCAGAACCGGCAGCCTTGCGAGAAAGAAAGGCAAGGCGCGTCGACGAGGCTGCGGCCCTTGACAGGCGGGCGATGGTGTGCAGAAAGTGTGACGTTACGTGAGTGGCCGGAAGCCGGAGTGGAAACGTGACGAGTGGAGCCGGGCGCTCTGGACTTGCGAATAGCCTCACAATCGGCCAGTTGGGCGACAGACTGGCGGGTGATGCGCGGCGGCCTGAGCTGATGCGCTGCGCTGAGGCGGCAGGGCTGCAGCGGTTGCAACAGCTGGAACGGCGTGCAGCAGGGCAAGGCCTGGCGGATGCACTCGACTGCGTCTGGCGATGGCGCGGGCGCTGCGCAGGTGCGAGATTGATGGCGAAATCGAGGCGGGTTGCGTGGTTGGCGGTGGGTGGGAGAGGGCGAGAGGAGGTGAGGCAGAAGGGGGAAAAGGGGAGAGGCGGAGGTGGGAAAAAGGGAAGAGGTTAAAGAGGTTAAAAAAAAAAAAGGATGGGAGATGGAGGCACAGGAAAGCGTTAGGGAAAAAAAGAAAGGGCAGAAAAAAAGAGGAGGGAGGGGGGAAATGATGGGGGATTTGCCAGCTCGGCACGATTTGGGGATGGCGACAATGGAATCGCTGGCAATTCTGCTCTTTCAAACACAAGAAAAGGCGAGAAAACCGGGGCGGGCAGCGCGTGTTTTGGGCCTGGAAACAGCTTGAGCGGTTGTCTGTAGGCAGTGAATACTTGCTGTATCTCTCTGGCAAATGCAAAGTCAGGCAATGCGGTAGGTTAGTAGGTAGGTAGTAAAGGCGGCACCACCTTAGAGACCGGACCAGGTAGTAATGCGATAAATGATGGGTATAACGTCTAATGTCTGCGCTGCGACGGGCCTCATTGGCAGAGACGTCGGGTCGAATTCGATCAGCAGAGCGTGGAACGGCTGGGATGGGCGTGGGTCTCGGCGCAAGGGGGGGTATCGATAGGAAGGCAGACAAGCCGAGCAGATACAGTATTGCGAGCATCTGCTCCGTATCGTCGTATCGTCGATTTGGTTCTACCTTACCTTATGCGTTGTCGGCGCACAGTATTCACAGCACGGAGCAGCAGCGGCGGCGGCATCTGATAGACCGCGGGTACGGACTGATGTTGGTCGGGGTACGAAAGAACATGAGGTACCTCCAGATACCGCTTGGTGCAGACTGAGGTACCAGGGGGCCGGCAGAGGAGGTCGAGAGATGCGAGCCGAAGTTGGCGCGGGTCTTTTTTTATTCCAGATGGATCCCCGGCTTCTTAATTGGAAGGTTCGCTGGAAGCATGACCGGGGCCCGGAGACTCAGAGGCTCCAGGGTTTAGCGTCGGATCACGGGACTAGGTACTTACCATGATGCTACAGGTATGTAGCTGCCACAATATACTAACCTACCTTACCTACCTACAATATGGAGTAATTGCATCTTATCGAGAAATTTCCAGCTCCAAATTCCCTCTTCATCAAGCAGACGATTGGGCGTTTGCCAGGGGTGCTTTCGGTAAAGCAATGTAGGCAGGTAGGTACCTAGGTACATACCTAGTATGCAAGGTTGGTGGTGATCAGCTGTGTTTGGTACAAGGTAGCACCGCACCCACCACCCACGCTGCTTGTCCCGATAGTGCCCTCGATTTGATGCCAAGCTTTACTATATTGGCACATGCCTGCACTTCAGTCGCACATTCGCACATGGCACTTTTGAGAGACCACTTGCTTAATCGCCCGCAGCTCACAGGCGCTCACCCGCACTCAGTCAGTGAATCACTGCTGCTGCACCCCATCTGCAGCCACGCTCCCAGCAATCGGACGGCAGTACGGGCCACTAATACTGTAATTCGTATGCGCACACATACACACACGCCTGGACGGTGCCGGAGAATTCAGGATGCAAGGTTGGAAACAGGCACAGTAGCGTGGCCTGATCCATGTACATACTGGCCCTGGCCTGCGGCACCCCAGAGTCCCCTACCAGGGCCTCCCAAGGTTGGTCTGCTGTGGGGGAAGGGAAAAGAGAGGGAAAAGAAGGACGCTAGGGCACTTTCGAAGATGCGCAACCACACTCCCCACCCTCTGGCAAGGGGTAAGCCAATCAGCGCTCGGATTAGACGCGGCACGCTCTTAGCGACTGGCAGCCTTCTTTTCCTTTTTATCTTTCTGTGTATCCTAATTCCTGTGCTAGTCCAACTTGGGTATCTACCTAGGTACTAGTCAAGCCGAGAAGCGCGCTGCAGCACGCCCGGAAAGAAGCGGGACCACAAGACGAAGCGACTTTTTGATTGCTTTTGCTTTTGCTTTTGCTGTTGCTGTTGCTTTTTTCGTGCCCCGTTCCTTCCTGCCTGCACCAGATTTCGGAAAAGAACCAGGCCTGAAGCCGGCCGCGCCCCACCTGGGATCGTGTCCTTCTTTCCTTTTTTTCTCCATTTCTCTGCTCTACTTTCTTTGCCGGTTGTCAATTCATGGCCGATGCATGTGGCAGGCGCGGCCCGTCACAGACGGTGGCATCAGCTGCGCCGTGTCGGGGGTCGCAGATTTTTACAATGACGCATGACGTTGGGAGAGGAATTTGCAGAATGAAGAAGGAAGTACTAGTCTTAGTACTACTAGATGGAAAGGACGGACACACACTCACACGGCAGGTACGGAGGAATGGAAAACGGAAAAGCATCTGAAACACTCTTCGTTGTGCACGTCATGCATGTTTTGCAATTTGTTCATGTATGCTGATGTTTTTCTCTTATTTCTGGCTGCCTCCCCTGAGCTAGCAGAGACACTGGTCTCGCTTCGCTAAACACCACTGCAGCCGTCCAGTGTCTGATGATTCATGCAATCGACTGACACGCATCAAACGGCTGTTGTTTACCATTCTCTCATGGGTGTTTACTCCGTATCATGTATGAGTGACCAGGGAAGAAAAGATCTGGATCATTCTGTGGCATATGGCGGTTTGGTCAAGACATACGCAATCGGTAATGGGTTGATGGCGATAGTTGCAAAATGAATGAAATGGTTGTGTCAAGAGATACTTACTAGGTATGTATATGAAAATACGAGGTCGCCTCCTCATACTTGAAATCTACAGCCCCTGAACGTTGCCCCCCGGGCAACCAACAATTTGAGCAAGGCTGCAGCTGACGGTCGTCGCCGATTTGGCACTTCATCCAAGCACAAGCACAAGCACAAACCGTTCTCAGTACAGCGGCAAAGCCACCAATGCAGGGATGACACAGCGCCACCTAGGTACAGTATCTCATACAGTGTATACGGCAAATACATACAATTAGGTAAAATGTGGTCAACCGGCACGCATGGCCACGCTGTTGTCTCAACCCAAGCGCACGCCCCAAAACGCTCCGTCTTCCATCTTTTCGCTTTTTCTTCGACTTCCTTCGCACGTTCTCCCAATTGCGGCCCCCCTGTCCAAGGCGCTGCCTGCTGGGAACCCGCGTGGCACTAATGCAGGTGTGGCGGTGCTGGGCTCCGAAACTCTAGATTGGATCTAGAATTGGGCGACGCTTCGGCCAATCGTGGGGGTCCCTGTTTGCCAGGTTTGGGCACTTTGACGATTGTCCAGGCCGCAGGCTGAGACTTCGCTATCTACTGTAAGCCTTGGGAAGGATTATTGACAAGACTTCCAAAATCAGCCTCTCTAATCTTCTACTAAATAGTCTACTATTCTAGTCGTGCACCATATTGCTTAAAGCGTTGTACCGGTATTCGATTTCCACTGCTTACTACTACAATCTCGAACAAATGGAAAGGATACATAAGGTAGGTACAGATATGGCACTAGCACCTGACTGACATTGTCGTCATCGTGAATCAGCCTACATGTGCCTTCATGATCTTAATCATCAAAAGCGAGTCAATGTGACCAAGGCAGGTAATGCGCGAATCCAAACCCTGCAAATTCCGTTTCGGCACTGTTAGACGTCGTTGTTCGTAGGTGATATCACTACAACCACTGGCATGTGCAGAAGACCCCGATTCCCGTGCGATGCCTGCCGCCATGTCACTCTAATCCAATTTTGGTGAGCTTTCATTCGTTGGGTACGCTGCGGATGGTTGCTTATCGATATGACGATGGAGCAACGCTAACCCGCACCTGTCGGCCCCACCATCGTTTTGCCATGATCCCCAAATCTTTCCAGCCAGTTCTTTTGATGCCTTCCATCACATCAAGACCAGATACCGACCTTCAGAGCTGCGCTCATCGAGTTTCAACATCATGGATCCCACGCTGCTCATTGGCGATATTGTCGAGCGAGACGACAAAGCTACGAAGCCAGTCGAGTTTCCCTCAGGCCCCATCCCGGCGACAGGGTTCCCTCAGCACAAGCGCCGATGGAAATCCTCAGCGTTCAAGCAGCAGCGAAACGGCGGCGCCGCACCGCAGTCGAACCAAGCGCAAAGCACAGAGCCGGCCCAGTCGCAGACCTTTGAAGAGGCCGAAAGAGAGCGGATAGACAGAGAAAATAGGCAGAAGATCAGCGACATGACGCCTCAGGAGATATCGCGGGCGCAAGAGGACCTCTTGAATGGACTCAACCCGGCCCTCATACAACGTCTGCTGCAAAGGGCCAACATTGATGAGCCTGACCCGACTTCTCCCTTTAACCTCCCCGAATCTCGAGAACCACAACCAACTTCAGCTTCATCGCGGGCGCCTCCCGAAATTCGGGTGGGCGACGTGCCAAAAGCTGCCACCGTCGAGGACGAGACTGCGGATGTCGCCAGGCCAGAGCAAAACACCAAGTCAACGCCCGCCCCTTCACCACCTCCTCCTCCTGCTGCTCAGACAAAGTCAACCAAGAAAATACCCGACAATTACGATGAGGATCAGGCGCCTGCTCAGATCCCACCCGACCTCTTCCCCATCACGGATCTGCCCAAGTCAACGCACTTCCCTGTACCACCGAGCCTCCCGGACCTGGACCCTTCCGATCCCAACTTTCTCGCCACGCTACACGACAAATACTTTCCCAATCTCCCCGCCGATCCCAGCAAGCTGGCTTGGATGGCGCCCGTGCCTACGCAGGACAGCCCGGCTGATAAAGACTCGCCATATTATCCCCATCCCGAGATTAGCGTCTCGGCGTTGCGGTTTGACTTCCGCGGCCGATTCCTCTCTCCGCGAGTGAGTCGGTCGATCCCCGCGTCCAAGGGGCTGCATCACCACGGAGAAGCTCCCGAGGCTGCCGGCTACACCATCGCAGAGCTCGCTAGGTTGGCAAGGAGCGCTGTGCCTGCGCAGCGCTGCATAGCATTCCAAACCCTGGGCCGAATCCTGTATCGTCTGGGGCGCGGCGAATGGGGAACCACCCCAGAGCACCCAATCGCCATGGGTGTCTGGAGCGCTGTCAAGGAAGGACGGGTCTTGGAGAGCCTCACAGAGGCAAGCATGGCCGAAGGCGGGCACCGGGGCAGCAGGGCATATGCCGTGGAAGCCCTGTGGTTGTTTGAGAAGGGCGGATGGCGCGAGAAGCTGCAGGTGAGGTGAGGCGGACGCACCCTGGGCAGCGGAGAAGAAAAACTACCTCGCGTATGCACGTCTGAATATGAGTTGGCATCTACTACTGTACATCTCGCCCGCTGGGTCTATGCGAAGAATAGATACTGGGGCAAACTGTGTGGGTGATGTGTCAAATTTGCCCTGTATTGGTAAGGCTGGCATGCAAGACAACGATGCGAGTGTCAGACATGCAAGTTCTCAGAGATAGTCGTTCCTAGTATGCACTTAGACTGCGCTGACGTGTAATCTCATCGGATTAGGGGAAGGTAAGTTGTTCATGTAGTAGCAGCAAGATTCGGAGCTTGGTGTCTGCAAGTAAAAGGTATCTTGGGCGTGGGCGTCTTGGGCATTCTTCGGTTGGGGTTGGTGACGTGTACACGGACCTTGCCCTGAATCCTTGGGTTTCAAGAGGCATCACATTCACCCAAGGATGATGGTCTGGGAATCAACCCGAGTGCAATCAATCCAACTTGCCAGATTGCGCGCTTCGGAGGTGTGATGATGCCAGCTCAGCCGATTTTCACCCTTGGATTGGGCCTGTGCATATGACTGCGTCCAATGGGTGTCTGCAGGCGTGCTGGTGTGTGATCAGTTAGTTACCTTAGTAGTATCTTGTTAGAGCTGGTGGCTTATCACGTCAATGCTCAGATGATGAAAGGAGGAAGAACAAGCAGCGAAACAATCATGTGCCACATGACCAGTGCCATAAGCGGTGCCCCTGGAACGCACGTTTGTCTGTAGGAATAGTAAGTATCGATTCACCGCAAAGGCCCTCTCAAGGTCCCGTCATTGGATCTCTACGAGAACCCAGTATCACGGTACATACTCACCTATCTTTGCCTGTGTCGGATCGGCTTCAGCAGTGACAGGCACGGATCCATCCAGTCCAGTGGCAATTGTTTGGGGCAGGCCGGGCACCAAATGCGCCATTCCGCCCAGGAGAGCACTGGACAGCACACCTACTAAGTACCTGGTATAGGTACTAGGCGCTGGAGACGGGACTCAACCGCTAGCGCTCAGTGAGTGGCTCTCCTGACCGAGCGTCTGCAGTGGCGTGGGCGGGCTGCTGTCGGGCGCGCCTTGGCCTGAAGCCTTGCCGTGGCGGTGGGGGAGCCGCAGCAGGAAAAAAAAATTGATAGGACGAAGAGAAAAAAAAAAGTGAGGTTCGCCCACACATCTTTTTTTCGTTCCTTTCTCTCCTCGTCCCTCTCCAGCCCACAAGCAACACGGCACCGCCGTCGCCAGCCAACTGCTCTCCCTCGCCTTGGGCGCTTGCAATCTTCTTCTCTTCTCCTCCCCGTCTCGCTCCTGTGCTTCCGACTCTGTCTTTTGCAGCGCGTCGATTGCCTTTTCCTTCTTCTTCTCTGTTCCTCCTATCCTCTTCGTTGAGGACCCGGTTCCGCCTTGTGCCCGCCGAAAGCTCGTCGATCGACCTCGCGGCAGTGACGCATCACGAACAAGCGACCATTGGGATCAACCCCTGGCTCGCCGAACAACATTGGAAATCAGAAAAAGAAGGGAAGCCTTGAAAAGAACAGAGCCGACGCTTGGCTTTTTTGCTGCCTCCCCGCTGCACGATTGCCTTGATTGTCGAACCGACGGCCGCAGGTTGACTCCTTCATCAGCGCCCGCTGTTTCTCCGTCTCTGACGCCAAACTGCCTGCATCATCCTATCAGGATTTTTTCTGCAGTGCGGAGAGTTTCCATCGTTCATCAACGAATAACCAGAGCCCTTTTTGGTTCGTCTGCGCAATCGCCCGCAGAAGGGAAGAAGGAGAACGGTCCAATTGATCGATACGGAACAGAAAGGAAGCCAAGACAAGGACACTGATTTTTGCAACGTACCGGCATTACCCAGACCTACTGCAAAGGCCATTCACCTCTTCCTCTATTCATCGGGATTTCTGTGACTTTGACTAGCCATGGCATCCCCTTTGCAGTTCGCCTACCGAACCCAGAAGACCATCGGCGTCTTTAACGCCGCCCCGGTCTACGCGCCCCTTTCTGGGTTCACCAAGCCCGAGGGAAACCTGCGGTGCTGTGCGTACTCGCCGTGCGGCCGCTTCTTTGGCTGGGCAACCCCCGAGGCCCTCAATGTCGTCGATACCTCCAGCGGCCAGCTCATCCTGAGCCTGCCCATTGCCAACGTCTACGAGCTCGGCTTCTCGCCCCTGGGCACCTTTGTCATCACCTGGGAGCGGCCGGCCAAGGACGAGGCCGGCGACGCCACCAAGAACCTCAAGGTCTGGCGCACCGTCGAGGACGGCGTCGATGCTGCCGCCAAGGTGCCTGTCGGCCAGTTTGTCCAGAAGCAGCAGGGCGGCTGGAACCTGCAGTACACCGCCGATGAGGCCTACTGCGCCCGCCTCGTCACCAACGAGGTGCAGTTCTTCCAGAGCCATGACCTCGTCACCGTTTGGAACAAGCTGCGCGTCGAGGGTGCCACCAACTTTGCTCTGGCTCCGGGCCAGGACCACGCTGTGGCCGTCTTTATCCCTGAGCGCAAGGTAAGCATCATCTTTGCCCCTTCTTCGTTTCTTTCTGGCTTTGCTTTCTAACATGTGAGACAACTTCAGGGAGCCCCCGCCGCCGTCAAAGTCTTCAAGGTGCCCGAATTTCAGAACCCAATCTCGCAAAAGACCTTCTTCAAGGGCGACAAGGTCCAGCTGAAGTGGAACAAGCGGGGATCCAGCCTCTTGGTCCTGGCTCAGACCGACGTGGACCGCTCTGGCAAGAGCTACTACGGAGAGACGACTCTCTACCTGCTGAGCACCAACGGCACTCTGGACGCTCGCGTGACGCTGGACAAGGAGGGTCCGATCCACGACGTCTCGTGGTCGCCTTCGTCCCGACAGTTTGGTGTTGTCTATGGTTATATGCCAGCGAAGACGACCATTTTCAACGACCGCGGTGTTGCCGTGCACTCGTTCCCCCTCGGCCCGCGCAACACCATTTCCTTCTCGCCCACCGGTCGCTTCGTCCTCGTTGCCGGCTTCGGCAATCTTGCCGGCCAGATCGACGTGTACGACCTCGAAAAGGACAACCGAAAGGTTTGCACCATTGAGAGCGGCAACCCGAGCGTGTGCGAATGGAGCCCCGACAGCCGTTACATCATGACGGCCACGACCTCCCCGCGACTGCGCGTCGACAATGGCGTCAAGCTGTGGCACGTCACCGGAGGACTCATGTACAACGAAGATATGGTCGAGCTGTACAACGTTCTCTGGCGACCCGCCGACGCAGCTAGCCTCGAGGCCGGAGATCCTCTCAGCCCTATCCCGACACCGCACGAATCTGCCGCGGCCTTCCTCAGCACCGTCAAGGCGCCCAGCAAACCTGCGGGAGCCTACCGACCTCCTGGCGCTCGTGGACTGGCCACGCCGCTTCACTTCAAGCGCGAGGATGAGGGCGGCGCCGCTCACGTCGTCAGCAACGGCACCCAGAACGTGAGTGCCAACGGCTTCGGCAGATCCCGACGCGCCGTTCCCGGCGCCGAGCTGGCCGAGAACGTCCCGACCGTCCGGACTGTGCCTGGTGCGGAGCCCGCCAACGAAGACGGCGGCGCCAAGAAGAACAAGAAGAAGCGCAGCAAGAAGAACAACCACACCGACGGCAAGCTGGAGCCTGAGCCTAACGGAGGGGCCAGCCTTGCGCCGCCGCCGCAGGAATACGGCGGTGGCTCGGGCAACGAGGGTCGCAGCCCCGAGAGGCGCGGAGTGGCCGGTGGCAACCAGAACGGCCGCAACTTCAGGAGCCGGTCCCGCAACAACATGAACCGCAGCCGAAGCAACACTCAGCAAGGCGCCCGTGGCCAGAACGGTGTCCAGAACGGACAGCATCAACAGCAGCACCAGCAGTCCGGTCCTCCCCCTAATGCCCCAACTGAGCCAGCGTCGCAGAACCCAAACGCTAAGAAGATTCGCAGTCTGCAGAAGAAGGTCAGGGCCATTGAGGACTTGGAGATGCGCCTTGCTGGTGGTGAGAAGCTGGAGGACACCCAGCTGAAGAAGATTCACACCAAGACATCTGTGCTCAAGGAGCTGGAGTCTCTCGGTGGCGAGTCGTAAATAGCCCTTTTTGGACTTGTGACTGAGGAGAGCATACAGGGGGAGGGTGTGGATGTGCACAGGGTTGATTGGTATCTGCTTGGTTTGTCTGTTGTGTTTCGTTATTTCACCTTGTGGAAATGGGCGCCCCATAGCCCGGCATCTTCTGGTAAAAAGCTTTCAGAGTATGACCACTCGGCCGAAGGCTATTACTGAGCGGGTGAGGTGAAAACAGTGAGAGAATGGAGATGGTGATGGCGATTTGGTTTTGTACACCACTTGCAGCACATCGTTTCTTGGACAAGGAAAGCGATGTGCTTGTGTCCATCGGGCCCTCGGGCCGCGGTGGTCGAGGTAGACGTCCATGCCGGTAAATGGTTGCGAGCACCGAGTTCACGCCTTTTGCTGTGGGTGTTCTCGGGATAGATGGTGCTCTGAAGCTTAGGCTTAGACTGCGGGTTAGCTCACAAGTTGTCTGCTGAAGAAGGAAGAAGAGCAGATTTTGTCGATGCTGCCCTGATGCATAATGCGAAACTACCTGTTGAGTTTGAAATACAAGTCTCAAGTGTGATGCAACTTTGAAGATTACTATGAAGAGTCTTGGGTAAGAAATGTTAACAGGCGTATGGCAAAGTAACGTAGATTTATATATGCTCCCTTATCATATCACATACTAACGAGAAATAAGGGGTGTTACAAGCAGGGGGCACCCTTTCTTTTGTTCTTCTTCACCCCTTACATTTCCCGGAACTCGTTCATCTCACTGTCGGCATCGCAAGAGGAGTCGTTGAACGCTCATCATGAGTCCGAACAGTCTGACCATGATGCCCCGTCTCTTCCTCCATGCCGGATGACCCCCTGAGCTCCTGATGGCTATGGCCATACTCCCCATCGTCTCGTCCGTCTCTGCGCTTCTTCATTCTCCTGCTACTGCTGCCATGGCTATTGCCGCTGTTCGTAGGCAACAGAACCCCCCTTTTGCGCAAATCCCGCTCGAAAAAGTAAAACTCAGTGCCCTTATCAAAGAGCTCCCTGGCCGCCATGGCAAGCAGCACAACAGCAGTCGTCTGCCCAAAGTCCCACTGATTCTCACGGGCATCGTCCCCGACGAGATGCCCCTGATTGGCGGCCCTCAACGCCAGCGCCATGTACAGATGGACGGGGAACTGCAGGAACGCCAGCGCGAGGATCGTATGGCGCCATCGCGCGCCGGAAAAGGCCGCGGCGAGCATGACGAGGAGCATCCACACCGCGGTGAAGGCGACGTAGATATTGTCCTCGGCCGGGTGGTTCGCATGCGGGGAGGTGACGAGGTGGGCAAAGTAGCAGCGGCCGGGAGGGGCGTCGGGCTGCCAGGCATCGAGGCTGAGGCCGAGGAGGATGGTGAGGACGAGGTACATTGCTGCGAAGAGGTAGGTGCCGCGGTGGCGGGGGGTGAAGTGGATGGAGCGGAGGCAAGCGATGTGCCGCGTGAGGAGGTGGGATGCGTAGTCGGGGCGGGAGGAGGGTTGGTGGAGGCGGAGGGTGCAGTAGGTCCAGCAGACGAGGGCGGCGGCGCTGGAGACGCTGCGGGTTTTTTGAGGATTGTTAATGATGAGTGGTAGTGAGGATGATGAGAGAGGGTATGGAGAGATAGATAGGGAGTGAGGGAGGGAGGGAGAAGGAGAGAGAGAGTCAGGGATCGCTCACCCAACGAAGCTGACAATATCAAAGGCCAGATGCAAATGATACGTGGAGACGGTGCTCGCAGAGGAAAACACCGATATCATATACGAGGTGCCAATGACAATCTGGATGTCGTTGCCAACCATGAGGATGTCGGACACGCACTCGAGGCGCTTCTGCTCAATCTCGAACTCGACGCTGTCCGGGTGGTGGTGGCCGTCCATGGAGCCGCTCTTGGAGAAGAAGAAGGCCCAGAGGGCGAGGCAGAGGGAGATCGTGGCCTGGCCGACGAAGCTGACAATGATCTGCGACTTGGGGGGTTAATATGAGTTGATGTAGCGGTTGGGTTTCTTCGTTGTTGGGAGACTTACACCAATGCCGACGAGGTCTGACCTACCTTCGCCGACGTAGATGCATTCTTGACTTGCTCTTGATGAGAGATTGGACATGTCCTGTTACTTCCCCTCCCCTCGCTCGTAAAGGTGACGATGTTTTTGGGAAGTCAATCAATGACGACAGGAATCGAGACTGGAAGTAGGGTGGTTGACACTACATGTAGTCGCGGTAATGTCGCTCTCCCGGCGTTGCGATGCGAGATGACATAGACTTCGCTCAGGAACCGCCGTCAGACGTGATGTATCAATGGAGCGCGTCCGAAAGTCTCTGTTATTGACACATGCGAATTGTTTCGACTATTCCAAGTTGCAATTCTCTCGTCGGTAAGGTCCAGGGGGCTTGCTCATCTTGATTGTCATTGGGTGCTAGCCGCTTGAGGCGCATCGAGGCTGAAGTCCAGAAGTTGACTAGACGTTCCGACCTGCCGTCCTGTTTTCAGTATCTGCCCGTTTCCTATTAAGAATCAAGGGTATACTGAATCATAATTATAGAGTCATGATGCGAAAAGATTAGGCTGACATCGAATCCTCGAGATGAGTTACCTGAGGTGTTTCCCAGCTGCTTGTTAAAGATGTTTAGAGAAGCTGTAGCAAGAAGAAATCTTTGGACATAGACACAGTGGACAAGGGTGAATCCAAAGCATGATGAACCGAGCTTTATTGAGGTATTGCTCACCATAAGACCGACTCAATCGAGAATCTAACTAGATGTCAAGCAGCCCAGGCTGATGACCGGCTATTTCGTTCAGATGGCGTATACATGTGTCAAGTTGGAACGACAAAGATTGGAAGATAAGGCTGCAGTTCTGAATTTCAGCCTTGCTTACTGTTTGAATGACGAGCCACGAGTGGTCCTTACGAAATTGATTCGCAGCTAACCCATAAAGAAGGCATCTGGCAGATGAAGTCATGGGCGTTCTTTCTGCATGAGTCTCAACAGTCACGTGAGGCCATTTCCTTCTCCTTCTTTCCACCTTCAAGTTGAAGTTTGAAATTCATTCTTCTTCCCTTTCAACATGAATCAAAGAGCAACGGCTCTTTGAATTTTCCACGCTCGCTAAGTTTCGCAACCCAAGTATCCCTTTTGGCGGACGATCATCACTAACTCTGGAGTCAACAGATGCGTTCTAAATGCTGAAGCGAAATGGTATCACATGCTCAATGCCTCCGCTGTGATTGTTGGTCCTCACACCAAGATACCAGCATCACTTGATCAGCATATAGCTCATAAACCTATACACGAAAGGCTCAGCTGTGTCCGCTTCCTGGCCACGAATTTGTCCCTGCAGTCCTTGGCAGGATATTCGCATATCGACCTACCATTCAACGAAGCTTGGATCCTACTCCCAAACACACCTGCGCGCGCTGGGATTCAAGAGGCGAGTTGACAATGCTCGCTTGGGTTCTATCCTCGAGTCAGAGTCCACAGAACTAGTAGTGTGACAACACCAAGCCTTTTCCCAAAACCGTCAAGGCTGCCCGTTTCTATTGGTTTGCGCCATAAAGGACAAGAGACTGCCGGGCGTGGCCACAGCAAACGTCACCAAGCGGCTGGAGCTACTGATTGGAGATTGGTGGTGGCGAACTAACGCGGATGTCGAAAAGATCGACATTGTTCCCGAGTGGCGACTTTGAGCCCGAGTCCCGAGTCTCGACTTTCTCGCTGGACGCAAAGATGGCATTTCTGGCAGCCATCAGATTTGGCCATCAACTCCATGGGAGCCCGAGAGGCCGCCTACCTTTAGCTCGAGCTCAGGGCCAGGTCTCCCGAGCCAAACGACTTCCAGAGCAATCCGGAAAGCTCAGGCCCCAATGGTTTGCGAATATCCGGTGAATGAGCATGGTGCGGTCGTCTGCTGTTGAGGGGGTGATCTGGTCTCACAAGATACCCCCTTAACCGTGTTCCTGAATTCATCCAACGCAGTTTGCCAAACCACCTCGATGCCAAGCTGGTGGTATCCCGGCCGGGCGGTATCGCCGGCGTTAGTCCCCGTCGTGGATCTAGCAGAGATCGGCATTCCGGGACATCCAGTCTCGGGAGGATTCATCAGATGAGACGGTGCATCAGCCACAATCCGCCTGATCACATGTGAATGCCAACCCGTGCCCGCTGTTTGTTCTTTTACAGTCTCAATTTGGAAATCGGCATGCGAGGCATACGCATACGCAAGCATCATGAGTCTTTGGACATTGACGACAGAACAACCCAGCATTCAGCTCGTTTCGCTCTAGAAGGCAAATCTTGAGATCGTTGCAGAGGTCTCACTTCACTATCGCCATCCCTGCAGCCAAATTGCGAGACTTGCTGGTTGACTTTCCTACCCGAAACCTCGAGTTCGTCTAGTAAGATTCAGGTCCGGAGTGGTTCATAGAGCTCACTGATTGGGCATTGATTGGAAATGCGCTACCATTTTCTCTGGACCACCCTGTTGGTATAGGCACACTGGAGAGTTGGACATCTCAACGCTTCTCACACAATGCCTGCACTCCATGCCCACCTATGGCAAGCTCTATTAGGGGTATCGTGATTGTGTCTCTGCATATCGGCTGCTATCGACGCCGCCACAAGGGACCCCTGATATACACTTTCGGGTACAATCTCTCATCTGCTGGTGCGGGAAGAATGGACGAAATGCTCCGATTGCGAAAAGAACGAAGCCAGTCTTCCGCCCTTTCCTGACTTGCTTTTTTCTTTTCTTTTCTCTTTGGGTGGCAAAGGCCGTGGCAGCAGCAGAGCAGACCGAATCTTCGACTGTGCACGCGAAACTTGCGAAGCTTACCGCCAGGCCGGATATGTGAATGGACCGGCATCTCCTTTGGCGTGCAGCTGGACTAGTCAGCCTCAAAGTGAGATGCTACAGTGCCATGCAGTCATACGAGAACGCAGCTAGCATATGTTTCATCTGTCCATTCTGGCACCACTGCTGCATTGGGGCAAATTGCAGCACTTTCCATCATGTCTGCGATGCCATCAATCAAGTCAAGCGAGACAAGCGAGAATAGGACCAAAGCATAGCAGAGAAGCATGGGTTGACCGAAAACTGCAGCACTGGAGCTGCTTTGATGCTTGGCTGGGGCCCTGCTTGGCCTTGTCGTCTTGTCGCTAATTCTCAACCCCCTCCTTCAACCCACCCCCTGCCGGACTGTCTTACTTCGGGCTGAATATCCGGTGAGCCACACCTCTATTCACCCAGAACTGGAGGTGAGTTTTCTCACTCGCTTGCAGTGCTATCGACACGCCCGTGCGACAGACTCCGCACACCAGCCACATCCAAGAAGCACCTTTGCAACAAGCGAAATCAGACGCGCAACTCACTCGCCACGTCTGAATTAACACAGCTGCTCTTTGCCGATGAGCACGATGTAAGCTACGGAGCACTGGTATGGAGTGTCAGGCAGCTGGAACATTGTTCAGATATCAGGCGCGACAAGACTCAACACATGTCCTCTGGCCCACCAGCAGACGCCCAACCATACATACTGCACAGTGCTTGAGAGAGAGGGGAACAAGAAAGAGAAAAAACAGATCTCAGGTGTCTTTTGCCGATTGCTGTCCGCAGAAGCAACAAGACGATCGGCCCCCCTCACTGCGGGCTAATGCATGGCATCGCGCATGTCTCCCACCAGCGACACGGTGTGCCACATCAGCCGAGCAGGTGCCCCGAGCCAGAGCTGCGAAAGCAGTCGGCGCATCCACTTCCGCATGCCTCTGGCCCATCTGCTTCGTCTGTTGGCGATTGCTCATGCGCTATTTTCTCTTCCGGGGCTGGCTTGGCCCAACGGTAAAGAGGAGGGACGTGTGCAGCTGATTCGCCAGTTCGTTTGCGCTTTGAATGGGCAATCCTACTCGTACGAGTGCAGTCAGACTCCCCAAGGACGTGTCGCATGCAAGCACAACAACCACACCGAAACGAGAAGCTTGTGAGCAGAGCCACAAGTGGCGAGTGGCCGCTTGATCAACGGCGCGCGTTGATCTGGCTCTTGGCCGCTTCAGAATGACATTCGTTGCAAATGCCGGAAGAGAGAATGGAGCGCGAACATACCGCCTATTCTTCACAGACTTGATATGGAGAACTGCGTCGTCATATTCTCTGCGACGTGCTTGGTGGGTGCATCAGCTTTCCCCCCTTGCGTATAGCCAAATTTAGCATCGGCGATACACATGGCTCGTGATGCCGTACAAGTAAGTGATCATCGGTGGGTACGTGAGCTTCAGACTACAACTGTCCTTTTGCAATTTTAAGCCGCTCCTATTACTTCTTTTGCACACAGGTCCTCCGGGAGAAGAGGGGATGACCTTGTCAATTTGCAGAGAGCGGGCTGCATCTTTATGCGTCGCACAGAGCTCGACATGATGGTGTGACCCACGACCTGAAAGGTTTGCTTCAGTGCAAATTCAAACGAGCTGCGACGAGCTCAGACATTCAAAGAAGTTGCTGGGCGAAAATCAATGAAGTGAGACATATATGGCTGCAAATTGAAAATCAGTTTGCATAGATGGAATCCGGAGCATGTTCACTGAACGTCGAGATGCCTCCCCCCTTTTCTCCTCCTTGTTGAACGAGGGGGGAGGGGGGCAAGATCCTGGCAGCCTTCGAAAATATCCATACTAGTGATGTTGGGCTAGTGCCAGCACAAAGTATGAGAGAGTCTTTGCTTCATACGATAGGCCCGACGTTCCAGGGCCTTTATGATCGGGCTCTTTTTCGCGGTACGGGGTCATATATTGCGTGCCGACGACTACGAGCTATGCTTTTCCGCGGAATTCCCATCCTTAAATGAACCGGTAGATAAGAGCATGGGAGCAGCAACATCCCAGAGTTTTGCCAATAGACTTAAGTGCGTGGGCACTGCTTTGCTTAGAAGAGACGTCGACATGGCGATAGGCGGCGAGTTCAATGTAGGTACGGGACAGCAATTTCTGTGTGATGCATTTTGTTCGTGTTCCCATTAAATGAATCGTTTTCTGGCAGAGAGCCCATCACCGCTCATAGCCTCCTCCTTCCCATTGCGTGTATATCGTGTGCTAACATTCCCCCGTATCCTCCTATCCGTTTGTGTATGTAATGCCCAAAACCCCAAAGGGTGTCAAATCACTCGCGTGATATCCAGCTAAATGCGTGTACGGCCAGACCCAATCCAACATATGAAATACAGAGAGAAAAAGGGAAAAAAGAAAAGAAAAAAAAAGAAAAGGCGTAGAAAACGTAATAGTTGTATAATGAGAAGAAGAGGAAGAAGGGAAGAAGAAGGGGTAGAAGAAAGAGGAGAAGGGAAAGAAAAGGAGCGGCTGACGAGATGGTAGTGGTCTCAGGGGGGGGTATTCGAATGCAAAACGACCACACATCATGAACCCAAGCTCGTCCAGCAGAAAGTGAGCGGACGCCACTGTCGACGTCCCACGGCTCCTCGGCCGTACAGATATGCAATCGCCTCATGATAAATTCAAAGCGCCGTTGGTATCTTTGAAATTATCATCAACACCTTTCAACGCCAGCACATTATGTCTCTTACATGCCCGCCTCGCTCGAATTACTGTGTTCGTAGAAGAGAAGATGAACAAGAATATCAGAATACGCACCATGCAGCTGCAGTATGTTCGAGATGGCTGCCTAGAAGATGAGCCGAAGAGTCAGACCTGCCGGGATGGCGGCGGGAGGCTCGGGTGCATCGTCGACAGACATCTCCCAGTCTCGTTTGATGATGGTTTGGTCCAATACGTCGTCAATCTCCAGCTGCATGTCCTGGCCCTCTCTTAGCTCCTGAATGACATCGTCGTCCATCTCGACCTCGATACCGGTCTTGGTGACATGAATCGTCCGGACAATGCGCGAAGCGTCGAGTCCCCACTTGGCGGCGATTCGGCCGTTGAATTCCCGGAGCGTGCGCGAAGAAAGATAGATGGCCCTGTGGTACTCCTTTTTTCCGGCCTCCGCCTTTCCAGCATAAGCAACGTAGAAGCATGCGACCGGTTTCGTGGGTCTCTCAGGCGGAGGCCGGTAGGTTGGGTCGACGCCGAGAGCCTCAATCCAGCCAGTCAGAGTCCCGTCGTCTTCAGTCTTGCTGATCGTGGTGGGATTTTCAAGCCTCTTGACGGTGGTCGAATCGAAATTTTGCCAGTGTAGTCCGGGTCCGATGGCCGATGTTTGGGACGCCAGAGAGAGTGAGCTCGGAGAGGGAGACACCAAGGAGCCAGCAACGGAGCTGTGTGTGCTCCGTGCCGGCCAGTTGCTGCCTTCGCGCAAAAAGTCACCCTTGCCTGATATCCCGTCGCCCTGAAGGGATACGGGATGCAAATCGGGATCGTCGAGTTCTTCGCCCCGCAGATACAAGACGCTCACGGGTCTTGTGCTCGTGAACATATCCTGAAGTGTCTGCAGCTTGTAGTGTAAATCTTCTTCCAACGTCATGCGCGGAGCCGTACCACCAGCAGAGCTGGTCGAGGACATTGACCAGGTTCTCTTGTGCTTTTGCTTGCCGGGCAGCCCTGCCTTGCTTATTCCACTCGACCTCTTTCGTTTGAAATCCTTTAGCCCGCTCTCGGCTTGTGCAATTTGCTGCTTGAGCTTGTCGATCGACTTCTTCACGTGGGCAACATCGTTGGAGAGCTTTCGCTCGGCTCCATGATCCCTGAAGAGCTTGACTTTGCAGTAGCATGTCTCGGGGGCTGCGTCCGGGGGTGATGGTAGCTGGTCCGAGGCAAAGACGCCGGTCTTGGCACAAAGTCGTACAGGAATACCCTTGACTCCCTTCGAGTGGCTGAAATCAGTGGAGAGAAAGTTGAAGCGGACAGGAATATTGGCCTCGGCGGCGCCATTTGCACCCGGTGTCCATATCACGGAAAATCCGTCGAATGACGATGACTCCAACTCCACCCGGGTTCTTTTGTCGTCACCTTCGGCGGGCTGCCCAGCCTCGACATACTCAACCGCTTGTAAACGACCACCTCTTTGATGAGCCTCGTTTGTCCCTCTACCTTCCTTCCATAAACTCCAGCAAACGCCCGGTTTCTGTCGCTGTTGCTCGTCTTCGAAGGATATGCGCACGTAAGTCCTATATTTGGTCCCCGGGCTGACAGGAAGCGTAACGCCAGTGTCCATGATGGATAAGGTATAGGCCTGTCCCTTGTTCAGGTAAGTCACGGGGATCTCGGCGGCGTGCTTCACCATGGCTGTTGGAGCATTCAGCGTTGCGTGGAATCGAAATTTCTCGGCAGAGGGGTGAACCATATGGGCGCCGATGAGCTGCTGCGGGTGTAGTGCAGAGGCGATTGTCGGCATACGCTCTTCTGACGGGTCTGAATCCATCGGAGATCCATCATGGTCCATCGTCTCGTAACCCGTATCGTGATGTAAGAACTCGGTCGACACGTATGCTCCATGAGGTGGCGGTGCCTGAGCAAAAGGATCATAAGTAGCAATTGGGAGGCCTTCCATCGCAGTTGCAGGGAAGCCCGCCATGTTGGGAACTTCAACGCTTGGCTGGATAATGTCGAGCGTCGTCGGGACCGACAAGGGTGTCTCCAAACCGGTGGTCATCGCCATGCCGGGAGGGTGATGCATCTCTACCGCTTGAGGCGGAAGCAAGGTGCCCGATCCTCCAGGCGTAGGAGGATAGTAAGTCGCTTGAGCACTGTTAACGCCTGGTGTAAGGGGATTGAAGGAAAAGGCGTTAGCGTCCAAGAGTGAGGGTGTGAATCGCCAAGGGTCGTTGACAGCTCGAGGCGTCGGGTCCATGTCTCGAAAGGCCTCATTCTCGATATGTACTCTGTCATGTTCTGAATCAGCAACTGAAAGAGTCGAGTCGGGCGAGCGCGCAAACAGAGGGATCCGCCAAGCAAAAGATTGAGGCAACTACATGCTCGCGATAGCCAAGAGTTCCGCCTTGAGGCGATGTTCCTTCGATGAAGACGCAGCGCGACCTACCTCTCATGAACTGGTGCATTGATAACAGGCTGAAAGACGGCGGTTGTTGTCTGAGAAACGGCTGGAGCGGTAGGCTCCGTGACGCCGGTCGAGACCTCTGGGAACTGCTGTCTGAAGTCTGCCAGCAACTCATCGTCGGGCTTCCGTGCGCTTGTTCTACAGATGAAATGTAGCATTAGTAAATAGAGGGTTAGCAGAGCGTGGGGGGAGAGCTGTATGGAGCTGAGGCAGCGGGAATTCCCAACATCAGGCCATTATCCACTCCTCAACGACCCATCAACCAAGCTGCTGAAGCAATATCAAAGAGCTGGTTCGGAGTTTCAAGGAGGGCACTGATCGCAAGGGAGTATGGAGATGATCTGCTCGCGATGGGGCGATACGGGACAGATAGGGAAAGACGCCTCACCTAGAACGAAACATGTCTGTGGCGATCCGACGAAGCGCCTCTGTGACGAGAGACGCTCAAACCTTGGATGCGCTTTGAGATATTCGATGTGGTATGATTCTGTGGTCTCTCGACTCTTTTCACCCAGATCCCAGCTATGGCCCCCCTCCCGTTTGCCTCTTTACGTACGTCGCAAGGTAGAGGCGGTTAAGTGATTTAGGGAAGATGGCACTGCGATAAGCCGCGCAGGACGAATCCCAGGTGCAAAGGGCGGATACGATTGTCGAAGCTCAGCAAAGCCGGGAAAGCTGGAGCTGGCTGCTGCCGCGATCCGCATTCACCACCTCGGAGAGTTCTTGGCCGCTGTAAGCACAACGCCGGTGACACAAAGGCGCCCTTGAAACCTCTGCAGCTCTCAAACCCCGGGGCGCCAATCTGGCAGTGATTGTTGTCGTCGTCGCCTCGTCGAGTTTGTGGCGCGCGATCCAAAACGAGGGGGAAGGCGACGGGGATGGCCAAACGGGGGTCAAAGGATGCAACGAGAAGAAAGGAAGAACAGGAAAAGTATGATCAAACGGGCGAGCAAAGAGACGTTGCCTCGAGGCCCGTCGGCTGGTGATGGAGGCGCTGGGCCGGGTGTATATTAATTAGAGACGCAACTGTCGGCGGGGCCAAGCTTCCGATCTTGGTCGGTCTCTCCCCTAGCAGCAGCAGGCCTAATGTTCTGGACCGTCTTAGGCGTGGAGCCCCTGTGCTGTGCTCGTCTCGCAACGCTGTGGCTCGCCCTTGTCCCCTGCTGTGGCTCCGTGCTTTGGGGGTGCCGTGGTTGGATTTTGGGGGCTCTTTGATTTTTTCGCTTTTCCTCTCGGTGCTGGAGGCGGTTTCTGGCGCGTTGGGGAGGGGGGTGGTGCCGCCATTGAGGGCTGCATGGGGCAGATGCGACAGCGGATCGAAAAGTGAGTGGTGAATCGGCACACCCCGAGGAGCGTCTCTTAGCCCATGGGCAGTAGCTCAATGCGGTGCTAGTCCCAGGCCGTAGTGCTGTCGATGGAGAATTTTCGCTGGAGCTGTGCTAAGTGCTGGCCCTTGAATCCCTGCCGCAGCTTGGCCCTGGGTACTCGGGTGCTTGGCTTGGGGGGGGTCTGCTTCTCGGACAGCAGTGGCTGACCAGAGAGACTCAGGCACACGGCCAAGGCCGTTTGGCATGTGGGCGCGCGTTTGAACAATTCGCCTCCTCCAATCAGCCCGGGAGGACCGTTTTCGATGGCGTTGAAGGTGGACAAAGAGAGTCGGCGCTTTTCGAGGTGAGGCTTTCGAAAGAAAAGAAAAGAAAGAATTTGGCAGACGAGAGAGGAGAGAAAAGGTTGGAGGGTTTGGAAAAATGAAATCGTTGTTGCCTTATTATCTAAGGTATCTGTGAGGAGGAAGGAAGGTACATACGAGGAGGAAGTCTTACCCATTCGTACTTATCTAGGTAGGTAATACATGTAATGTCAGATACCAGTGAGGCAGGTGCAGTAATGGCCGTTGCCTTGATACCTTGGGTAGAAAGAGGTAAGGAAGGCAGGCAGGATGGTCATCAAACGCTTTGACAGTCATAAGGAAACTGCGTCGAGCATTTTGATATTCAGAGCAGGTGCAAGGCTGAAGGCTACCTTCGCAGCTAAGGCAGGTAACAGCTCCAACAAATTCAACTGACGAGACAATTTTCTTCTAATACCTAGCTTGTAGATGCTGGACGTCTGTCCGTTATTACCAGGACGACATCTACAGGCCATATCCATGTCATGCACGGCTCTGCATCTGGAAGAGGCCACATGCAGTAATACTGGCACAGGAATACTCTGAGATCCGTACATGCCCACAAAGTACGGTAGGTAAGGTACATTTGCTGGCCCTTGTCAGTCAGTCTGCACGCTCACCGAATCTTCTCCTGCTAGGCCACAGACACAACGGTATGATAGCCGCCACATACGCCGCGGGAGGAAATCGCACGGGAAAACGAGCTTACGCCGTCTCGTCTCGTGATCCGTCCAAGCCTTCTCGAGCGTTTGATACCGTATCCATTCCATGGGTGCAGTGACAGGGGAGTGTGAAGAGGCACAGTGCGGGATGCCGGGTGTCGCTCACAACATGGGTTCGCTGAATCAGAAAGACGCAGCGACAGCTTCAGCAGCCACGTCCGGAAGATGGCCCGGACGCAGCCAGTTCGACGTGCCATTTGCTGCTTCTGCTCGCGGCTCTTTCATATGCGGCATGGCCGCCTCGGCGCCACCAGCCACCACGAGGCTGCCTGAACGGCTCGAACGGATTCCGAGAGACCTGGCTGGCCTCCGTCGAAATCAAATGGTATTAGTGCGCGACAAAACGCTCGAGGTCCACCAGCTCATATCACATCCGTTCAGCACCGTCCCGCCGATGCCCCTCATGTTCATTTTGATTCGGTTTTTTTTTTTCTTGGTTTTTCTTTGTTTCGCCTTGTTAACGACACTAATTATTGGCGGCCAGTGATCAAGTACCAATGGGAGCTTCTTTGTTCAATAGTCGAGATGGCAGGATGCTGAGTTGACGCCACAATGCACAAACGTAGGTACATGCAGCCTTCTTCAAGACGATATCCGAACATGGATTGGGGGCATCCTTACATATTACCCGTTGGATGTCTCACAATAACCGCCCGCCCAGGCACTCTAAGGGGATCGTCCGCATGGGTTCGTCGTCAATTTTTAGGTAAACACGTCCGACTGGTGTCAAAAAGGAAGAGAAAAAAAAAAAAAACAAGAAAAGAAAGAGATTCGGGCAAGAAGAAGAAAAGGAACAAAAAAAAAAAAAAAAAAAAAAAAAAAACCTCTACAAGCGACTCCGTGTGCTCCGGGCTTAACGGAGTCAAAACGCTGCTACCAGTCATGAGAGCTCTTCTTCTACGTTGCGGTACTGCTGACACCCTCCCAGCGCCCGCCATTAGCTGGCGTAACTGGTAGGTGATTTTGTCCTCCACTTCCGACTGCAGCAATCGCCTATGTCGACGCCACTATGGGCACTTTCAACAACGTGTCTCGCGTCCACGTCCTTACCATCATGAACGGCGACGAACCTCCGCAGGCTGCCATTATTCGCTATCCACGCTGAAAGTCGTATCGAATCGCCGAGGCCAGGGTGTGGTTGCAGAATGGGGAAATAGGAAGAAAGCCACGGAAGTCGTTGCTTTGAATCGCCTAGCGGACAGACCCGTGGCAGCGTGTGGCTGTGTCCACGCGGCAGACGACCATGCAAGGAGCACACAGAAGGTATGCCGCTCTGCTTACAAGCACATGGGCCGAAGCATTCCATTTGGGATACGGAGCCACGGCACGGTGCGTTTAGGGCTTCACCAATCACCCATCCTAATCCACCATGGCCCTGATGGCCCGCTGAAGTTTCTGCTCGGGTAAAAGTGAAGAGGAAACGATGCAAAGAGGTCGAGGAAGAGGTAAGGGGGCGGGTAGGGTAGCAATCCAGCAGCCCAGTTGGATTGCCGCCCAATCAATCAGACAATGGCTGATACCAAAGCCTTTGGTCTTTGGCATGCCCCCTGTCAGGCCATGAAGCTCTGTGTTCTATCACGCATTGCACCTGCCACGAGAAAGGGCTCGTCAGTTGAGCAGAGGCGATTTCGACACGACGATCTGGGAGTGACTCCCGACCTGGCCGATACCACCGCCATTGGGTTCTCACGAGTCAGGGGACTGCCGAGATCCCCCCTCAATTCTCCAGCTGCATCGTCCCGTCGCCTTTAGGACGGTACCCGCTCTCGCTGTCTCTTTCCTCAACTACGGAGCACTTGGGTGGGCGAGCAGGGGTGCCTAGGCGTATACAATGAGCATAACAGAGCTGGGAGGGCACAGATCTCAGCTCTTTCAATATTATGGGGGGGGTCGGACTTTGACAATTTGGGTTGCCACCCCGGCCAAGCAGAAATCAGAGGGGAGCAAGAAAGGGAAAAGAGGAATCACAGCAAAACGAAGGCTTACTGTATTTTCCCAGTGCCCCAGAAACCGAGAGTCTCCAGCCACCCCGTGCCAAGCAACGAGCCTTTGAGCGTGATCCGGGGCGAACATTGTCTGGAATCGTATGATTGCGGGAGTGGCAGTAAGGTTGGCAACAGTCGCAATGCTAGCGATGATTGGCGATCTAGTTGGGCTCCGAAACGGTGGCAAACTGTGGCTGAGCAGATGTCAAAGAAGAAAAATGCAATTTTCGATGGTGAATGGCTGATCAAGCTAAGGTTCGGGTAGTGCGTGCGAATCTGCGTTGTTTCCTCGTCTCTCGACTCCTTCTTTTCATTTGTGGGTGTCTCTTCCGATCATCGACTGCTAATAGTTATCTACTACTACTAGTACTGCTACTACCTGGCTGACTACCTCAGCTAAGGGAACATGGGTATGTCTACCAGCCAACGCAGAGTGGCCAGGATGGACTGATCAAATCTACCTACGGATAGACATGCCATACATACCCAGTGCTTGAGGTGCTTACAGCTCAGCTCGAGATAACGTATAGTATCTACTAAGCCACCACCTGCACGGCATATGCAGAATAGCAATCACATCTCACAGCAGTTCAACGGCGCATGCAAAATCCCCGTGACACCAACACATACATACATACATACATACATACATACATACATACATGATGTGTTGCGCCCCTTTCCAGCAGTTGTGAGACGAGGCACTGACTTGGCAGTGAGACACCCGATGCAAAAGCCGATGCTAGCCCACTGCAACCTCGTGTGATAAGTGAGCGATCAAGTCTACCTCACGATTATGGACACGAGCTAATTCATCCAACTCATCCTACCATGGGTTCTATGTACTATGTATCGTGAAGTCCCTAGGTAATTGCCGTTGTATGAATCAATCAACCAGTCAAAGCCATTGTCGTTGGATCATTGGATCAACCAATCCATCATGTAGCGTTTGTTCTCTGCCATCTTTGGCCGAATCGAGTCCGTAATTTACGGAGACACTTGCAATGTGTAGTGTGGCTTGTCGGTCTAGTATTTGCATCCTGAACCACTTCCAGTATAGTACCTAGTAGTAGGTACCCAGAATCCCAAAGCCGGGGTTCCACAAGTCTGTTTTCCTCACACGTATCAACGTCTTCTCATTACCTACCAATCAGTCTAACGAGGCCCCATCAGTACAACGACGTCTCACAACTGTTCACAGTGACATTGTCATACTATCACTCGATTCTCTGTAGTGTAGATGACTCCATGGATGCACCAAAGCCCTCTGCAAAGCCGTCATGATGGCCGCCTCTCTTCCCTACCACGAGCCAGGGATCGTCACGATTCTCATCCAGACATCGTTCCTGCTCCTCCTCAACATCGCCAACTTTGTGCTCGATCACAGCCTCTATTGCGGGCTTCTTGGGCAGATATTCGTAGGAGTTGCTTGGGGAACGCCCGGGAGTGAGTGGCTCAGCACGGAAGCCGAGCAGGTTGTGGTGCAATTGGGATATCTCGGGTTGCTGCTCTTGGTATATGAAGGTGAAGCATCAAATCCAAAACTGCCCAACCGATGAATTACTCTCATATGATTTGTGGAGCTGATGATTGATGCGTACAGGCGGCCTGTCGACCTCTCTGACGGCCCTCAGAGCAAATCTATGGCTCTCTTCATGCGTTGCCGTCACGGGCATCAGCGTGCCCATGGGCCTCTCCTTTGTCCTGCAGAAGCTCAGCAGCGCGACACCTCTTCAGGCTTTTGCTGCCGGTGCCGCGCTGTGCTCCACGAGCCTCGGGACAACCTTTACGGTGCTTCGATCAACTGGTCTGATCAAGTCCCGGCTCGGCGTCGTGCTCACGAGTGCTGCCATGATGGATGACGTTATTGGGCTTGTCATGGTTCAGATCATTTCGAATCTGGGGTCGTCTGTCAATTGTATTGGTGCTGTTACTGTTGTCAGGCCACTTCTCGTCTCCCTTGCTTTTGCTGTCTGCGCTCCGCTGGTTTGCGTCTTCGTGGCCCATCCATTCACACTATGGTTGAACTCTCATCGGATAAAGCACCCAAAGGGACTCGTGAATCAGCTTGTCAAAAAAAGGGGGACGCCGTGGGTCATGCACAGCTCCATTCTTATCGGCTGTATTGCTGGGTCGACATATGCTGGTACTTCTAACTTGTTCGCAGCGTATATTGCAGGTGCTGCCATCAGTTGGTGGGATTCAGAATTCCAGGATTCTGTACAAGAAACATCGGCGGCTGTAACATTGGCTTCAGAGCAGAACGAAAGTACGAGCCATACTCAGCATGAAAACGGCAATGCGTCTCTGAGCGCAGCCGAACATTCCCAGAAGGTAGACTCCTCTGGAAGCGCCGTATTTGAAAGATATTACTCACAGCCACTCGAAAGAATACTGAAGCCATTCTTCTTTGTGAGTGTTGTCCGCCCTCTGAACGAGCACAGGGCCTTGCTAACTTGTTGGAGGCGTCGATTGGCTTCTCCATACCAATCACTGAAATGTTCCACGGCGCCATTGTGTGGAAAGGGATCGTATATACCACTCTCATGATGGTCGGCAAGCTGCTTTGTGGCGTGTGGCTTCTTCGCATATCAACTGCGTCCATTCTCCCACCCAAAGCGGCGGCCATCATCAAGCACCTCAAGGTACAAACGCCCCATTTCTGGGGCCGCGTTGCCCAAAAGAAGTCGAAACCGCTTCAGAACTCGACTCCTCCCGCTCATCCGCCGCATTCCCAAGAACCTCCAGCAACCTCCCAAGAGGCTTCACCGCCATCTCCTCAACCACGTCCAGACTCAGTCACGCAAACAACAAACTCCCATTCTAGCCCTGCAGGGACCAATCCGCGCTCAATCTACCCTGCCTCCATCCTGGGCTGTGCAATGACTGCCCGCGGTGAGATCGGCTTCCTCATCTCGTCCATTGCAGAAAGCAACAAGATCTTCTCTTCAGCGAACGCCGAGGAGGGCAAGAGCTCGGAGATATTCCTCGTCGTTACTTGGGCCATCATGCTATGCACTATACTTGGCCCTTTGTCGTTGGGGCTTGTGGTGAGGCGGGTGAAGCAGTTGGAGCAGGGCGTTGAGAAGGAGGGTCGCCTTGTTCAGAAGGATGTTCTTGGTGTTTGGGGTTTGTCTTAGGCTTGAATCGAATGATATGAAGGAGATGAAGGAGATGAAGCATGACAGCAGGATCAGCTGCGAAGCTCAAATGTCATCATCTCGGTACTCATCAGAGGGGCAAATCAGGAAAGGCAATCTGAATCTCTTTGAGCTCTTTGAGCTGATATTCGACGCCAACAACCGACAATCCATGACAATGAATCCCCTCAATCTCAGTCGAGCTTTTATACTTCGTTTTTCACGGCTCTGACTTAGACTAGTCGGCCTTTTCGTTACATGCATCCAGCGGAAGCTCAATAGGTAACACGGCCCAGATTTACGATACCAATGCGGGCATCCCCCGGCTCAGGAGCCTTACACCGCACTCTAGGGATAGGCTGTGGCTGTCGTGTGCAACTGCCAGACGATGAGACCAAGAGTCACATTCTTCTAGTACGATGAAGTTCAGTAGAACTTATTTATTGAAGTCTAGTTGCTCCTCATGTACGTTCATTTGCTGGCGATTTATGTATCTGCTGCTCTAGAGGGTTGGAAATTTGAATGTTTGCAAATTGGTTTTGGGTACTGATGGTGCTGAGAACAGTGGCTGGTTTGGGGGGGGGAAGTCCCACTGGGAGTCAACCAGGGGAGAGTATAGATGATATGGGGGAAACTGGCAGCGGCGCCACTGATGTGGCAAAGGCGAGAACGAGAAGCTCTGGATATTTCAGTGAGCGAACGGATATTGTGAAGACTGGTGAACAGGTTTGACGTTGCAGGCGTGTAAAGGTGAGAAAAGGCGTAGCAAGGAGATGGTATAGCTGAAGGATTGCGGCAACTGTTTGGACATAACTTAACGTCAGCGATCCTTTGATGACTTTGGCCCTATTGCATCACCAGCTCTGATGGATTCAAAGGACGCAAATACCTAATAAGACTATGCAAGTTGTCTGATATAATATGTAGTTTACATGAAGGAATTCAGGGTAGTAGAACTGAAGCTTACAATAGGGCTTAGAGGCATTCCATATGCCAATCCCGGCAGAGCTCCCCCCCACCTGTTGACGCCACACCGAGAGCTTCACCGCGGTGAGAAATTTCCAGCCCTTGCTCAGTTGAGTCACCACCACATGCTTGTCGCAAACCAACCTTCTGCCACCCCAAATCCGAGAATCGCAAAGCGCTCCCACTCTTTGCGCTTGGCTCTTCCACGCAATGTCTCACAAGGGCAAGAACAGCGCCAGCTCGGCAAAGGGCAAGAAGCCCTCCAAGGCCGGCGCCGAGAGCAAAGGCGAGGATGTGCTGCAGGCTGTGGTGCGTCTCATCGTCAGCTATCGCGGGGTTGTCGAAGAAAAGTAATGGCTAACCGGTGGGGGGGGGACGTGCTTTGACAGGTGCTCGCAGACTCGTTCCAGGACCGATACAAGCCGTTTACAGTAGAGACGCCGAGAGTATGTTGATTGCTGCGAAGCTGGGGGTGGGGAGCTTGGACTGGCGGGAGCATCATGATCGCAAAGCTGACGTCTCATGGCCCTGCAGTGTCTTCTGCCGCTGGCAAACACGCCTCTCATCGAGTATACGCTCGAGTTCCTAGCCATGAACGGCGTCCAGGAAGTCTACATCTACTGCGGCGCGCACACAGACCAGGTCGAGGACTACATCGGGCGCTCTAGATGGGCGCCGTCGTCAAAATCGTGCCCGTTCTCGGTGCTGCAGTTTGTTCGGGTCGCCGACGCTCGGTCGGTTGGCGACGTCCTGCGCGACATGGACAAGCGGTCATTGGTGGACGGCGATTTCCTGCTGGTGCACGGCGACATGGTGTCGAACCTGATCCTGGACGGCGCCCTGGCGGCGCACCGGAAACGAAGGGAGACGAGCGCCGCCAACATCATGACGATGATCCTGCACAGCGGAGGGACAGAGGAGCACAGGACCAAGACGAAGGGCATCACGCCCGTGTTTGTCGTGGACACCAAGACGCAGCGCTGCCTCCACTACGACGAGATGAACCCGCTGCAGAGCGACCACTACCTCTCCCTGGATCCCGCCATTGCCGACGAGCTGTCGACCGAGTTCGAGGTGCGCGCCGACCTGATAGACGCGCAAATCGACATCTGCACCCCCGAGGTGCTTGCCCTGTGGTCAGAGAGCTTCGACTACGAACTGCCGAGGAGAAACTTCTTGCACGGCGTGCTCAAGGACTGGGAGCTCAACGGCAAGATGATCTACGCCGAGATCTTCGAGGACGGCTATGCTGCTCGAGCAAGCAACCTGCAGATGTACGACGCCATCAGCCGGGACATCCTTGGCCGGTGGACGTTTCCCTTTATTCCCGAAAACAACATTGTTCCCAAGCAGGCCTACAAGAAACACAGCAACAACGTGATGATTGAAACCGGCGCCTCCCACGCGCACGACGCCACGCTGCGGAACTCCGTCATTGGAACCGACACGAGCATCGGGTCCGGAAGCAAAGTCATCAACAGCATCATCGGCACCGGCTGCACGATTGGCGCCAACGTGACGCTGGAGAACTCGTACGTCTGGAACGGCACGGCGATTGGCGACGGGACCACCGTTTCGCAGTCCATCCTGGCGGACAACGTCGTCGTCGGCAAGGGCTGCACAATACCCGCGGGCTCGCTCATCTCGTACGGCGTCCACATCAGCGACGGCATCGCCTTCTCGACCGCGGCGGTCCTGTCGACGGTGACGTCGACCGGCAAGCAGGTCGCCAACAAGGACACCAACCTCCTGGGCCCGGACAGCAACGCGGCGCCCTTTTACGACCCGGAGGACGACGAGCTCGACGACGAGGACCCGTCGCGGCTGCAAAAGTCGCTCATCTACTCCCTCGCCAACTACAACCTCTCCAGCTCCTCCATCTCGACGCTCGCCTCGGACGACGGCGCTGACTCGGACGACGACGACGCCGACAGCAACCTCCTCTCCGCCGCCGACGCCGCGCACTCGAGCCGGTCCCGCCTCTCGTCCTTTGCGTCCGACGACTCGGCCGGCAAGATGTCGTTCCACGCCGACGCCGTCCACGGCCTGCTCGACGCCCTGCGCGCCGACTCGGGCGACTTCGACTCGGCCAAGCTCGAATTCATGGGCCTGCGCCTCGCCAACAACGCCTCCGACGCCATGATGCGCAAGGCCGTCGCCACCGCCTTTGCCCGCCGCGCCGTCGAGCTCGTCGCCCCCGAGCACGGCGGCCTCGACCCCAGCAAGGCCGCCGAGCGCGCCTTGACCGCCTGCAGGGGCGCCCCGAAATTCGTCAACGAGGTCGGCGTCGGCGGCGGCCAGGCCGCCCAGGTCGACTTCATCCTCGCCCTGCAGCGCGCCCTCTCGCATTACTACGCAAAGGGCCAGGACCAGCAGAGCGGCGGTAAGACCGCCACCCTGCTGCCCGCCATGCTGCAGCAGCTCTACGCGCTCGACATCCTCGAGGAGGAGGGCATTCTGGGATGGTGGGCGGATGCGCGGGCGGTGGATGGCGAGGCCATGGCTGGGCTCAAGGACAAGTGCAGGGTGCTTGTTGAGTGGTTGGAGAATGCAGAGGAGGAGGACGATGAAGATGATGACGACGATGATGATAGTGACTAGACATGTCCAACTCGTGAAAAGATGGCGCACCATCACAAGAAGATACAGTAAAAAAGACAAATAACATCATTCCAAATCTTGAAAGTGCAAATCAAAGAAAGGGGGCTAGGGGGGGCGTCGAGACTGGGATAAGACATTCGCCCAAGCTGGGTATCATTATATATATTTTTGGCCTGCGTCATGCATGGAAGCCCAAGTAGCTAATCCGAGTTATGTCCTACATTTAAAATCAAACATGCCCATCCTGTTTTCTCCGAGCCATGCGGTCTCATCGTAAATGCAATGTGCCATATAACGCCCATGTTCCCAATCTGTCTCAATGTCGTTCTTGACAGCCCATGTTCTGCCTGCTCTGTCTTGCGGAGACATATGTTAACTCCTCAAGACTACTGTGCGTCAAACCCCGATCAAAGAAGAGAGCCCAAAAAACCCTGCGCTCGATCCGGCCATCCTTCTCTGCGGCTCATCCCAGTTGCAGAAACCCCACCTTGTTCATATCGATGCTGGTAGCAATATAAGCAACAGCAAAGCCATCCTACTTCTAATAGTAACTCTGCAAATCTGCACCGATGGCTGGCTGTCCGCCCATTGGGCGACCCCGGCCAAGGGGGCCTGTGCCACCAGCAGCGGCAACTTGAGGCGCCTGGCCCCTGGTATCGACGTCGTCGAGAGATCGGTAGCCATGGCCACCGCGCCCTCGTCCGCCTCGTCCGCCCCTGGCGGCGTTGCGATGGCCCCGATTCGCGTTGCCGCCCTTGCCACGTCCCCTGCCAGTATGGAAGCTCCTGGTCTCGTTTCGGTTGGTGTACTGCACCGACCGACCCGCCCACTCTTCATCCGCGTTGTGCTTGCGCTTGTGCGACTTGTTGGCGAAGAGGCTCTGGTATTCGTCCTCTGTGGGATCCTCGGCCTCGATACGAAGAATGACCTTTTCGTCAACGGTCGTCTCAAACGTAAAGCGCTCCTCGGCCGGCAGGGGCTGCCAGACCTTGATCTTCCCCGCATCCATGGGGCGAGCGCCCTTTCTGAGTGCGAGAACCACAAGGGGGACGGGGTTGTCAGTGTGATACTTGGCCGTGTGCGGCACAGGACGGACACACGCAGCCCAGATGGAATTGTCCAAGCAGGCAGTTCCGGTGACTTCCCACAACATCTTGCTGCCCATGCCGCCGACCTTATCGAGAATGCTTGCTGGGCACGGCCTGGGGCAGATGAGGATGTTGTTTGCGTGAAACTTGAGATCGCTGTTGGGTATGTTGGCAGGGATTTTGGCCAGCTTCAAGAGCTTCTTGATATCCTCGGCGCCAATCATGTAGCTGGTGAAGAATACCGTCTTCTTGATCATGAGCTTGCTCTTTGACGAAGGCTCCTTGCACAAAGCGGCGTTGTGCTGGTTGATCATGTGTTGGACTTCGGCTACTTCGACGACGGGGTCAAGAAGAGTAGAGACATCGACCACCTGGACGACATCGGCCGTGATGGGGCCTCGCGTGGGCGCCTGGATCTGACGCCTGTTGTACTCGGCAAAGAAGTCTCGAAATCCCTTGGTATGCCGCGGGCGGTCCTCGTACACCTTGATCTCCGTAGCCTGCGAGTACGTCTCCATGAGGGCCTCGAAGAACAGCTGCTTGAAGTGCATCGTATTCTGGAACGCTTGGTTCGTAGGGCTCACCCTTGGCTTCAAGCTGACCATGTCGAACTCGAGTCCCTTGCTTGTGATCATCCTCTTGATCAGCTCGCCGAAGCCATGCTCAGACCGGCCGGTCAGCAGCACGCAGAGGGCATCCGGCTGCTTGGTACTTAGCCTGACAAGGTCGGCGACCTTTTCGTTCCACCAGCCATCCCAGGCTCGCTTCTCTTCCTGTTCGGCACCGTCGCCCGTGGCTGCGAGGATGCGGTTGTCATGCCACCATCCGCCATTGGTAAAGGCTTCTTGGGTCGCGAGCAATCCGATTGTCGGTCCAGTCCACAGGGAGGGGTTCGGCATGGGAGTTCTGAACACTGAAGAGATTCCTCAACGTCAGTATCAAAGTCGTCAGATCCGGCCTGCTGGTGTGATAGCGGAAGGGAGATACGCACGTGTGTTGTCGAAATCGTAAACGTGAAGCACTTTGATCTTGTCGACGGCTGAAGTTATATTCGTTAGCTCATCATCCGGCAAGGCACGCGGCCTGATGCATCAAGGCGCATCAGGCCGAAGATGGCAATGCAGCAAGACGAACCTGGGAGCTGCTTCGTCAGGATGGACCATCGACTCAGCGCCGTGACAGTAAAGTGCGAGCCCTCGCTCTTGGGGGCGCCATGGTATGCGCTGAAGGCCGACGCCATGGCGCTCGACAGCAGGGCGACGAGGCTGCGACAGCGGCTGCGGGCAGCGATGGCGACGATCCGGGATCGGGATTGAAGACGGGATTGGAGGCTGCGATGCGTCTGGGCGAGGCGGGATGAAGTCGAGATGCAGGCGCTGCTGGGCCGAGGATTTTGGATCAGGCTCGAGGTGGAATCGCATTTGCCGGCTGCCCATATATAGCTGGTGCTGGTGCTGGTGCTGGTGCTGGTGCTGGTGCTGGTGCTGGTGCTGGTGCAGGCGGGCCTCCAGCTACAGCGCCTGGCCCTGCTGGAGGACGGCTGCTTTAGCGGGCTGCGCACTGGAGCGTCAGCACTCACATCAGCGATCGGTGCGGCGCGGCAGTGGCTGCTTGAATCAGAGGGCCCGTCATCCATGGATGATGGGCAATGATGGATCGTTGGCATTGATCCAATGCAATAATGGCATCACCGAGGACCTACCCTGCATCCATTGCACAGCTGCCAGTTTGCCAGCCTCGTGCTCATCTGGGGACGCAGATGGAAAGTCTGGGGAGAACGTTTTTGAGTTTGTGCTGCGCGTCGTGTGTCTGATGTGAGATTATCTCATCAGCCGTGCTGCTCCAACAGCTCTCGAGACCTACCTCAGTACATGTAGCTGCATCTGCCGAGGCCGGGGCTTGTAAGCTGATCAGCCTTTTGGGCGACTCGCGAGTGATGCGGTGGCGATAGGGTTGACGCTTTTCACCCGCGTCTGGTCGTATCGCGTTTGATCGTCTGCCTTGCTCAACTTTAATTGATGAAAGCGGCACAGTCGGACGCCGTTGGCCGCAGCGCATGTGATTTTCGCTAAAGACAAACACCGGAAAGATCCAGGCAGTCTATCCAGCTTCCAGCTTCCAGCTTCCAGCCTCCAGCCTCCAGCCTCCGTTCCAGCCTCCCATGGCATCTCCGGCCAGTGCAGCCGTGCGCTTCCTTGCGGCTTCGAAGAAGGCGCCTCAGGGGGTCCTGCAGCTGCGGCTGCACGTCAAGCCCGGCGCGAGCAGGAACCGAGAGGGCATCCAGGCCGTGACGGAGGATGCGATTGAGCTCTGCGTCGCGGCGCAGGCCAAGGATGGCGAGGCCAACCAAGCCGTGATCGAGGTCCTCAGCGAGGTCCTGGATATCCCCAAGTCGAAGCTGGTTCTGGCCCAGGGCGCCAGATCGCGGGACAAGACGGTGGTTGTGCAGGACTTCAAGGGCGACGGAGCCTCGTATGCCAACACAGTCCTCGAGCTGCTTCATAAGGCTAGCTCAGCGGCCTCATGATCCATGGTTGGAAGCGCCATTTTCTTTCCTCAACGGACAGCGACAGCGACAAGTTCCCCTTTGCCGCACCCATTGATAACATGAACCAACGGCCGCACGCAGCACTTTTGCTCTCACCACTGCTCGCCGGTGACTCAACGCCGCTCACCCCGCCATTCATCCCCTCATCTCCCACGCGGTGCGCTTCAACGTGCATGGCACAATTACTTAACGAGCCCTGGAGCCAGATACCATCCAGGGCCATGAAGGATAAAGAATTCATCATGAGACAACCGTCCACTACTACATCCCACCATGGCTGAGCAGACTTTTACCATCAAGGCTCTTCAGCTCGAAGACGTGCCCGAGGCAGCTCAACTCAGCAGCGATGCCTTCCTGGCGGATCGCCAAACCCAGATGAAGGCTCTCGGCCGGAACCCGTTCAACCTCAAGGAGTACCACATGCAGAGCCTTCCGGAAATGCTCAAGTCGCCGCGATGCGTGATACTCAAGGCCGTCGACAACGAGACGGGGGAGTTTGCTGGCTTCTGCAACTGGGGGCTCATTGGGTTTTCGCCCAGCGAGATGCCGGAGCTGGAGGGCAGGATCCAGCCTCCCGAAAGGCCGGCCGCTGCCCCGGCATCTCAGTCAGAGGACGACAAGGATGATGAGGGGGAGGAGAGGAATAAGAAGCCGGAAAAGGAGGAGGCGTCCCCGCCCAAGCAGAGTGTTACCCCAGGCCCAGAGGCCGTCCCCGATGCCGAGGACGATCCCATTGAGCGGCTTCAGGCTCTGACGGGTGCCGACCTGGACGCGTGGCAGAAGGAGGTGATGCCCCCGGGCACCAAATGCCTCGTGGTCATTGGGCTCTCGGTGTCGCCAAAGTTCCAGCGGCGAGGCATCGGATCCGCGCTGCTGCGCTGGGGCACCAACATCTGCGACGAGGCGGGCGTCTTTGCATGGGTTCACTCGTCGGAGCCGGCGTGGAGGGCCTACGAAAAGGCAGGGTTCGAGGTGATACGGTGCCTCGACGTGGACCTGGACGAGTACGCTCCGTGTCCCCCTCCCGACGAGGGGCCGGGTGCGAAATGGGGGCATTATGTCTTTCGATATATGAAGTATTTTCCAGCCAACGGTTAGGGTTAGGGGTGGTCGGAGGAGGGGATCTATGAAGCATTCCAGAGCATCCGAATACTAGGTAGTACCTACACGACCAAGACGACCCCCAACAGCGCCCATGGGCCTTCGCTGTCTAGGTATCTAAAGCTGGTTCTGTGTACTTCCAGCCTACAAGTGATAGCACTCCTATTTCGTGCCTGGACAAGTAGCACAAAAGCGCCCGCACATGACGATGCTTTGCATAATGTCATCGAGATACTACCAACATCTGACGTTACCTTGTCATTTTGAGCCCGAAAGACGTGCATTGCTGGTAACCTAGTACGAGTACAGTGCTGATCTGCATTATGCGGGGGAGAAAGGATTCGGCAGAGGAGCGTCAAAGTCAGATTCCAATCGGGTCTCAGCTACCTAATTATAGGACGAGAAAATGGGAGAGAGTCTGCAAAATACCATGTTCAGGATGAAAAGGAGCACAACAAGGAGTAGGTATTCTCCGTCCATCTCGGCAGGTAAGACAGCCCGGACTAGGAGCTGAGACTCAACGGGATCCTGTTCCGACTGACATCGGGGTCAAGGTATGGCAAGGCAATAGTACTACTGTTCCTTTTTGCTGCTCGTATGATAACCATGAGAGTGAGACATGGAATTCCTCCCTTGCGTCTTCTCGCTCCATTTCCAGCAAGGCACAATGCAGACACAGCCCGCATGCCACTCAACCGTCTCTGCCCGTGTAGGTGAAGGCCCAGCTTCTGTGTCTCATGACTGATTCACGTATTTTTAGAGACTCCTCATCACAGTCCCGATGATATCTATAGGTACCTACGTTCATACCTACCTCTTTGTACGCGCACATAGAACCCAAGCCTCGAGAACACCCCCGTTCGCACTCGCACAAAGCAGAGAATGATCCCTGAGAGGCAATCTTGCGGAAAGCCGGTCCGGCTGAGCCTAACTCGAATCCCACCCTGACGGATGCTGGACCCGATCAGCTCTGGTAGTAGTATCAGAAGAAGAAGAAGAAGAAGAAGAAGAAGGGAAGATGTAGCGGTACCGAAGACGGGGATGGCCTGCCACGACATGCATGTACTCCTACCTACCTACTTGGCGCATATGCTTACAGACCTGAGCTGCAAGGGAGAAAATCCCACCTTCTTGTGTGTTTTTTTTTACTCTTTTGCCCAGATTGGTTTTCAGCTTCTCCTGTCTATACTATTTTCTCATGTCTGCAGCTTATTGCATTGGCCAGATATCCATCCACCCCCTCGTCCCTTGCTTCGTCGTGCTCTAGACCGCGTACCGACGCGACGGAGCCCAATAACATCTCGACCCTGAGGCGGCAGAAGAACACCGAGAGGCGGAGCCGTGCTGCAGCCCCATCTCAAAGCACAAATGCGGGCGAGTGCCGCCAGAATTCACGGACTGCTGCTGCTGCTGCTGCTGCTGCTGCTGCTGCTGCTGCAAGGGAGATGTGACGGGACCTCGAACAGTCGAGATGAGGAGCTCTCTCCAATAGTATGCCACTGGGATGACAGCTTGCAAAATGTGCTAATTGCAGCGGGCTCGTCCTGAGGATTCTATTCGTCGCCTGATGTTGAGTTTGAGCTGCCTCTGGCGCTGCGTGACAAAGGCGCGAGGGTCTCGACTTTAGTAAATCGGCCTGTGAAGAGCAACAAGAAAGAAAGAGGGAAAAAAAAAAAAAAAAAAAAAAAAAAAAAAAAAAAGAAAAATGTTGTTGCCCAGCAGAGTCCCGTCTGCCGTGTTTTCTTAGGCTAGGTACCTTTAGCTCCTTCTCCCACATGGTATGCGAGGGATCAATGTTGTCGTGGGCATCTTGTCTTATTAGCAACGCAGAACGACAGCTCTATAGAGAGTAAAGAAATTGATAGTATCTCAAGCACTCGACATCCATAGTTGCTTAACGCGATAGGTGTTCAAAGAGCCCGGAACCCAAAGAAAAAAAAGGAAAAAAAAAAAAAAAATAGGCAAAGAGGACAAGGACCCATGACAGAGCCCCTTGTACTTGCATGCATGGATCAAAATACAAGCTTTTTGGCCCCCCCCTAGCTTAGCACCAGAAGTTGAAGGCAGATGGTAGCAAAGAGGGCGAAAATCAACACCGCCGCCTATCCCATACAAACTACCTAGGTACTAGACCGGGAGTGGCTGTTTAGCAGAAGACTCTACTCTTTCTACTCTCCACTACTGGTGTTGCTATATCAGTCTACCTAGTCTTAGGACAAGCTGCTAGTACTATTATAATCTTGCTGTAAATGAACTAGAGAAGCAATATCAAACGGGGTTCAGAACCTGTATGTATGTCTAATAAACTTGAGGTGCTGGATAACCACTCCCTGGATATAGCTATACTGGCTGACCGGCGGTGTTGTCTCTCACCCTGTTGGGCATCTCCTCAATACCTTAGGTATCATGTATTAATAGGAACCTGGAATCTACTACCTTATACAGGGAGCAATACTCGCATGGCATTGTCCAGGTGGCTGAGCTGTCAAGATTGAGGGGCAACATTGATAACAAGTCAAGGTACGATACAGCTCCATCATCGATGGTATATGCAACACACTCGCGGACATCTCTTGGAGCGGCTGCCTTGCCTCCATGTTCTCAAGGGTTACCTCGCACTTGCATTGAATGCTTCCCGACTGAGGACGCCGACTACAAGCAGCGCTGAGTTTATATCGGACATGACCCTTTTCCATAGCTGTGAATAGAAAAGTAGGTAATAGCTGCACTCGTAGTCCGCGAACCACACGCTCGTACCTACTTTACACGTACCTCAACCGCCCTCCGTGTGAACCAGCAATGCGCCACACGGCTCTAGCGCCCAGCGATCCAAGGACTGGCCCCTTCCAAGATCCCCCTAGGAAGAAACCGAGGCTTGGAAGGGCAAGGCCGTCCATGTACCGTGCACTAGGTACAGTAGGGGAGCGCCACGCGGATCTGGGCTAAACACAAGACGGCAACGAGCAGCAAAAATCTGGCAAGAAACCAGATTGCCATGTTGGCTCCCCTTTGCTAACTTGCTAGCATGCCCATACCATCTCGTCCTTGTCTCGGGGTGGTTCTTCTCATTATTCTCCCCCCTTCTTGTGGATACGCTTGTGAATTTTTTTTTCTTCTGGAATGATTCTGGTAGTGAGGCAAAGACGGGGTTCGTCAAGATGGCACCCTGCTTTCAGCGTTCCAGAATGGTAGTCGAGTGTGTTTTTTGTTGGGCCATGATTGATTCGTGTTCCAAGTTTTCCTTCCTTTTTTCCGTTTCTCTCTGCTTTCCCCCCTCTTGCCTATACCCTCTCATTGGACAGGCTCAATTGGATGGGTGATTCGACAAGCCTCGTCTGCTTCCCCTGCCCGCATGAATAGCCGCATGAAGGATTGAGGTGACCTTGACCTGGTGTATCGATACCTCAGCCCGAGTCCATCGCCCTCATCCGCGAGTACAGGTACCCCAAACCCCCAACCAGCTCGGGTCGCCTGCAGCTTCAGTGCTTCAGTGCGTCTTCTGCAGCGCCCAGCCCCTCTGAACCACCCACCTGATCTTCCCTGGCGCCCACTAACAGCGCTGTACCTACCGACCAGACCTTAGTCGAGGCCCACCCGCTCTCCCATCTTCGGACCATCCATTCGTCCATCCAGAGACGGAGCTGGGCTAAATCGTCCAAACCTCGATCCAGCCTTTCGACGAGATTCGCTCGCATCTGCCCTTCTCGCTCGCCCTGTCCCCGTCCTTTGAAAGCGCCCAGGTTCCCCCAGCGCTCCCTCGCCAGACTCTCTGCGACATCTTTTGCCCGGCTTGCAGACAGATTGGCTGCCCGTGCTCCTGCCAACCCGGCGCACTGCCTCCGTGTCCGGGGCGCCTTTTCGACTTGCGCTTCTGCCGTCGCTCCGGTCCGCTCAGCCAGGCCAGGCCAGCCTAAGCCCGGCTGCCACCACACAATCACCTACTCCCAATCGACACAGATCGAGGCAATCAGCGAATATCGACGGAGACGGAGATTGAGGACGGCCAAGTACAGGGGAGGGGGCATCTTGTCGACGCCCATTTCCGAGCGAGGTCCTGCTGCCTCTGCGACTGCGGCTCGTCGCCTCTGGGCCGCGGCTGAGCCTCGATTGGAGGCGCGTCGCTTCCTCGCATAGTTTCCTCTTCATCTCCCTCCCGACTCCCAGATTGGCCCAAAATGTCTGGCACGGAGGCTTCCGCTGCTCAAGGCGGCGGGGGAAACAATGCCAGCGAATTCGTGAGTAGGACCGCTCTCTGCTCTCTGCTTCAACTACGTCTTACACTCAAGTGCTGATCCAACCATGATGTCAGGTCCGCAAGCTGTTCCGGTAACTGACGATGCGAACCCCAAACGCTCTACAAATGGAACTAACAGTTGCCGTAGCATGCTGGAAGACCCATCGCATCAGGACGTGGCTCGATGGGGGAAAGACGGCGACTCGTTTGTCGTCGTCGAGGTGAGCATTCATGACTGCTGCCACTGTGTTATAGGAGCACTTGCATTGACCCTCAATCTCCAACCAGGGCGAAAAGTTTACCAGGTCCATCCTACCAAAGCATTTCAAGCACAGTAACATGTCCAGCTTCATTCGACAGCTGAACAAGTATGATTTTCACAAAGTGAAGCCATCCGGCGATGGCGATTCCACCTCTCCCAACGGCAACGTAAGTCTGCTTGGCATATGTAGTCTCTCTGAATTGGAGAGCAAGCCATGGCCGTTTGCTTTTTTCTCTGTCGTGGGGCGCGTGAGCTGATGGTCGGGACTTGACGTGCAGGTCCTAGAGTTCAAACATCCCTACTTTCGCGTCGATAGCAAAGATGACCTGGACAACATCCGCCGAAAAGCGCCTGCCACGCGGAAGCCTCAGGTCGCAGAGGACTTCACGACGAGCCAGCATGTCAGCGTCATCTCCGAGCAGCTGACGGCCACACAGCAGCAAGTGCAGCAGCTGCAAGAGCTGTTTGCCGACGTTTCGCAGACTAACAGGCTCCTCGTCA